TTTTTATGACTATTAATACTAATTTTAATAATTAAAGCTTTATATAATATAGATACCTATCAAGAATATTTTGCTAACTAATGACACATAACGAACAATTTATTTTAAAAACAATTTTCAATGGCACCTAAATGAAGTAGTTATTTTACTTCCATGGAACTACTAGGATACGGGGATTCATATCACTGTATTACTGTCGAACTTATTTTCGAAGCTGTTCGAATAACTTTTATGATGCCAAAAGTTATATTCTGAGATACCAGTACCTCTATTGCTATATTATAGCCGCCCTAGGGGGCGCTGTTTAATTTTTCATACAAAATTTTTCGATGGCACTTTGAATACGCAAACGAAACGAACTCGAAAGTTTTTCGTAATAGAGGTACTGAGATACCAGACAACTTCGGATACGACAATCCCGGTAAATCCGAGCAACTCAGAAAGTGCACTGTAAAATAAAGCGCAAAATAACGTAAGTCTGATTTTAAAGAATACACGATACGAGTAGCAAGAAAGTCCCTCGACCTCAGTATTATTTGAATTAAAACGAATTTCTTGTATACCAAGATTTCCAAGTGTCTGGGTTTCTTTAATATAAAGTTAGTTATAGTTCATTTCGTTAACTCTTGCATTTATTTTAAACGATTGCTCTCATTAAGTTGGATGGTGCCTTCATTCATCATGAATGTAATGAATGGAAATATCATACTAAGACAGACTTGTTTGACTTGGAGTGGATTAGTGAGATAAAATGCTCTAAATGATAAGTATTACTTAACGAAAGTACATTTTCGCACAAACAGTAAAACTTCTAAACATTTCTATAAGTAGTTAGTACTAATGTCGGCCGTTTGGTGTAGTGGTTCAGAACGGACTACTATGCCGAGAGGTCCCGGGTTCGATTCCCGGCCGGGCAGAAATTGAAATGATGAATTTTAATTTCTGTGACGGGTCTGGGTGTTACTATGTATATTATGTATGTATAAGTAGTATATCCGTTAAGCTAGCACCCATAACACAAGCATTAAATTGCTTACTTTGGGGCTAGCTGGCGCTGTGTGAAATTGTCCAAAGATTTATTTATTATTTATATTTGTTTGTGTTTTTATTTTTTTACTTTCTGTTGAATGATTTTATAAAGCAAATATGCCTTTATTAATTTTAACAATAAACTAGCAGCTAGAGCATTAATTTCTATGAGTTTGTTTCTAAGAAAAACATTATTTAATATCGTAGTTTCTTTCTGTTGCTATAACATTTTAGGGTGGTCCTTATTATGGGAGCCTAAAGTGGGTGCATTGTAATATTTTTTTTCCATAACACAGATTTTCGGAGCCTGTTATGTATTATGAAGGATTATCAGTTCCGTAATACGATCAAACAGGCGGCTTCATAGGACGGCTTGTACTAATTGATAGATAGCCTAGAAACGTCAGATTTGAGTTGATTGAGTTGCAACACACTGACATGGCTTAGCTGTGTGTTAGTACGTCACGGATACATGGCAATTGGCTTTCTGATAGGATGTAATTTGACAATTCACAGGAAGCACTGAAACGCTAACAGATTTATACGGTTTATACGGTTTTCAGACGTTAGACGACTTTTGTATAAGTTAAGGTTCGGCCAAACCAACGCGATAACACGCGATCAGATCGCGTTGGTTTGGCCGAACCTTTAGTAAGGTTAGTAACCTTTAAATTTTCGAGGCTCGATCACAGAATAAGTAATAGTANTTTATTGGCAATTCGACAAGGTTGTGTGGTATTTTGTTAAATATGGTAATACATTTCCCCAAGAATGAATTACCTATCTTATGCAACCTAAATGATGGAACAGCAAGTTTATTCTTATGTCTCGTGTTAAATGAGTGGACGTCACTTTTCTTAGTAAATAAATGTATATGTTTACGGACATACATAATGTTATCAAATATGTATTGCGAAGCCACAGTCAATATATTGATTTCTTTAAAAACTTCTCTAAGCGAGTCACGTGGTAATTGATAGATAGCCTAGAAACGTCACTAATTGATAGATAGCCTAGAAACGTCAGATTTGAGTTGTTGATTGAGTTGCAACACACTGACATGGCTTAGCTGTGTGTTAGTACGTCACGGATACATGGCAATTGGCTTTCTGATAGGATGTAATTTGACAATTCACAGGAAGCACTGAAACGCTAACAGATTTGATTTATACGGTTTTCAGACGTTAGACGGAATACGACTTTTCTATAAGTTAAGGTTAACCAACGCGATCTGATCGCGTGTTATCGCGTTGGTTTGGCCGAACCTCTAGTAAGGTTAGTAACCTTTTAATTCTAGGAATTTTCGAGGCTCGATCTAAACTTTCTGATAAATATAAACCGATTACTGAAAAGAAGTTCTCAACTTGACAAAAAGGTAAGACTTCGAGGAATTCGATTTATGTTAGTATATCCGAAGGCAAAATCATCAACGTCATTCAAACTTCTCGACTTTTATAGTGGGCGTTTCTTCGTTTTCTGTGATATTGAGAGATTTAAACAAAAAATACTTAATTGGGTTATCTTAAGATCCTGAATCGGCTGAGTGTTATTAATACTGTGAAACTCCTAAACTCTAAATTGAATTTCATTGCCCTTTTACAGGCTTACCCGCTTATCTTTGAAAGAATAAACCAGCAGTCATATAAAAGCCATACTTTTTAGGTTTTAAACATATTCTGTAATAGTCGTAAGAGAGGTGATTACGACTACGAAAATACAAACCATAACGTACTTAGTTCAAATAGTGAATACGTGAGGCTCTCACATGGAATAATAATATTTGAATTATTTCTACTTTAATTCTCAAAGGGCGTAGCAGGATAGTCTTGGAAAAAGTGCCCCCAAAGCCTGAAGCTCGAAACTGTGGTCAAACGATACTTTGTATAAAGATAGTATATTGTGCAAAATTTCACCCCCCAACACCCCCCAGGAAGCCACGCCACCCATCTATACCTAAAACTGTTTTATTTTTTTTCTCCAAAACTATGTAACTGACGAATTTAAATTTTTGCACAGGTATAGTTGTGTCTCATAGTAATAACATAAAAAAACAACAGCTCTTTAACTACCTTCCATGATGGAAAAAAATAAAAATTGTAACACCCTGTATAATGATTTCCTTTGGTAGTACAATCACAGATTTTTTTTAAAAATGAGTGCCAACATTCGACCTACGTAATCCCAAAGTTTTGTCTATCTAGCTAAGGTGTAACATAGCTTAATTAATTATAAATAAAACTCTTAGGCCATATTTGAACAAGAATCTTGTTTATTTTTCTTAACTTAAAAGTTTTATTTAGTGGTGTTCTTATTAATATGCGTTCTTTTATGTTATTCGGGTGCAGTCCTGTTGTCTCCCCTAGCCAGGGGGGATTTTTAATCAATGATTTGAGCAATTTGGCAAACATTATTTAAAAGCCATTTATTTTTATAACATTTAAGAAGTACTGGAGTACCTGACTGAATGCCATATTCGTATTACCAAACTGAATAGAACCTTTTTTTTATGCTAGACAAGGCAGGTATTTGACCGCAATCGCACCTGGTGTTAAGTGAGATGCAGTCTAGGATGGTACATATCTGCCCTGTAAGTGCCTATTCACTCCCGCTCTTGCACACTTTATTACCTAAACGTATTGCAAATAATAATTAAGCGAAAAAATATAAGTTGCTGGTATCGGGGACTATTTCTGACTATTCCAAAATCTGCTTTACTTTCTTTTAACAGATCGTAATGAATTATCCCTACTAAATATTATAAATGTGAAAGTAACTTTACCTGTANATAATATTTCTTTCTCTTTATGTCCATTTTTTAATTATACTTCGATCATAGAATTAGGTACTACAACGCACGCCAGCGTCCTGACGGGCGCGCGCGTGACACTCGACTGATATAATACCCGCCGGCGGGGCGCTTCGCTGTAGGTAATTATCGGATGTACCGCGCGGAGTGAGCCAGGCCTGGCTCGATCTAAACTTTCTGATAAATATAAACCGATTACTGAAAAGAAGTTCTCAACTTGACAAAAAGGTAAGACTTCTAGGAATTCGATTTATGTTAGTATGTTATTGTATCCGAAGGCAAAATCATCAACGTCGTTCAAACTTCTTGACTTTTATAGTGGGCGTTTCTTCGTTTTCTGTGATATAGAGAGATTTAAACAAAAAATACTTAATTGGGTTATCTTAAGATCCTCAATCGGCTGAGTGTTATTAAACTGTGAAACTCCTAAACTCTAAATTGAATTTCGCCCTTTTACAGGCTTACCCGCTTATCTTTGAAAGAATAAACCAGCAGTCATATAAAAGCCATCCTTTTTAGGTTTTAAACATATTCTGTTATAGTCGTAAGAGAGAAGCAATATCTTGTAGGTGACTACGAAAATACAAACCATAACGTACTTATTTCAAATAGTGAATACGTGAGGCTCTCACATGGAATAATAATATTTGAATTATTTCTACTTTAATTCTCAAATTTTTATCAAATAAAGATTTTATTATTATTCATTTATTTATATTTTTGTCTTAATTTTAAATATTTTTTTTACAATGTAAATTACACAAAAGAAAAAGTATATTATTATTATTATTATATACTTACCTTTTACTTTTTCTGGTTGAGTCGTTGATGCTTTCTTATGGACTATTTTCCGTGTAAATCGCATCACTGCGACGGGGCTCGGACGGGATGGCTCTAATGCCATTGGAATTTTATAACTATTATGTTATTTATCTGGAAAACAGCGTAATATTACACATTATTTGGCAGGCACCTGAGAAATTCGATACATTTACCAATGTCACCCTAATAGTTAGCTTATGATCGAGACGTTCGTTAGGCAGGCGAAAGGTCGTGGAACCAAGTCCCGCTTAAAGCACAAAATATTTGTGCTTAAAGTAGTCAATTTGTATCAGTGTAAAGTCTTGTTTGTAGTTACTGTGTTTAAATAAAGTATTTGTTTCAGTGCCCACACTTCGAAGAAGGTCGCCAAAGTGATCATAGTGCTAATATGGTTCTTGGCGCTCTCATTGGCAGCTCCTATGGCCATGTCGTGGGTTGTCATCATGGTAGACGAACAGGACCCAAGTAAGTTAGTCTACGTGATATCAAAACTCAATTTGAAACTCGCAAATGAAACAACGAACGCCGTTACTTAAATAGCCCAAGTTCTTAATTAAATAAGATAATTTATTGAGGAATACTCAAATCGAATTCGGCAATTTCCGAATAGCAAGATTTTCAAGATTTGATTAGCATTTCAAAATAAATAAGTAAGTTTCAACATGACGCAACCCAATTTTTGCAAGAAAGCGAGTTGAATTAGGGCGTAGGTAAAACGTATCACGTTATGCTTATGCCTCTAACTGACTGGAAGTAAGAGATACTAAAATGCTTGCTGTAAGTACATTCTTTACACTTTTACTGCAAAATCGCACGTATTACAACTACACAAGATGCCACCGTGTCTATCTTGACGTGCTGTCGTCTGTGCGTAAAAAAGGATATTCTTTTCTTACAATAACAAAAGATGGATGGTGACATGAAAGGTAAACACTCTCTCAAAGTCCGTCTAGGTATAACGCGCTACGAATAAACAATTTTACAATTATTAAATGTTAAATTCATTTAAAATCTGAAATGAGTTTTGTGCTCATCCATACGAAGAGACTTAATATTATCACTAGGGGGTAATCTCGGAAATTAACGAACCGATTCCAAAACTTTTCGCTCATAGGAAAGCACCCGCAAACCACACCAATTTCAACGATATGTTTGCTAAACTTAATTGGTGGGTAGAATTTCTGTAATATTCTATGCATAATTGCCTAAGTTATGGTTTCGGTTTCTTCAACTTAAAGCCTAGGATAATTCCGCAAACTATCCAACTAAGTGTTAGGCGTGAACCCGCCCGCAATACAATCCGGTCGTAGATATTTCACATTTGGGCTTAACTATCTTGATCAAACTAAGAGTCCAGTGATTGACAATCGAATCGACATCTAAATCGTAAGCCTTTGGGAAGTGGTTTTTATTTAAAAGTTATTTTCTTTTGCAGTAACGAAGATCTTCTACAAAAAGCCATTCTGTGCTCCCAGTGAGTTCGGTCTACACTCGCTGGCTATATACCGGTTGATTCTGTATATATTTCAGGTAAGTTGACCCCATATTATTTCTCAAAGCCCCATGCACGCCCCACCTTGTGCAATATTTTTAATGGTTCCAGTAATTACAAATTCTAGAGTCACTTCGATCTTAAAAATTGTGAAAGTTCAATTGAAAGGATTAAATGTACTTAATACGAGAATATCATAACGTGTTACATCAAGCGTTAGCAGCTTCAACAGTATCTAAAGAATGCCATATTGTAACTTAGTCACGAGAAATATATGGCCAAACTTTAAAGTTAGTTGCTACTTTCTTACGAACCTGTGCGACTTCATCACATTCTTCTTGCTGATCACGTAGAAAGTTACATTTGACACCAAAGTATTTTATGCTACAAACATTTTTGCGTTTACGAAAAAATGTATTGTACTTNTTGTACTCGCTTGACAGATTGTAACCACATAAACCGTCCTTTTTGTCACCCGAAATCGAATTTCATGCCACCAACAGATTGAGTGTCACAGACTAATAAATAATTTCAGCGTTGAAATCGTCCCCGCCGACCTTAAAAGCTTTGGTGGTTCGGGGGATGTTTACGTATATCCAGGAAGTGTGGTCCATTTAATTCCATTAATGATTGGCATTTGTCAACATGAACTATGATAAATGGTATCGTAATGTTGGGAAGAATTCTATTTCGGTATAAATAGAAGCATACAAATAAAATATCCAAATAATAAATCCTTTCGTCACAGAAATGGCACATCTCTAAGTAAACGATTCTGATATTGGCTACTTTTTATGTCCATAATAATACTTACTATGAATACGCACCTTTATACAGGGTGTTAGGGGTAAATAAGCAAAAACTTAAAACTGTGAACTCAGATCACGGTCCCAAAATGGACATCAGATATTTTTTTCTCGGTAATGAACGCTGAATTTGCTCGATGGCTTTTGTAGACCTAAAAATTTTAGTCATGCGTTGTTTTTTGAATACCTAACGTAATTGAAACAATTGATTTGTGGTACTGAGCATGTTATTTGAATATTTAATTATCTTTGTATTATGACTTTTGATTGACCATAAAAAAACATGAATTTTCCGACAAATAAAACCACTGGTTTTTAACCCAGAAGCATTTTAAGTTCCAGCTTGTTTGTCCTTACACCCTGTGTAGTTATTCCCGTCGCGTGTCTCTGACTAGATTAGTGTAAGTGCACTGGACGCCGATTTATATGCGTCAGCCGTGGATCAGGCTCATTTGCCAGCAGACTCGGGAGCCATCGGGAATTTTTATGAGAAGCTTGCCCTTGCAGTGTGATGGCGAAGGCGTGCTTCGAAGAAATATTTAATAAAGTATTCAGAAATGTTACTATACTTTCTCTATGTTATCATAAGGCTAATTTTACAACTGCGGCATTTCTTGGCCACATACGAAAATTCTTCATAGGTGAAACTGTAAGTAAATAGTTTTGGTACGACTAGTAATTGTAATGGTCTTGATACTTTTGCATTGCTGGAAGATTTTTACATTTCTTGTAGGAAAAGCTAATTTCCCTACATAAGATACAGTCCGCATTACAGATCGCATAATTTTCTGAATACTTTGTTGTTGTCGACACTATGAGATGCCACAGCTTTATGTGTCGTCGTCTGTAGTAAGTTTGGTATAAAATCTATGACGTAGCCAACCTGTGTGCCTACCATGAGTTTACGTTAGGTGAGTTCGCTAGCGAAGACGTCAAAAAATTCTATGAAGGTCTTATTTCTTGAAAGTAGCCTAAACTAGGGGCGCTGCACAATATGTCATACATTTAAATGTCATTTTTTTACGCAGTCGCTACCGAGCACACCTAACGTAAACTCATGGTAGGCACACTGTATTATGCAATATTACTCTGGAAAGTTAAAATTTCCACGTGGCAAGTATCGTTATTAACAGACGCCTGACGTGTGTTTGTTATTGCAGTACGTCATCCCGCTGTGCGTAATCACGTTCGCGTACGCACACATGGCCATGAAGCTGTGGGGCGCGCGGGCCCCCGGCACCGCCCTGGAGTCCAGAGATGCTAATCACATGAAAAATAAGAAAAAGGTCAGTGGAAATCAAACAATGATTTTTAAAAAGGTGAGAGGAAAAAGAAAGAGAATAAAGATTAGAAAAACCTTGGGTGAGTATCGGATCCACAATGACGATGAGCGGACGACCGCTTCTGAGTAAACGAGTAGGAAGTACCTACACCTACACTCGCTGATGGTTTTCAGTGCCTGATGGTTATAAAATCTTGCTTTGTAGCGTCTCTTATTGGGGAGGCATGCGCCCAGCTATCATGCCTGCCAGTAGCTGAAATTATGTTAATTACTTTGACGACGCCGTGACAACAGATTGTGATGCTCAACTCGGTGGGTCCGTTCAATTCCTATATTGGATTCAATCAAATTGTGTAAAATCATTTGGTGTACCTTTTTACCCGGCGTGGCTTGGACAATGCAAGAATCGACTTCTAACCGAATATAAAATAGGTATGATTCTATTTTTAGGAAGACACCTTATGGCGTTGTCCGATTGACCCATGTCAGATGCCTACGTGCGGCGTTCTGACATTAAGTTTACCTCAGTTGTCACAAATTACGCGTAAGATGTAGGAAAACTGGGAAAAACACATTCATTGAAAAAAATCGCGACGCCTATAAACCTGTAAATATAGGTGAGCAAAATAAATAGCGGGTAATATTTTAACTAGGCTTAAACGTTATAATCACCATAGCATAAACCATTAAACATATTAAACTGGTGATTATAACGTTGATTAATTTTGACCTTGGTGATGTTGCATTTTGGTTGCTTTAAATGACTGTCATGTTTACTGCCGTTAGGGCAAAATGGCTCCCATAAAAATTAAAGACTTTAATAATAGGGTTAACATTAAAATTGTGGGAAAAATCACCTGCTCAACGCATTATCGCAGACGATAAAGAGATGTCTGGAAAAATATTACGTGCATCATAATTTAAAGGAAAATCTTGCATTCTTAAATAAATTGTATACGAAAAATTGCCGAAAAATCCCTCTAATTTCTTGACGAAAAAATACGTGCTATAAAATTGGACAGCCACATTTTTCTTACCCATTTATCTCAAAGGGTTGGCAGTTCAGCAAAAACCACCGCTATATTTTGCTCAAATTCAGACATACCTTGTCATATTTTAAGCCTTGCCTTGTCATTTTTTTAGTTTCTTGTGAAAGTCATCTTAAATTATTTTGGTTTATTATAAAATATTGTTGAAATCATGTCGCTGTTGTTATAAAGTTTCGTGAATGTCTTTCATTTCTGAGATCTCTGTTTCTTAGAGCAAGTAGAACTCTTGTCTTGTTAAATTGTATTGACTTTAAAAGTTTCAAAATGAATAGACACTGTTTCACCTCTATAAATGGTCCCATTCGAGAAGCCAACAATAAGTTTGAAAGTTAATCGCAACATCATGTTTAACTATTCTAAACCTGAGATTATTCCTTCATAACTTCTTAAACACACTAAGATATAGGATAAAGGATTGCATATCGTCTCCTAAATTCGACGATAAAAATATTCCCAAACTTGATAGAACACTATATTCCGAATAATTATTGATTCTGGCTGGCATGGTCGCTATGGTTGAGAGGAAAATATTCCGTAGGAAAACACAGAAACAACGGCAGCTCCGCTAGTTCCAATGATTAAAGTACACAGATTGCCCGATAAGGAAAAAGTTTTCCGAGCTCTGAAGGGCATGATTAGCGCTCGACCCGTTCGAACAATTCGTTTGTTAAGGTTCGGCCAAACCAATGCAATCAGCCTGCGTGCGCGAAGGTGATGGCGATCAATGCGTTTAAGTCTGATCGCCATCGCCATATTGGTTTGGTCGAACCTTTATAGAGCACACTACAAAGAGAATAAGTTAAACGAACTGAATATTGTTTTACCTACTATATTCAGAATTGACTTATCTGTCTTGAACAAAATTGAACCGCACAAAGACAAGGGTAATTTTGTTTGATGTCTATCGAACTTCCGTTTTTCCACAAAATAGATCGTCTTGGATCACGATGAAGGAATTATAGGAATATTAACCGGATATAATCAATGCCTGGTCCAGCTTAGTAGTATCGAAGAAGGGAACCTCACAAGTACTTACAACACACCAAGACATGAGCCAAAGTAGGAGATTTCCTAAATTAGTCGCTAGGCCACCATAAAACATACTAAAGAAGAATATTTTCTATAAAAACACTGCAACTTTTTAACCATTGACATTAACAGGGATTCTAGTTTTATTCATAGTTTAACGCCTCCTATAGACATATACAAATTTCAACCGGAAGGCTTGTACTGTTTACTTCTTGTTTGCCGTTTCCTGCATTATTTACTACCTATAGACTTTCATTAAAGTTCATTCATGAACGTACAGTTTATGGCCTATTTAAATGTAATTTATGTTATGAATGATTTATAGATCTAAATTCGGTAGAACGTGTAAACTGAATCAGTGAACAGTTCACGTAAATTTAAATTTCTTGGTATTGTCACAATGGATATTACGGCAGCGGTTCTTTATTTAACGAAGTATAAAACGTCTACTTCAAGACTGATGAATAAAATTTTGAAATACTTAGGTCGTTACTCTTGGCTTTAATAGGAATTGTCACAACTATGAAATGTAATAAGCGCTCTGGATATCAAGCAGACTGTAAAACGGGATTAGGTTTTAATTCTCATAAAACGTTTAAAGGATATTGCTTACTGCCATTTTCGTTATTTCCAAGCGAATTATTTTCAATTAAACAATTTTGAGACATATTTAGGTAAGGTACGAGTATTACCGGTAATTTTGATGTAGAAGTACTTACTAATATTCTGAAATCATTTGATCTCTTCGAACTAATACGTTTCATAATTAAGTTATTAATTGAGTTACTGATTTAGCTAGCTTTATATTCGACTCGTGGGAAAGGTAAATTTGTTAAAATAGATTCAACCCACACGTTCATAATAATTCTGAAACAATGTGGGTGGCCGAGTCGATCATTAATTATAAAAAAATATGATTGAATTAATACAATAACTTGAAAATTTTTTTAGAATTGCCGCGTAATGCAAACCTACGCAAATCTGTATATTATGTTAATTTATGATGATAGATTGCCACGAGGCGTTTGTTTTCTAGCCCGTCTCTTAGGCTTTGATTTTCGTCTCAGCCTTTATAGTCCAGTCAATGAATGCCTTAACGACGGTGTATAGAGAAATCCGTGGAACACAATTTCTGACCTCGGGACTTTATTTAGCCTAGTTAGGTGGTGAACATAGCAAAAGTCCCCGCCCTTAGCCCTTGAGCCGTTGAACCGTTTGAGGCATATTTATGAAATTGATGTATATCTTGCAAATCTCAACACATGAGCCAAATTTGAAGTGTTAATGCACAGTAGTTTTTGAGTGATGAGGAGTCAAAAGTGGCTCAAAGTGGTTCGTCTAAATATACGCACGGTGCAGTCCCCTCCCTGGTACTAGGCTTAACATGCTCCCGCATGTCTAGAATGATTGCTCAATGTTGATTTAGTCGATTTTCTCCTGATGGGAACATGTAAGACAAAAATAAAATTTCCAATATTACAGACCTTCTAGAGCAGATGCCACGAAAACTATACAATTTATAGAAAAACTTGTCTATTTCACCTGTAGCAAATTGAATATGCTTTTTTTGGTTCAAAGTAGTCATGTCACTAGGACGCATAGTTTCCGAGGATTAAGCGAAAAACCGAAAAGTGGCACCTTTAAACCCCCCTTTCCCCGCCGGCTCAAGGGCTAAGGGCGGGGACTTTTGCTATGTTCACCTCCTAACTAGTCTAAATAAAGTCCTGAAGTCAGAAATTGTGTTCTACAGTTTTCCATCTATAATGCTTTATTGACTGGACTATTAGTATAATAAGATAAGTATGGTAATACCTACCAAATTATGTTTCGTTTAATTTTATGTAATACTATTGTAATATTGTACACAGGTGATCAAAATGTTGGTGCTGGTGGTGGCACTGTTTGCGCTCTGCTGGCTGCCGCTCCAAAGCTACATGCTGTTACAATCCTTTTTCCCCTCCATAAATGAGTAAGTAACTGTACCTGTCTAGTTTTCATTACACCTATTGCGTTACCGCGAACTAAGCTAGGCTCGGCGTGATCCGGTTAATTCTAGTCTGTGTAGATGTTACTGTAAAAGCGCGTAAATCGTTAAATATTAGGTTTTATTAGTAAATCTAAAGTTTTATAAACATGACTTGGTAAATGTTGGTTTTTGGTAGTCGTAGTAGTAGTAGTAGGCTTTAACTTGTCCCTCTTGCTTGCCATTATTTCATAACGACGTTTGGTGTGTTGGTTCGGCAAGTGGAGGCAGTCCACAGGTAATTTTTTAGCATGACCCTGACGTAAAATCTAAGATTTATCGAGTGTATGATAGTAAAAGTACGAAATTAACAAGGGACTCAGAAATTTGGACCATTAAAGCTGATAAATATTTTACTGGATTTTTTCAGATTTACCATACTTAGTATGGGTATTACAGTAACATAGATATTCTATCCAGGTAATTCCAGTGCCTGTTCAGGGATTTTCCCCTAAGCTCACATGCAGCTAAGGGTATTCAGAGTAATATGCTCGGCCACAAGCTACCCTCGACCTCACTGTTTGTCCGTTCTTATCTGTGAGGGCACAGATGACTGTTTATCCCGGTCATTTGTCACGTAAATTACAAGGACCATAAAAAGTACGTATGCTTTGAAGCGTTGTGTAGCACTAAAAGTAAACGGCAGTTTGGAGTCTTTATAGTTATTAATTAAATAAAAATGCCTTAATCCTTGACACGAATTCATAGGCTTCTTGGACCGTCTCAATCTTGAAAATTGTTTGTCTATTTCACGATTATTGTTTACCGTTAAATTATGCCTAAAATATCGCAAATATAATTACATTATTACTTTAAAATTGAAATTAGTTCAGTATTATGCATGAAAAATGTGTCCATCTTCTGAGTTCTCACAAAGTTTCGCATTTATAATTTAGAAGGGTTTTAAAATTCATAAAGTTCAGAGGCAGTAAAAGTCACTTTCGCACTACGAAATTAGTATTTCACTAAATTCTTATTTGACTTACTGAAAATGTAAGAGCACAAGGAAACTCATTAGTAATCGGAAAAATACTTTTATATTGATTTTAAGATTATGCTCTGTGCTAGATGATGTAATATTTGATAAGATTTTCGATAGTCGTTAAAGTTACATCAATACGATTTCAAATGAAAATCGAATGATGCGATATCTACTCTTGTCTTTTACTCTCAGTGCTGGATTAACCCATAAGCAAATTATGCAATTGTTTACTGGGGGTAGGTAGGTACACAGATATGGATTGTTCAGAGTATCAAGTAGTCTTAATCCGGCACGCTACCAATCACGTCCAGCTGAACAGCTTTACGACATGACTGAGCTGTCCCGCTAAGAGAACTATTAATAGTCACTCAAGTAATCTTGGTAAGAGATCGATTTAGTAGACATCGTCACGCCACGACCATAAGTACCATCGGAAAAGTCGTACGTCAAGTCCTATTTACTGCCGTTCTAACACATGCCCCATCTAGGGACATACGACATTAAGTCTAACATATTGGTTAAGGCCATACAAAGTTTTTTATGATCACTGGGAACTTACTCGTTACACGATAGATGTAAAAGAAGAAAATTAACGATCGTCTAGTTTGATTGTACACAAATGTTAGCAAAGGGATAATTGTTAACTATAGTTAAACGTCAATATAATTCGTTGTTTAATTTTGATAAAATCACAAACCAATAGGTACATCAGTTCACTGGAATTACCTTGCCGAACGAACACGATAAAATACTAGCTTAGTTAGAGCTTTGCACGGGGCTTAAACACTGTTGGTATACAAGAGAATAATGGACTTAATGAATATTTAAATGCAACCGCATTCGCAATAATACTCGTAGCAGCGCCGTGTGCTGATTTGTTGAACTAATTTGTCAGCTACGTTGCGGGATAATTAGCAACGTTGCAGATGACTTTTATAAGACGGCTTGCTTTATTTATTTGTTAAGCTTTAAAGTAACTTAATGCACGTTCTTGCATACGGAACGAGTTTGTTGTTGTTAGCCGATATAATCATAAGTTAGGAAAACGTATTAAATAGTGTGCTCGCTCACATTATTTCCCGCGCGAACTTTTTGTTTTTACGCCCCCCTCGATAAAGTAACATTGTGGCAGATTCAATCTTGCGATTGCTTCACGGAGTGAAGTAATGTCTGTACGAATTTGTCACAAATATTAAAGGCTTCTCCAAATAGAACGCATACCAACAGCCGCGTTATAGCGTTAGTAGAATGCATGCATAGCGTTAGTAGAGTACAAGCGTAGCGTTAGTAGAGTTGTAGCTAACGCTGACGTTATGTTTGACATAAAACTATCCACATTCTACCAACACATTTTCGGCGCTATGCCGGCGAAGCCTTTTAGTCTATGGGGGCTGGTAGATATAAATGTTTTTTATGTCAAAGTTTCGCTATTTCCACCGCGTAGCGGGACAGTGTGCATTTTTAAAAGACGCACTTAGCGATAGGGTCCTAAAATCATAATAACCCAATGAATATCCGGCTGAACATTGCAAATGAAGTGAGTAACACTCGGAATGTTAACCAGCGGAACATGTCGCAAGAGACAAGGTTTGCGTAACTTTTGCCACGGAGGAACGAAGCGACGCAACTCTGAAATTAAATTCAACATGACTTTTAAATTAATTTAACAATGACGTATCTCGAATTAAAACGCTTTTAATTACTGTCACTATGTATGATAATGATATTTTTTATAAATAGTCTCTCGCTTTATATAAGTCTTTTTATAAGACCCCTTGAAAGGAGGTACGCCTTTGTTTTAATATTTTCTTCTTTTCACGTCACAGGTCGTTGTAATTTAAGGAAGAGGAAAAATGATAACGACTTTTTATGAAGCATTAACCTCGTAAGCCCGGATGTGCCTAAGAAGGAACTAAAACTTTCAAACTCCGTCCGTCAACCAATTCCAATCAGGACTAGGGCATGAATATCGGAATCTCGGAATCTCGTAATATCGGATCTATCGTAATATCGGAATCAGATAAAAGTTTTAATTGAGATTTTAAACAAAGCGTTTAAACGCGCCACAACCTGCCACAAAGTCTAAAGTACATGATTGGCAAAGACCAATGATTTTCTCATGTCTCTCACCATTACTTTTTGTCCCACTGCAAATATTAATGGTTAATTTTACTTGTTTTAAAACAATTTTAACACTTGCCGTACTTGGTCTTAGCAATGAAAAACGACATTTCAACTCCCTTCCAAACATTAATTGGACTATCATATGGCCCGTTAGTTCTACGTACCTACTATGTGTCCTGCCCATAGCCACTTCAGCTTGCTAGTCCGTCAGACTATGTCAGCGACTTTAGTTCGTTAACGGAGCTTCTCATTTCTGATTAGATCTCGTAAAGAAACACCAAGCACAGCCCTCTTCATAGCACGCTGTGCAACTTTGAGAGCCCACGTTTCCGACCCGTATATCATCACTGGTTACACACACTGATTGAAGACTTTCGTCTTTAAGCACTGAGGTATTTTGGACAAAATGATGTTGTGTAGTTTCCCGAACGCGAACCAGCCGAGTAGGATTCGACGATTTACCTCTTTCTTGAAATTGCATCTATGATCATCTATGAAATTGAATACCTGAATCGTTTGTCCGAGGTAGACATACTTGTCAACAATCTCGAGAATCGAGCTCCCAACCGAAAATAGGTAGGGCGCAACATGGTCATAAGCTTTGTTTTGTCCATGTTCATTCGAAGGCCTACCTGTTGGGAGATTCAATTAAGGTCTTCGAGTGTGCCATGTTGGGAGACCGTATGAATGAGACACGGGTTGTAGTTAGCCTCTGATATTAATCTGTTTATTAACACGAACTGCGTGACTATTTATATATAGACTAGCTGTGCCCGCGACTTCGTCCGCGTGGAATAATGACTTTGGGTAGGCACTTTTAATAATTTAGTCTAATTATTTTACAAATAGCTTTTGCCCGCGACTTCGTCCGCGGAGAAGTCGAAAACGTTCTCACACGATTTTTAAATGTTTTTAACGTTATTATCTAAATGTTTGAATACTTATAAAATATAAAAATCTTAAAGGTTAAATAAACATGAAAATAAATTTTTCTTATATTTTATGAANACTCTTCAGCTTTATAATATTAGTATAGATTAAAGGTAAATGACGTCACAGCATCAGCACTATACGTGATAAATGTGCTGACACTGTGAACGTGATCAAGATAAGATATGAAGAGATTTAGTATTGTGCATACCGGCACATCGAGCATTGTGCCGAGGTCTTCCAGCGATTCCGCACTAGTTCGCAAAACTGACGGCCGATGGGGCAGCAAGGTTCTGGAGTGGGGGCCACGTACCGAAAATCGCAGAGTAGGACTGCCATCCACAAGGTGAACCGACGACTTCAGGCCGCTACCAACCAACCATTGTGAAAATTATTGGGGGAGGCCTATGTTCAGCAGTGGACGTCCTATGGCTGAAATGATGAAGATGATGATGATGGCCCGTGGTTTTGTAAGTTGTACATCGATAATCAAAAAGGAACAAATTAAAAGCATATTCAAGTTTTTTACCACTACCTAAAATTTTTGTAACATTTGACTTGAATGACTACAAATCGTTCCGCCAGTATTGGTTGATGAAGTAAAAGTTTGTTTGATACCTGTTTTACAAAAACACTAAAATTCTTTGCTAGTCCATATTGGCCTATTATCAGTAACCAAATGCAATGGAATTGGATACCCATAACATACAAAAATGGTTTTAAATACTTCAATTTTATGATTTTAAGAAGTGCTGTTTTGTACCAAATTAAAGATAGGTTGATTAAAATCATTATTTTACTGTATACAATCAAGAAATGTTACGAAAATAATCAAATATTCAATTTATAACACAAACTCAATTCCGATATTAATATCGGAATTCCGATATTGAGATCTAATATCGGAAACCAATATCGGAATTGAAAACCTTCCGATATTACATGCCCTAATCAGGACGTTGGAGACAGACGCGGAGTCACGGGGCAAATATTCGTAATGCGCCTTCGGAAGTCCCAATCTGCGATTCCCCTAAAGAACGTCACAGTCGGATGCAACCTCAGGTTATTACTTTACTTATTACTTACTTTCTTCTTACAATATTCAACATAATCGTCGGAAGGTATTTAAGGGAAAAAAAATCTGGACACCGCGGTGTAGAAATCGGCGCTCAATGTGCTAGTGTCATCTAGCGGCGAGCGGCGCAAACACTTCCTAAACTGGATACATCTTGCAATAAGCACGGTGATCCGCGGAGGCTTGGTAATGCAGGCGAACACCACGAGATGGCGCTAGTAGTATTGATTGATAAATGTGACATTGTTACAGTAGTCAGTAACGCCGAGACATTTTCGGAGGTGAATTGTAAGTATCGCCGGATGTGCCTTCAGAGGAACTAAAAATTTTGCGATAATTTTAAGTTCAAAAATTCGCGCCTATCGAACAAAAAGAGTGATAGTCTTTGGCTTAAAGTATTCAAAATCAGGTATCCGAACTTATTAATGTAAAAAAAAACAAAATGTCACTGTCAAATTATCATTTTTCTTTGACAAGGTGGTTCTTCCGAGAGGACGTGATGTACGATTAATTTTTTTTCTTCACGAAAGCGTTGTTTAATTGAAAAACTAACCAGTATATTAAGTTTAAATACTGCTAAACAAGCAAAAAAAACATTTTTACCAATTCGAAGAAGTTTTGTAAGATTCTTTTTCGTTTGAAAATAATAGTTCTTTACAAGGAACATTCGGTCTTGATGGTGAAAGTTTTATTTTTGTACATTTTTTCTATGGAGATGGATTGAGTATTGGACTTTTAAAATTATTATATGATTGAGAAAAATTACCATGAGAACGTTCTGATTTTTAGTTTAATAAATATTATAATTAACATGAATATTCACTTTACTTCTTATACATTCTAACCTATCATTATTGTATGTTATAAAACCAATAGTACTTTTAAAAGTACTAATTATGAAACATTAAATTAAATTAAAACACTTGTACCTTTTCAGTTACATTTATTTATATCATTATTGTATCTTTATGTAGTATTAATTTATTAAAAAGTTTACATTTATGTTTTACTTTAATGTATAAAATACAATTTATTAACTTTTTCTTTTTAAAGTCTGTAATACCGAATGTTCTTTTAAGAGAAAACATTTTTTTATTATTTTTCACCTAAAATAAGCTCTATGCACTATTATCTAGGGCCCCTGAAAATATGAATGCAAAAGAAAATCTCTAACATAGATTTTTTTTACTCGAAGTGCTCGGCGTTTACTACTACAAATTATTCGTTCTTCTGAAAGCACATTAGCGATACTTAGAAGTCGACAAAATTTACTCTTCGGTCTTACGAGGTTAAAGCTACAGCATAATTATTATTTTAGCCAATTAATTTCGTGCCTCAATTGGTGTCTTTATTTCTCAATGCAGTGTATTTCAAGCACACAATATTCATAGCATGATTAGAAAACTTATTAGAAAAGGATAAAACCCATGTACTAATACTAAAGTAATGGTCAGAATTTTGTACATGGTATTTGTAGGGAGGAGCGGAGTCTGTACACTTGTAAACTTTATGAAAATAGACAACTTTATAAAATACGACATAATGTATTTGGATAGTTGTGGGAAAGCACACAATACTATAATATGAATCTTCCTTGTCAATAATTAGAAATCTTAATTTTAATTTATAAGCAAAAATCAAAGAACCTTCGAGGATAAACAAACAGATGGGAAAAAGGACGCTGATAAAAGCCTCTTTTACAAAAATCAAAGTTAATGAATTTCCATTTAATGTTTATTCATTAACGTTTTGATTGTTCCCATTATCTTTCCTTGGCTTAATTGCGTTAAATTAATTGTTAAGTTTAGTATGGTCCATTGCGGGCCTGCAGCACTCCTTGAAAAGATGTGCATGTGGATTGAGTGATCCTTGATTTACTTAACTTGCAAAAATTTAGATTGACAACAAAAATCGAGGAAGGTTTATTTAAAATATGTGAAAGCATTGCGGTGAAGTAATAAAAATTGTTAATCCAAATTAATCGTCATAACTTTGGGACGGGACGTGCAAGGGATTTCTCAATTTGTTAATAGTTTTAACATATTATTCTTAATAATTTTTCAATACTATAAAAAGAAGTACAAAGGCTTTTTTTTTTTTTTTTTTTTTATTTGTGGCAACCAAACCTCTCTGGGAGGTTTATTTCTGCCAATGTCGAGTGAAAAATATTGACATAGTTATCAATAGAACGTGGGTGTTTCAGTTCTATTGATTTTTCATGGATTCCGTGGAGTTAAGTATGCCCGTAAGCAGGTTTCGAGACGCCACCGGGTCCAAAGCGGGTTGTTCGTACGACAACCCACTCGACACTCGATGCGTGCGTATTTCAATGTTTTTTATAATTTATCACTTCACTGCACTTTAGAACACAAAATAACACCAAATTTGTACACTAAAGTCCATTAAATAATAAATTGAAACCATTAAAACAGATCGACCATGCTTCCCGTTCAACTACCCTCCACGGAATCAAAGGCTTTATATTCTGAAGTAAACATTTTGACGTTTTCTTAAAGCGTGCGGTATTATTGACCATAACATTTTTATCTCAGGTTTAACAATTTTTTTTCTTCACTGCAATGCTTTACCATGTTTTAACTAAATGTTCCTCGATTTTTGGTACGATTGAAGCAAGGATCACCACATGCACATCTCGAAAAGTAATAATGTGAATAATAAGGAAAAACCGTTTCGATTTTCAATCTGTGGGACTGCTCCCGACATCTTTTCTCAGAATCAATGTAATAATAAACGTTCATGAATATTGAAAAAACCGTTATTTGAATAACTGTTTTATTGGCAATGTATTTGTGTGCTTAATACTTACCTAATGAGGTTGATGTTTACTTAATGGATGTTTTTGAGTTATAACCAGGCCTGTTCATCTTCGCGAGTTTACATCAAAACAAAACACGCACGATGGCCCCCTACAGGATACTATTCGACAAGGCCTCACATACGAGCGAACATTGACTCACACACGCGTATTCTTGTGTATGATGGAAAAAAATAAAGAAAATGGTGTACTAAATACTGTGCAGTATTTAACTGCCTAAATAATAATAAAAACACAGAAGAAGAATGTACTATTTTAAGTTGCCTGAAGACACTGAGAGGTAAAAGTAGTTAAATATTATTCATGATAATTCATGCTAAATCATGTATTTCCTCCGCCATTTTCTGCAGTTTCGCACCTCACGTCACATCATTTTACCGAAGTCAGCCCTATAGCTTCGGCGCAGTACCGATCACTGACGTTTGTCAACAAAATGGCGCTTGACTGTTGAGAAAAGCTAAATTACACCATATTGTTAAGTACCTACATTGAGCATACATTTTTTTAAATATCTTCGGGAAGTAAAACTTCTGTACGTAGTACTTATTATTCTTCTGTGTGTTATAACTGTTTTTATTTACGTGTACAATCTTAATTCAACGTAAAGCTGTTATCCAATATTAATATCTACTCAATAATATATTAGTTGAAGTATGCCTTGTTAGTTGAGAGTTTCTTATTTTTATTTCACAGGTACAGGTACATCAACGTGATATTCTTCTGCTTCGACTGGCTGGCGATGAGCAACTCTTGCTACAATCCATTCATTTACGCCATTTATAATGTAAGTATTGACTTCAATAAACACAAATTAGACACCCCACAGACTTTTTAGTAGGCCGGTATTTTGGTCACCTTCCAATTTGTATGAAGAATCCATTATGAAAATATGTATAACAACAATCCTCAAGAAGCTAGTATGCTAATTTTGCATGTTACTGCAGGTTACTGCTAAAATACTCTTAATGGTGTTATAAATTAGGTGCTTAATGAGTTGTACAAAGTTTAAAATTGGAAACAACAAACTGGGTGAAGCGAAACATACGAAATGGTAATGGTAACCATTCCAAAGTCTCAAAGTAGGGGCGCGTCACCTTTTTTTCCTCATCGTTTCCTCGACCTTCTATTCAGACTGAAGCAAAAAGATTTTTCCGATTCTTATCTTTGCAATTGTCTTAGAATCTAGCAAAAAGGATTTTCTTCAAATTTTACCTTTTAGGAAAGCTTTCCATATTATAATTCTAGAAACTACTTTTTTTGGCGCTTTCATGCGAATTAAATATTTCTTGGAAATTTATTAGAAATATAGAAGTGGTAGTCAAAAATAAATATTCTGAGGCTGTTACTACCTCATTCCAACTAAATATTAACGGCCGATGTAGTACCTACTTGAAAACTTGCACCTGGGTGCGTTCAAAATATATCTATGTACTTTTATTTTTATAATGCCTGGAGGTCTAATTACTAAATTATTAGCTTCTCACGAATTTAAACTCTCAGTCGTAATATTTGTTTTCCCTTATTTTCATTCTTTCCCGTGCTGAAAATCCTTGTTAAGGGAATGAAGATTGATGTCCTCTTTGATTACTCTTTTTGATAAGGTGCCCCATTGTTTTTGTTTCAGTTAGTGATGTAATAATAGATTATTATTTCTCATTAATGATTATTAAACTGCGGCGTCATAATTTACGATTCCTCGAAATGTTTAATTGATTTTGTTAGCGCACCATTTGATGTATTTCAAATTGGTGCGCTTCTACTAAAGAAACTGAATCTCAAATTCTCAAAACTCGATTAATTTTAAACCCGGATTGATGCTTTTGATTGGTCGAATTTAAATAACAGACCAATCTCAGAACCGAGATTGAATCGAGTTTGGCATTTGTTTTGTAATAAATGGATCTGAGATGATGTTCAAGACAAATGGACTGACGTGATCATTAAAAATCGACCCACGTGCGTTGTGTCTAATCTAAACCTTAAATAGGGAAACATACGTTTATAAATACATGGCTTTTAGGCCACCAAAATACTCTACATCAATCCTAACCTAATGCAATAAAGAACATAATTATGTTAGACGTGTCGTGTAATACAATCAGGTCAAAGCTGCCCCTAATTAAAACAAATGTTTCCTTTTTATTTTTACCCTTTCGCATTAAGGTTAAGTTTGTTTCTCTTTTCATTTATTCATGTTTCATAAGCTTTTTTGCCCGTGGCGTGTTGTTTGATGTTCAATAATATGAAATACCGTTAAATTATTAAAACGGATGTGTTAGATATTGTAGGAGAGCTCTATAATGCTCTAGCTAGAGGTTATTGAAATTTTTACGCTTTATTTAAATATTCTTCATATTTCTCGTCCATAAATCGTGCCTAAGACTTTCATATTCTAGCTGGAGTCAAGCTGAATCTCAGGGGGCTACAACTAAACGAGCATGGGCGTGTAAGCCGAAACGATGAGTCTTATTTATGGCTCCAAGTCTCGCTTCAGTAATTTAGCCCCTATATCTACTTCAAATAAAGATTGGAATCCAGTCACCTGCGGACGTGTATCAAACGGTCTCCGATTTACATCGCTCGGCTCATTCATATCTACATTAATAACACTTAGAGACGCCGGAATAGGACAATAGGAAACCCCATTAATTGGGACCTTTCACGTGATTGATGGTACGAATTAGCTGTTACAATGACTTTATTAGTGAAGCAATGCTTGTATAATTTATTAGTCTGGACTAGAACCAAACAAGTCCTACCTCGTTGTAGGGAACGTTACAATAATGTCATACATATTCCAAGAATATTCTTTGAGTTTGGTTATTTTAATGAGGAAGCTGGGAATGCCGGTAACTGTTGGGTGGCCGGTTTCTCATACCGAGTTTCTCAGTCATTTTGTATGTATTAGGGTTTCTGATTTCTCGACTTATTTTTTTTCTCGAGTTTCGGGAATTCTCGAAGCCAAAGTCTCGAGTTTTCTCGGGTCTCGAGTCTTTTAATTAAAACTGTTGAAATCGGTTGAAATTTTATAAAAACACGGGTTTTTATCAATGTTATAATGTGTCTGAAAGAGTAAGAAACAAGAAAACATCCACACAAACTTTCGCATTTATAATATTAGTAGAATAATTATAACTTAGTAATTAACTAAAGGAACAAAAGTCAAAAAGTCGCGTGTACTTTAAGGATTAATAACCATAAATATCTGGAGCTCCAATTGAATCACTTGATTTCCAAAGAACACAAGTCCAAATTAATTGAAAAATTACGATAATAAACCTACATTTACAAATAAAAAAAAACTTTTAAATAAATTTTTAAACTTAAAGATAACGACTTGAATAAACGTATTTACGAGTACCTAAACTAACAGATACTTAGTTAACAAAAAATCAGTCAGTTATACAAACATAATAAAATATAGCATACTCGTAGGTGAACATTATTAGTTTCGGTTAAGATCATTACTTGCAAATCAAATTAGTTAAAAAAAGGAAAGACTAGGCCAGTCTTAACGCAACGTTAACCTATTAAATAATTAAAAACTTACTTTTGTCTAAGGAAATAGGCTTTCAAGAATATTAAAGCTTCAAAATCGAAACTCGAGAATTCTCGAGCTCCGGTAATTTTTTTCTCGTCTCGAATGAAGCCAAATTTCTCGAGTTTTCTCGAGTTCGAGAAAGCTCGAGCAGAAACCCTAGTATGTATAGAATACTTAACAAAGAGCTAGTAGGTAGATTGTACGTAGATACTTCCTTGAAAGCGTGAACTGTACTGCTCTATCTTGCCGTTTAGGACACCTGCGCATAGCCATTCTAGAATAATATTATTGTAAGGTTCTGTTGTGTAGACTAGCAAAACTATCCTTGAGTTGGCCACAATAAAGTCTGAATACAGATATCCTTTTTACAGTCTGCAATTCTTTTTAGATTACCACTTTTATATTTTTAGGATTTTTATACAACTGTTACATTTATGCACTTAATTTTTGTTTTTTTACGACACACAATATATGTCATATAGTGATACTTTCACGTAGTTGTCATTTCTCAAACTTGTAATATTACGATAATGCAAATTTCTCCCAACTGTAGATACATCTAAAAGTTCTGTCACAACAAGACGGTTGAAGATGTTTATGTTTCTAATACATTTTCAAGTAGGTAAAGCGCTTTACGCAAGAGGTTTAAAAGTTTTTCAATTATAGCACTAACTTTATTTGTTATAGGAAAAGTTTAAGAAGGAGTTCAAGCAGCGATTCACTTTTGGACAGCGGCCTAACAGATTCGCCAACGATAGCTACGAGGTACTTACGAATTAATTTACAAGTTGAAAACCCCGAATAAACTCAAACAAATCCACGAATAAACTCTACCTCTACTAGCAGTTTCACTTTTCTTGCAGAATGTTATTGTTGCGAGATTTATTGTATTTGGGCTAGCATTGCTTCATTTACAACGCTATACGCTTGGGAATTTGCATATAGAGGTTCGTTTAATATGGAAAATACAAAACTACAAATTGGTCTATGCTGTTCTACAGCTTTTTCCTGAAACGTGTGAATAAAAATCGTCACATCATTGCTTATTCTCTCTTGAAAATGGGAGTTTTTCTAACTATTTCAAAGCATGTTTAATCCCATTCTATTCCTCAGTGTATACTGGGTAATTACATGTTGAGTTTATCGTTACGACAACAGAGAAGTGTTCGCTTTCTAACGTGCATTTAACTAAACGACTTCATTTGTTCCAGGACGGACAATCGTGTCGGACACGGATCTTATCGTTCCGATCCACCAACGAGCGCAGTGTCTACTCGGCGAGAAAATCTCTAAACATCACCCCGATCGATAGCATAAAAAATCCAGCTCTAAATCCGTGCCATTGCTTACGAAATCAAAACAACATGAAAGAAAACGGATTTCGTTTCTTGAAACCCGACGATTACTCCCATGATGGCAATAGATACAGGAATAATGAGGGGACCAGCAGAAGAAAATATTCGGGAAAACGAATGGCTAACGGCAACGATATGCCCATCGGAGACGAACGGGTCACTGAGCTGTATATCTTCCCTAATAGCAATATAGTCGAGTTCACGGACATTACATACGAAGACAAAGTGTGAAAAGTGAACAGTGAAATTATATTTCCATTTCAATGTGATGTGATAGATACAAGGTTATGTAGATTTAACGAAATAAATTTTAAGTTAAGAGTTGAATTATGGAGTCTCAATAATAATCCTATAAAGCAATATTGAAAGATAATACTCGATAAGTGGGTTTGATATTGGTGATTTCATTTCCAACGTTTTGCTCTTCAGAACTTTAATCGACTCTTAAACTTTCATTACTCCACTAAGGTAGAAATAGAGAAAACAATAAACTTTGGAAGAGATCCAGATACACAACTTTACAGCTTTGGAGTCGAAAAACATTTTCACAGCAAAGTTCTTGAGCAACGGTAAATAGCAACCCTGACAATTTTCTTTTCATTTAATGTCGATCTACGAAAGTAGGCGTCTTATTGACGCATTGGAAGTAAAATCTATCAATCATTATTATTATTACTTATCACGCTTGTTTAGTAATGGTTTTCACATCTGGTAAAATTACTACTTGTGTCAAACAATCGCATTTCTCTTAAAACATTTATTGAACGCCAAATTGTAATAAAATGTACATGACAGAATGACAATTACGTAACACAATCAAAAAGGTCTATAATAACAAATTTAGGGATTTTGAAAGCATTCGTAACTAAAGCCCAGAATTTTAATTACAACCCTTGTGATTGCTCTTCCCAGTTTAATTAACGGATTACAATTACAAGTTATCAAAGTATGTATATAATTAATTATAAAATCTATCGATCGCGTCTCAACTTCAGATATTTAATTAAAAAGCCATCAAAACTGTTGACCTTGGAGAAACGTCTTGGGGCAAGTTAAAGAATCTTTTCAAAATATGTTTACCCATTAGCGCGTCAGCATTTCCCTGAGTAGGTACTTTGCTTGCGAGTCAATCAACAAGTTTATTACAAATACACACACTGTTCCTAACAAAACAAAACATTTAGACCCATATTAACAAATAGCGCTCAAAAGTAAATTAAAACTTAAGTTAATGACAGGTAAATAATTGGGTTTGAATCGACTTTTGAACGTCGTTTCATAATAAGGGCCTCGGACTCAATCACATAGTGTCAAGAAAGATACGGTCCTGAAACACAACATACGAGAATATCATGCATCAAAACGCTAGTAACCCAAACCTGTTCGGTCTATTCATCAAATATACACGTCCGCAGCATGATGGATATGACGCGGTAGGGGTCGGCGTTGGCGGCGGGCCGGCGGTCCTCCAGGTACCCTCGCTTGTCCTCCGACACCTGGCGGGGTATCCTGACACTGCAGCTTCGGTTGGCCACACCTGGCACAAATAAAAAAGTAAGTGTTACAAAACGACGCACAAAACCCGAACTTCAGACTATTATTGACCCAAATATCGAAATCCAACCAATCAAAGACTTAAAGCTATGATTGAAATTCAATCCAATTTGAGCGCAGTCCTACTAATATTATAAATGCGAAAGTTTGGATGCCTGGATGTCTGGATGTTTGGATGTCTGGATGTTTGTTACTCTTTCACGCAAAAACTACTGAACGGATTTTGATGAAACTTTACAGTATTATTGAAACCCGAATAACATATAGGCTATAATTTATGACGATCGGTGACAAACTAAATTTCACGCGGGTGAAGCCGCGGGCAAAAGCTAGTTTCGTAATAAATACGGGCCAGAAAATAGGAAAAGGTAACAAATAAATTGTTCGTGTTTGATTACCGCGTATAACGTGTAATTAGTGCCCAAATTGGAAGCAGACATTTTGCTTCATTATGCAATTAAACACTTAATCATCATTTACAATTATTAGAGCATCACGTACATTATTGTGACAAACTACGTAGGTAAGTAATTTTCATTAAAAACTATTTTTGTTTGGACTTTTTAAGTAAATAATATATTAGATTCAAGAAAAGAATCGACGAAATTATCCCTCAGGGCACGACGATCCATTTCAAGACGATCCATTTCAGAAAAACTGAGAAAAGTTGAACTTTATTATTTTCCGTTTTCCACACCTTACCCCAGAAATGGCGGAGTAATTGTATGATTCTTGTTAGAAACGTCCATCAACCATCGGCTTACGAGATGAGAAGTTTTTTTTAATAAAAATTAAAATTAAAATTCATAAAATTCATTTATTTTTGCAAATAGGCTTTAAAAAAGCGCTTTTACACACAATCAAATACGGATACCAAGGAAAAGATTGGCAGAAATGTAAACAGTCAACTCGGTATCATTAGTCTTTTTCCCCTACTAAGTAGAGGAAAGAGAGAAAGATTGTTTCATTAATTTTCGTCTTTCGCTCCTTAATTTACAGTAGTAGACAGAACATCAGCACACATTTTTATTGAAAAATTGCACTTTTAATATGATGCTAGGCAAGGTACAGTGCATAACTTGATGCGCAGTCGTTTGCATTTTGCAACTGTTACAGTTGTGTCAGATAACAATTTGGTTTCTTTTTATTCTCATGTAAGATATTGTGTTTTCATGGAATTTCGATGGAATACTATAGTCAGTGTCTGAGGGAGAGCACGGGAGGGGTGAGATTCACATATTATGAAGTAACAGAGCTTACGAAGCTGAAAGAAATCTGAAGACTCGTTGACGTTTGACGGTCTCATACCTTAGGCAATGACAGAGGCCAGACCTTTAACATTATAATTTTTGAGTAAGTAATTTTACTATGAAAATAATTTTGAAAATTAGTAAAATTTACTTTCAGTTAATCTTTTTATCTCAGTAAGCAGACAAGGTAGTAATATATGAAAAGATGTTAATTTACGTTAAAACTTAATCATTAAGTGGGTATGTGATTGGCTATCTGACTACGGTCCAGCATCGTATGACAAACAAAGGGCGGGCGTTAATAATGACATCGCATCAGTCATGTGGCCTCATTACATATTTGAAAAATGGATTAATTTTCCCTTATCTATTGGCTTTCATTATTACCTTGAAATAATAATAAATAGCTCGTAGAACTGACGGCTGTTGGGGCAGATAAATTCTGTAGCTAGGCAGAAAAAACGTTGTGTAGGCACAGAATAAATACTAGTACTACGATGTGGGCCGACTGGATGGAGCGACAATAATTATTCTTTTTGGTAAAGGTCACGGGAAGGACCTGGATACCGCAGCGCAGGCAGCACCAGCCGTTGTGGAAATCCTTGGGAGAGGCCTTTGTCCTGCAATGGACGGCACTAGCTAAGTAAAAACCATAAAGTTAATATACATAGCGGAATAGAGAAACAAGGAACTGAGTCACTAGCAGCAACACTGTGTGTTAAAAGAGATGCATGATGCCGTCGCCGTCACGTCAAATAGAACCGTTTTTGCAACTATTTTGACTGTTTGTTAGCACATATTGGCACGCTGAAAATTTGAACACTTGATATTTTCAGATTTTACATTAGTGAAATCGTGGATGTTTATGAGAAATAGCGCTTCAGAAACGTGGTGACTGGTTCAGTTATCGATTTATTGTACAAAACAGTGAAATAATCCTGACAAGGAATATTAACTTTATGGTTAAACGTAGGTACGAAACCCTGAAACCCACACCACAAAGGTCCAGATATTAAACAGTATTATCGAATCTTATTACACAAAAGCCCTTTAGGTGACCCAAATATCTCTCCCAGCCTTATATTTATACCGACCTAATTTCTCAAGTTATTGATCTATTTGCGTGAAAACATTTTCCAAAACCCTTTCAAGAAGCTCTGTCGTGCACCGTCGAGGATTTATTGAATGTGTAAAGATGTGATACAGTCGCACATTACCTAAAGACGTGAGTACCTACAGTCGACACATCGGATTACCATTATTTTTTNTATTTTTCGTTGCAAAGTAGCAGCTATTGCAACTACATAGGAATCTATATTGTTTAGGTTGATGCACTGTCGTTCGTACTAGCAGATGCTCTACAGGCCGGTAAGTATAAGTACTGGGTGTCTTGTCAACTTGCGTTGACGTGGAGCTAATAATATTTAAAGTATTAACGCAGCCTAACACCGCTATAAATGTAAAATACGGTTTAAGAATTTTGTGTGTAAATAGTAAAGATTTAGAATACACTATTCCATTATATGATTGTACAGACAACAGCACATAAAGATGTATTACTGTGGCATCTTATACAGTGTGAGTCACGTTAAAGTGTACATATGAAAATAGATAAAACTAGACCTATTTTTATCGACAAAAAAGAGGTCAAAAATTTTTTGAGATTTTTTTTTTATTTTTTATAGATGGTTTTACGAAGGTAATACGATAGAGAATAATACAAAGTAATAAAAACTACCGATTATAGGGACATTTTTTGGAAAAAATTATCAAATAACCAAAAAAATACGAATTTTTAAGCAGATTTTTTTCAAAAAGTATCATTTTTTATTATTTGTTGGCCTTTTTTGTGTATTTTATGTATTTTTTTAGTATTGCCTGTTATTTAGCATTATTACTGTTTTTATTTTATCAGGATATACCGCTTAGTTTAAAAGTTATTACGTTTTCTTTACAATAAGTAATTGGAAGAAAAAAAATTCGATAAAAAATTAAAAAAAAATGTCAAAAAATTTTTGACCTCTTTTTTGTCGATAAAAATAGTTCTTGTTTCATCTATTTTCATATGTACACTTTAACGTGACTCACACTGTATAGAGGCAATAAGAGCTATATTTCAACAAAAACATTTCACTATACCAACCCGTTCGTTGCCTCCACCATAACTTATTTCCGCCTCCGCGCCTCCTAAGTGCGTTTTAGCGATTTACATCAATTTAACACGTTTATTTGAACTAAGCATTTAAATTGGCAGGCGCTAACTCAAAAACAGGTGGGAACAGAACATTTCATACTGGAGGAATAAATACATCTAAATTGCTACATAGGTGCACAAAACATATTCTTCTTCTTCTCAGTCGGTACACTCTTGTCAGAGTGGTCGTGGTCATCATTTTGAATCACGATTCAGAGTGATGTTCCTCGTAATACGGCGCCATTCACTTAGTTGCGGCCTTGATCTGGTCCGTCCATCTCATTAGTGATCTACCACGTGGTCTGGTGCCCTCAACTTTTCCCTGCACTACGAGACGCTCTATGGAGTCATTACTGCGCCGAGATACATGACAAAACATATAAATAAGTCATAAGTATTAGAGTGTCAGACTTTTATATCAAAATAAAACATTATCTTTTATCACATTTTATGAAACTGTATTCGTAATATTATATTAAACTTTTCCTTTTCGTTTGTGTCCTTAATCTTTCCAAAATCACTGGACCAATTCAGCAGATGGTCGATACTTTTTTTTCACTTTAGAAAACGATTGTTACGCGGAAATAAAACAAACCCCGTAAAATACTTGGCCACGTGTAGAAGTTTAATAGATATTTGCTCACGAAATATTGGAGTTTTTTTTCCTTGTCAACACCACAGATATTTTATTTATAGTTGAAAATCCCAAGAAACTGTTCATCCTAAATCAGTATGCATTGCGCAGAATCCATTTCGTAAACCTACACAGAGCAAAATGTCACGTATGGAAAAGACCATCTTTCACTGACATTACATTGTCAATGCGTGGAGAATTGAAAAAGTAAAAAAAATAATGGGTTTCTTTTTTTAGAGATCTAAGTGAAGTCAATTTGTTGATTAAAGCTTTTGCTTGATAAATTATTTTATTATTAAGAATGAGAAATTGTAATTGAAGTTCCAATACTCTCTTTGTGTTTTATAAAAAGTTGATAGATTTATTATGAGCAAATAAAAGAATATTAAAATTGAAGGAGGATAATCATTGTTAAATTATATTTACGTACTTATTAAAGCTCTTTGTCTGTAATAATAAACACGAACAATATGTTACTTTTTCTAAGCGTTACCAAAATACGACTTCTGTCTGAATCACTTTCATAATAACAATAGAAGTGAAGATAACATTCAAGGTATCTGTTTTGACGATAAATAATATGAATATGGTTACAATGTATAGTGAACTGACACTTGCCTTTTAGTATTCGTCTTGGTTATTCCCTAAAGACGGCACACGGTAAAAACAATATAAAGAAACAAACTGTAACAAAAATCTTTTCCAATTTCGGTCACCATCACTATGCAGAAGGAAATTTTTATTAACGGAAATACATTTCCTTATAGTCTTGAGTCTATGATAAACCAGACTTAACATCATTTTTCTTGGCATGTTACAATAAATCAACGATGATGACTTTGTGTTAATCGAAATACAAGATTTATCACATTTTGTGCCAGTACAATTGTCCATGAATATTAGGGTGGTCCTTATTTTTCGACTTTTGAATTATCCCCGGGGCACTTTCTCATTCGATTATATACCTCTAAATATGAAATTAGCTTTTTTGTTTTTTTTTTTGGATAAGATTTAGAGGTCGCTACCAGCTGTCAAAATATTTACTAAAAGCTTTGAAGATCTTAAATCATGGTTTCATAAATGTTTTATTTAAGTGTTTATATCACATTTTAAGTGCAAATGAACATCGCATAGATAGAATAGACAATCGCTTCTTGTCCCCTTCTCCCCTCAACCCCTCTTCTGTACTGACCATGGTACCGACGCGTCGAGATACTAACAAGTAAACTCTTATATCTTAAAAATAATTGATTCAAATATGTACATTGTACATAATATCTTAGTTCATAGCAACAACAATAATTTTGTAATATTTTTATTTGGCTTTGGCTAAAAATAAGATCCTAAATAATCGTCATAACTTTGGAACGGGACGTGCAAGGAATTTCTGAATTTGTTAATAGTTTTAACATATTCTTAACAATTTTTCAATACTATAAAAAGAAGTGGAAAGGCTTTATTTTCTGAAATAAACATGTTGACGATTTCTTAAAGCGTGCGGTATGAGTGCTCCTATTTATTGGCCATAACATTTTTATCTTAGGTTTAACAAATTTTTAAACTTCATCGCAATGTTTTAACATATTTTAAGTAAAACTTCCTCGATTTTTGTTAAGATTGAAGCAAGGATCACTCAATCCACATGCACATTTTTTCTTGGCATGTTACAATAAATCAACGATGATGACTTTTATGAGAATTTGTGTTAATCGAAATACAAGATTTATCACATTTTGTGCCAGTACAATTGTCCATGAATATCTTTAACAGAAATAGGAGTAAAAGACATGAAACAAAAATGCAAATATGCTAGTGCTAAGCCAATTTTGTCCAAACGTGACTGTAATTTCGAATTCAACCAAGCGAGCTTCACTACTGCTTTGAGAAAAATCTGTTTAACGAAAGCATTTTCGAAGATATTGAAAATCACTGAACAAATCTGAATATTATAGATCTTATCGGGTGTAAAAAAACCTATTTCAAAGCCGAGTAGGTAAATAACCACACATTTTACACATCCTTTTTGCCACAGAAACGTTGTTATGATTTTTCTCTCCATAAAAACCTTCTGTGGGACTTAAAGAATATAATGTGAAAAAAAAATTGCCTCGAGTTTTGCGCTTAGCAACATTCTTATGAATAAGAATAATAATACACAATAAAGAACTTACTTACTTACTTACTTACTTACTATGTTTTATAGATTTTGAGACTTTAAAGGTCAATGACAATATTTTCAAATATTTTTTTTACCCTAGACCATTGTGAAGCGGTAGGTAAGTAGGTAGCCTACCTGTAGCTAAGTATTTGGAAACTTTTCTCAAGGAACATAATTGAATTATTCTAATTATGCTTATTCACATGCTAAAATAAAAAAGTATTCAAAAGTAATTGATTTACATATTTTGTTATTCTTCCATAGGTATTCAGCTAAATCTATACATCTATACTAATATTAAAAATACGAAAGTAACTCTCTGTCTGTCTGTTTGTCTTGCTTTCACGCCTAAGAAACCACAACCGATTTTGATGAAATTTGGCATAGAGATAGTTTGAGTCCCGGTAAAGGACATTTATCCTGGTTTTTGAAACAGGGAGGCGCGCGATAAAGTTTTTCTGTGACAGACAAAATTCCACGCGGGCGAAGCCGCTTTCGGAAAGCTAGTACTTATGTATATATCAGACCGGCCAATCTGCCAGCACCCGCTCTTTTTACTGTAAATTTGTGGCGAGCGAGGCCCTTTCACGGCGGATTAGGTTTGCCAACTTCGGTATTTCCCGTGACGCCCCGTTGTATTACCATAACCTGAAATGCCCCGTGAGGACACGCCTTATTCCGTGTATAACTAAAATAAGGCATCAACGGTGGAATGATGATGATTCGTGGATAAAAAATGCGTGAAAAAGACTACAAAATAATTACTTTTAAGCATGGAAATATTCTCGTAGTCACAAAGTCATTACGTTACACGTACCTAGGTATTTGCTTTTTACGAGCTTTTCTTTAGTTTCACCTGTCCGATGTTTTTAATTTTCCCATGTAAAATAAATATTAGGTATACCTAAATGAAAGCCTATGTGATATGAATACATGAAAGAATATTCTAAGGACGACGTCTTCATAAATAAATAACTCACAAAAAAGTTAAAATCCTGTGAAGGATGGTTTTTTCATTAGCCAGTCAGAAAGATAGCCATGCTAAGGGGAAGAGACAAAAATAACGCTGACGTAATAAAATGAAATCATTTGACAAGCCGTTGCTTAAACGAAAAGAGATGTCAACTTATATATATTGTATGTAAGTATATATATTGGCTCAAATTGTTATTGCTGTCATCTTTCGAAGGTTGTCTTCAAAAAGCTAAAGCTTACAGCGTTTGGTGAAACCGAATTCCTGCGTTATTATGCACCTCTACGTGGTTTGAAGTTATTTTGAGTAACAGCATCGCACGCTCGCGCTATGACGCAATTTAAATTCTGAGCAGCTTATCTAGCTGCACCTTGTCTTGTACACACATGGAAGCCTTTGTCAAAGAACTTAGACGCGATATAGTCCCGTATGTGCGGCTTGGCTGCTTTTGCTGGTGAGCCAATGGCTTATTACATGCATGTCATCGGATATTTTCGCGAAGGTTTGTCTTCGACAACCTAAGTCTGCAGGCACGAAACTGGCGACGGCCGAGCGACGGCGAGGTGACGCGACGGCCCGCCGCCGCCCGTTTCATGCGCGTCACCATAATAAATTATACATAGATACTGTCATGTTATTGTATGCATCGCCGCCGCTCCGCCGTAGCGTTGCCCTGCCATCGCTCGGCCGTCGCCAGTTTCGTGTTCGCAGACTATGCCTATGCGCAGACCATTGATTTTTCGTCGGCCGATAGTTTAGTCGGGTCAGTATGGGCATGTACCTATTGAAGTGCGCACATTACGCCGATTCGATTTGGCCGATTCTTCATACAATTTAAAATCGGGCACAACTATCGGCCAACTAAAAATCGATGGTCTGGGCCTAGTCTTACACTTACAGCGCTTAGTGAAAACGATTTCCCATCTCATCAGGTACGTGCTTACGTGGTTTTTTTTTTTAATTCTGAATTTAAATTCTGAACAACTTGTTTTGTAACACATCAGAATAGGATAATATTTGATGTAAAATCGCAACTACACAAAATGCCACAGTGTTTACCTTGGTGTGCCGTCCTCTTTGCATATACACTTACATGGAAGCTGCATGTCAAAGATCTTACATGCGCGGCATGCCGCTTTTGCCGATGAGCCAATGGCTCAATTTATTACATGCATAATGTCATCGAGTATTTTTGCGAAGATTTTTCTTTCGACAACCTAACATTACAGTGCACGCAATTTGAATTTTGAACAGCTGGTTTACAAAACCACCTATAAAAGCACCTGTAGACAACTAAGTAGGTATACAAAGTTCCAAAAACGCCTCAATTCAAACTACACATAACGTCACAGTGTTTTCCTTGGTGTGCCCTCCTTTATGTAAGTACTTACAACCCGGTCAAGTTAACTTCGCACCTAGCTGGAATACGAGTCTCCCTCGCACTCACCTGCACACCTTTCTATGTTCGCCGCGTCCGTACCAGCGCGCGTCACGGCCGCCAGATGCGCAGTTAACTTGATCGAGTTGTAGATGGAAGCTTTTGACATAGAGCTTACCTGCAGTAAAGTCCCGTATGTGCGGCATCCCGTTCTTGCCGGTGAGCCGCCTGGCGTTGTCCGCGCCGTTGTTCGCGTCATACTCGTTGATATGGGCACCATGACGACGCGCCAACTTGTCTATGGCACGCTCTATCACTCTGTTGGAAAAAATAGACTTTTTAATAACACCGCTGCTGCACTGGTACTTACCAAATAAATCTTTTTTCTTTCTTTCTAATATAAAGTCAAAATGAACCGTCAGTCCAATGAATGGCTCTAGCATGGCAAAATATTTTTACAAATATTTGCATTAGATTTTGTGCATCTCCGCAAACATTTTGAAACCGGCATTAGGCGTATTCAGAAAATAGAATCTGATATTAAAACCCCTTTAAAGCTATAAGTAAGAAAAACATAGCGATAAACCTTTTAGCTAGTTAAATGAAGGAAGCGATGGCAATTTAGATAAGCAGACCCGAGCTCGGAGATTTCCGTAACATTCCGATACTAATCCGATTTTTATTGATTGGATTTGTCGCTTAAGCTATCTAAAGGCAAGCCTTTTCAGTATATGGTACAGTGGTATTTATACTGAGGAAAGTCTACGTGAGACCAGAAACCAAGTTTCGTATTTAAATGACTTTGGCCATGGTTTTTACAGTGATTCCTTCTCTGCAAATGTGCTTACAGTGGTTTAATTTTGCGTTAAAAGCTTTTACTTTAACAATATTACTAATGTTTGATTTATCCTTATCATCATCAGATCATTTAGTTTCCACTGCTAGGGCACGACTATTAATATGACAACGTTATTACCAGATGGACGATTTAGCCTACAAACCCCACGACCAGACGTGTTGGGGAGGTTTATGATGTGGCAGTCATCGTCATCATCATAATTTCAACCACAGGACGTCCACTGCTGAATATAGGCCTCCCCCAATGAATAAATTTCCACATCACCCGGTTAGTAGCGGAAAACGCAGCATAACAAGGTAAATAATAAGTACTTACAGTATGCCGTCGTCCACTCTCATGTCCTTTGTGGAGAAATAGACGAATGTGCCATTCCCGGGCCAGTCCGGCACCGGCTGGGGCTCGAACGTGGCTACCGTGCCATATTCTTCCGCCAGTCGTGCCAGGATGTATCGCGCCATCCACAGGTCATCGGCTCCTCTTAGTCCTGGACTCGGGCCTACCTGTTAATGTAATGAGCAAATTAAGCTGTGTAGCAGGTAACATGAACACATGTCAATGAGCTAAACAATCTTAGCTCAATAGCAATCTATTAATTATGCGAGCAGAGCCAAGCTTGTGCTTAGAGGTAATGCAATTAAACAAGTAATCACAAGGTACATTACGGACCAAAGCTATCTAATCTAACCCATTATAATGAGCCACCAACCATGTGAGCAAAGTAAATCTGCTTTCATAGATTTAGCTATAAAATATGAGGATTTACTGAATCGCGAATAAGTGCGAACTGTCAGTCAACACTCGTCTTTTGTAATATGATCAAACAAGGGCTTTCGACAGGCAAAACATAGTTTATAGTTCACTAAACTTTATTAGCTTGTGGTGTGCCGTGTGAGTGAACTCTAATATAAAAATTCAGTGCTGCTAAGAGAGATACAAAGTTTATAGTCTCGAGGTTTGTCTGAAAAATTATGTGTGTTCAAATACTAAGTTACTTAGGTAATTCCGCAATTTCCGTATCCATTAAATTGGAGTTATTTTGTTAATGAAGGTTTACTTGTTTTTATTGTTCCTTCTTGCTGAAAATATTTTTGACTTGACCGTTCGTTGATTATACAACCCCTCCGTGTCAGCGTTTATGTATTCAATGCCTTAATTAAGGCTAAAACAAAGAGGAGAAGCGAAGTAACTTTTAGAATTTGGAATTTATCTTTTCATTAGCTTTTTTTCGATTCTTTGATAAAAAACTTAAAAGATACTGTATAAAAGCAGAATTCAACGTTCACAAACTAGGACGACGCAATCAGTTACCTCAGTGACAAAGTGACAATACAATTTTGACTGCATGAATGGCTGAACCTCACCATTATTATTCCTGACACGTTTCAAATTTTGCTTGTTTTGTTCCCTTGGAGCAATTCATGGCCCGTTCTAAAGTTTTACGATTCCATTTAAATATTCGTTTCACAAGTCTTTACGTTTGAACGAATTTTGTTTTTAGATTTTTTATTTATTATATTTATTGTAAAATAACTGTTTTTATTACAAACAAATGACAGTAAAATAGTTTAACCGTTTTAATAACAAAATAAAAATATTACTAAGTAAGTATAACACTATTATTTGCTTGAAAATTTATTCAGGATGATATTATATTATATTGATCAATATACTCGTATGTATGTACTACATAATTAGATACACAATACAATAACACTGCCGATCCTAATTCAATTAGCTGAGGGAATTTGTAATAGGACGAATCTGACTCAGGCAAACACGTTAATAACATTCTAAGTCTGGAATTCGATTAGACTTGAAACGGTAGACCTAGGTGTTGACATTATTGAAAATGTTAGCAACTTCCTTGCTACTTAGACTTACTACGTCAGACGCCACGAATTTCGTGTTTTGGAATTAGATTACGTCCTCTGCATCAGATTCCAATTTTGACACAGAATGAGAACTCTGTTTTGTGTTAGGACTCTGACACCAAACAATAATATTCGACTTCTTTATATTCGAGTGTCTAGAGGGTTTTCAATTTTTTTTTAATCTATATGTATAAATAAAAATGAATTGCTGTTCGTTAGTCTGATTAAAACTCGAGAACAGCTGGGCCGATTGAGCTGATTTTGGTTTTAAAATGTTTGTCGTAGTCCAGGGTAAGTCTAAACGGTGAGAAAATAAGGAAAAATTGCGATGGCTTATTATTTATTGCCTTTAAGGCGGAACAGAGTTCGCCGGGTCAGCTAGTTAGAAATAAAATTAATCAAGTTTGTAGTCTTTTGTCCAAAACAATCTATTGTATTTATATTTCTAGGGTTTCATGCGACTTATTAGATCTTGAACAACAAAGTCGAATAATATGCTTATAAATTTCTCTATTAGTCTAGTGCTACAGATGAATCCTACGGCACTAAACTTGGTTCTGTTAACACAAGTTGCCATGTAAGTTCCACCACGAGTGCGATCATACAAAGACATAACTCGCAAACTCTCCAGACTTGTCAAACTCTCTCGAAGTGACAAGCCACAATAATGCAACGTCGTGATACACACGCCCCCATTTTATACGATGTTGACAAATGATAACAATAAATCGCAGAAAGTTCGTATCGCCCGCCCTTCGGCAACTACGCGTTGTTATATAAGTACCGGGCTAAAAACGGGGTAGTTATAAGCTCACTCCGTTACGTGTTCAGTTCGCCTTATTAATACATGCACCGAGTGCAGGAAGTTACAAAAATTATAAATACCATTTTGCACTTAATTCAAATTCATTTAACCTTATAACGCTACAACCGACAGGAAAGAACTCCAATAATGTAAATCAGGTGAATTAAATTCGCCGATCTAAACCATATCTGCGAATTATCGCAGTCTTTGGATTTCTCCATCTTCTTTCATTCGCGAGGTTATTACAGTCTAATGTGATTATTTCATGATGAAAATGATGCCCGTCAATTTAATAGCACTTTACCAATTCATCGAATAAAAAGTCCCCGATCCGTTATGAATTAATGATATCGCTTTTTCAACATGATAATAAGATAAATCAAATGAGAAAATACCTACCTGGAAATTCCACTGAGAAGGCGTAGTGCCCGGGTTGATGCCATTAAGTTGAAGGCCCGCATATAGACAACACCTGCAGAAATATACAAACAATTCTGACATTTTTGAATACAATTTGAGAACTGTTTTACACCAGGTATATTATTTTCTTTTAAATAAATCATCAGTAAGCTATTATTTTTATACGAGAGAATATTGAAAAAATAATAAACAGAGAAATATTGGGACATAACTAAATAAGTCATGATAATGACAGATTCCAGGAAAGCAAATGTAGCTTCTCACAGAAAACTGTGATTTTTACGTAACGCTTTTTTTTACTTGCTAACTTATTTTGTCGTACTGAAGTAATCAGCTGGCTATAATTTGCTCATAAAATGTTTATTTTTCCTTTTGACCCTAATTCGTATGCGAGAAATTAAGCTGACCAAGCATGGCTTTTGTTCCGTTTCGGGAACAAAGCGGAATTGACGAAAATATTTTTCTTGATGAAAAAACATTGGCATCGTCAAATTTAATTCGCTGCGCACGTAAATCATAACAAAAGGCCCGATAACGGTATTTTTAATATTATTGATATTCATAACTAACAATATCAGAAATACAATACGGTTTATTTATGGTACCTTACAGGCTGCACCTTATGTAGTTACAACAAAGGTGATTTTGCAACAAAAACTTATAGTCTGATCTTTACTTAGGCAAAAGTAGAAACAATATTGTTACAGTTTCTCTAGAGGCTCTTTATTCAAGCTTTGGGACGTCTGGTTTATTTGTCTTGAGTACGTATAAGTGCTTCAAAGAGAGCCTACACTACATACGAAATAAGGGCTTATTGATTGTAGTTAAGTGCACTTAGGATAGAACTGAACATGATGAAAATCGCAATCAAGCAATCGATTTAGGTGCTCTTTCTTAATAAGTTGTACAAACTAAGTAAAGTGTATTAATGTGAGAATGGTTAGATCTATGTTGAAAAATTTAATCAATGATCGATCAATTTAGAGCAGTAACATTATTTTTCATGAAATATTTAACAATGATATTTTTACCATTTAGCTTTTTTCCTTTTTGAGATACACTATATTATGTGGTCGTGATCCTCATCGATGAGGGGCCGAGGAAGAAGAAGAATCTTTTTTGACTTTTTGTATACTTATGATTTCGAGATTTCAACGCAATAATTTTAGTGTAATGTGTAATCACATGATACTGAATAATATTTTAAAATATTCACAAAAACTTGTAGCAATCAAATTAAACCGCTACGAAGTTAAGCTCACCTGTAGAACGCTTCCATGAGGTCCCTTGCTACGATCTTGTTGGCCCCCGTAGCACAGTAGTACGGGCCGGGCGGCGCGGGAAAACCGCCCGCCGGCCAGCCGAGCGGCCGCCCGTCCGTCGTAGTCAAGAAGAATTCTTGATTAAACCCAAACCACGGCTCCTCTACCTCGCCCTTCTCGCATAGCATCACGCAGTTCTTTCTGTAATTTGTAGCTGTAATAAAGATGAAAATCGTTTTTATTTTGGCGGTCTCATCGTTCGAAGTAGACAAACCCACGAACAAGAGCAATGAAAACTTATGACGTCATTCATTCGCCAAATCGAATAACCCGATATTCATTTGTTTGAAAGAAACTAGAAATTGAATATGAGTAATTCGAATAACAATTAAGTTTCAGGGCTACAGTTCCCTAACTTACAGTGACAACTATCTATTAGTAAGCTAGGAACAATTTAATGTCCACAACTGACAATATTCTTCCTTAGAAATTCTGACAGATAGCTTCCAAACCACTGAACTTACAAACCTGTTATCGTTTCACTGAACATTTCTAGAACATTAAAGTGTTACTAACTCCTTACTCGTTTATAAATGTAAGTTATTAGGCGTATCATATTTAATCAATTTTACAAAGTATAGTGATAACCGCATTGACAAACCGGCCTACGACAGTGACAAATGACGCAAATCGTTTCAAGCAAAATGTGGGTAACATTTCCCTGTAGGTAACTCAAATTTTAATTCAATTTTAATTTTATAACTCTAAAGACCATATTTTCAGAAGAGTCTCAGAAGTGAAACCACACAAATATATTTTCACAAAGGATTACTTAGTTGTTAAACACTGATTTTCCCTTTGGTGTTGGTAAATGTTTTTTTTAGTTAGTCGCCCATAAATTCTTTGTACTTTGTAAATAATAGTGTGGTAATGAAATATTTATTAATTTAAATTATTATTACCGGTTTGTAAAATAAACGTGCATAAGTAGTAACAGCTTGTGCAACGGACGACCGCTCTAAACGGAGGCTTCGAACAAACTAAACTACTGTCTACTGCTAATGACAGCCCACTAGGGGGGAGACGTTGACTCGGGAAGTCAATTGAGTGTCTCTTTTTAAGTTTTTTATAAAATGTTATTTATTACTACAAAAATATTTAAATTAAAATGTTTTACATACTTACAAATTCTCATTCAAGTCTGATAGGTTGAATTTTAAGATTTGGTCCTATCACAGGTTTGAGTGTAGATTCATACTTTTCGTTCAAATTACATCTAAACTGAAGTATGGTACGTACACCCACAATTAAAAGCTTTGATAGGGGAAGAAACATTTTTAGACTTTACAAAACAAAAGTATTTGAAAACACAAATTCAGAATATAACGAATTAAATTATTTGAATGTTTTTACACCTTAATTAAAGGAAATAAGGTCCAGCGGGCAGCTGTCCCCCTCCCTGTTGAAGGGTTATTCACATTATTTCTTGACGCAACGTAAACATTTCACTGAGATGGGAGAAACAAAACTTCATGAATATTCAAATTTCTGCGGACGTTTACACAATAGCAAGGAGCATAAATCAACGTTAAAAAAATTTAAACCTGTTTCCTTTCTCAAAATATTACCTTCACATCACAGGGATCCAATCGCGGAATACTTCTCTTACAGTTACATTTACTCGAACAATAACAATATTAGACCAGCAAACGGGAAAATAATTAAGGCTACGAAATTGGGTAGCTTGTAGGAAAATTGAGCAATCAGCAGCTTATTGGGAATATAATCAAATCTCGCGTCAACAAATTATTCTATGTATCCTATCCTACTAATACTTATTATAAACACGAAAGTATGGATGTCTGGATATTTGTTACTCTTTCACGCAAAAACTACTGAACGGATTTTGATGAAACTTTACTGTATTATTGTTTATAACCCAGAATAACATATAGACTATAATTTATGACGATCTGTGACAAACTAAATTTCACGCGGGTGAAGCAGCGGGCAAAGCTAGTTTGAAATATATTTGTTCAATGCTAACGACTACCACAAGAGTATGGCTACAAAAAAGCACAAAAATTGAATGTTTAAAAAAATAAAGCATGATGTAAAATAAAGTGCGCTGTTAAATATTTGTAAAGACTAACGTCTAGAGAGAGCATTCCTTTTTGAAAATTATTCACTGCTAGAAAACTATGCTATCCCAGACTCACTACCTTCAAACGGTGTAATTACTTTTACACGGGAAATTCCACGTTTCCCGAGAGATACCTTTTTGTGGCAAACTGAAAACTACGCTACTTTAACAAATTAAGACTCATTTAGGCCGGCAATACACGGACCGCTTGAAGTAGTCAGGGTCGACAGCTTCAAGCTGCGACTGCACAGTGAACTGCAGAGTTCTATGGACGCATATACACGAACCGCTCGAGCAGTTGCAACTGATTCGGGCGATCGACAGCACGGTGAATTTTCATCGTGCGGTCAAGCAGTCGCCAGCCATACACTGACTGCTCGAGCTGTCGTCAGTGCTTCCTCTTCAAAATCCATGGTGCTACTAATTTGAAATTGCCCACCGCTCGAGCTGTTGAACCAACTGCTCGAGCAGTTATCACTGGCAGCTTCAAGCTGTTGATTCTTGACTGCAAGAGCGGTCCGTGTATTTTGATCACTGACTTACTGCTCGAGCTGTCCGTGTATTGCCGGCCTTAGATTAACATTTTTTCAGCGCGTATATGAGCTCGATTTTTAAGCGCGTTTAAGCGCGCTTTTGCCAGACCATGTCAGTGAGCGGGAATGAGTTAACTCAATTTGCTATTTAAGTTCTCAGCGCTATTAAAAAAGCAGCGAAAAATTTTCCATGGCACTGAAATATAACTCAATTTTGACGCATTTTCGCATAGATTAAACTAACTATAAACTATGACTGACTACAAACTATGGGAAACTATCTGAGCTGAGCCAAACTAACTGAGCTTAGAATAGAACTTTATTTTATATTCACAAACACGTACGTATAAGTACTCGTACCAATACAATAGACAACAATATGATATAAATAAGTATAGGATACTTTCTTTTTAGCTTAGCTCTTGGTCTGCAACCCTCATTAGATTAAATAGGCATCAGACGTACATATAAAAACACAGAAGGAATTCAGGCAATCGGGTTAATATAAGCCTTCATCTAACGAAACAAAAACGTATACACAAGTCATTGTACACTGAGTCAGTCACTAGGAATCGAACCCAGAACTTCCGCATCGGGTGTCCCACTCTTACTACTGGATCGAGGCGTTAAATATACTCGTATTCGCGGGAGTCACCTCCGAGAAAACACGTCGAAATGAGTGCTAGCACGTAACTTTCTTTAGGTTCGTTTAATTTCTTTAAGCACGAAATGTGGCCCTCGTGTAAGCTCGTCAACGCTCGTTTGCCAAAACGACCGTAAAATGCGTCGATAAAACTCTTATCTGAAAAGCCTTAACTGTCCCCCAAACAATATATGATCTCTGTTATAAATCCATACGATTTTACCAGCTTTTAATCCTTTTACATGGTTATATTTGGACAATTTATTTTTTATTATATTTGGACCTTGAAACACGGCAATGAAGTTTAAAATTGGTTGGAACTGTATTACACATTTACTTACATATTCGCCGGTCCCGGTGTCTGTAATCAAATCTTACAAGTTTGAATTTGTACCCACTTCCCAAATTCTGATTGACCTACAATTTTGCATAGCAAAGGTTATCAAAATATTAAAGGAATGGTTACTTTGTTTTCATTAATAGGGCGTCGACCTTTATTCTCAAACAAGTGAATATTAAAAAGAAACGAATTTTGTTTTCCCGACCGGTCTAGTTAGAATACTCAGCTGAAAAAGGATTGTATTACTTACAGGTCGGTTGATAATTGTGCTGGTAGGTGTCCGCCAGAACCAATATATGGTTGCCCCGTCTGAATGGGTCGTGGTAAATTACTTCGGGGAAAATGAAAGTGTCCGAGTTGTCGGGATTCGCTTGCGCCGTGTTACTGCCGTCGAAGTACCAGATGGGCAAATCTGAAACAAAAACGGGTAGAATATCAGTCTCGTTGTCGTCGTCGTCGAACAACGTCACATTGACGATAGGGTTGATAAAAAGAACACGGTCTCTGTACTGCGTTAGAATAATCACATCCGTCGGTGTTTGATTCTGTAGATTCGATGCGTTTATGAATTCTGAAAAATATAATATAATCCCGTCAATAATCAATTAATAAGAACTTCCTATATTATAATCTCTTAATCTTGCATTATAGAGAACGTAATATTTAAGCGTCAATACAATCAAGACGATTATACGACATGATTATAATCTCATCCTAGTATATTTCAAAACAAATATGAGTATGCCCGCCTGAAATCAATTTAATGTCACGATAAAATTATATCGTAACTGTTGTGCTGACCTGTGCGGCTGGATAAATGGTAAATAAATATCAAAATCATTAAAACGTAATTAGGTAGGTACATGTCTAGCTAAAAGTATCTTGTTTTGCATAAAATGGTTTATAAGAGTATTAACAGTCTACCTAAAAAACACTTCAAAAACAAAACGAGACTAAATTTCTGTATAAATTAAACACGAATAACATTTCAAATTGCTAAAAACGAAGCGAAGTCAAAATAAATTGCGGATTAACACAATATCGAAAATAAATCCGGATTTTTTGCAAAATTGATGGAAATCCAATAATGAAACATCCTTATCCTACTTGAAGAAAAGTATCCTCATCTATTGGAATGAGACTTTTATGCCTTTATAAATCAAATCCTCAACGTCGGCATTCATTTATTTTAGTCAGTTCATCCTAACCAGATTTTTTCCTAGATAGAGACAGACTCCTATTTTCTAGGACTTAAATTTTTTTGTCCCTTAACCCTCGTTCACTGCAAATAGAATGCTTGGTTAAGGAAATAAAACAAAAATAGCCTTTCAAATGTTTGCATAAGTGTATTTGCTAAAGGTAATGTGTGTAGGTAGAGTTATTATTGCAATGAGAAAGGTAATCTCATTTTCTTCATAAATCTTATAATTTCAAATATATTTTATTACGTTTTTACAATACAATAAAAAGTGTTAAGTACTTAGTTTCTCTGATATTTGTTAAGTGAATAATATTGGGACTAGACTTTTTAAATTAATTTTCCGGCCAGTTAATAATGACCGTTCATTAATCATGCTGATCCCAGCATCGATATTATTAATTATTGAAACATTTATTCTCACAACATTGACGTCATACATTCCACAACAACTTTTATGACATCGGTGTTTGGTGTTACCCATACTCAAAAAGTATTGAATGAGCAATAACAAGCCTGAGATATTCGTATTTTCAGTTGACTTTTATTGTATTCAGAGAACCCAGCTTATCATAATATGTGAGTTTTTATTGCTGTGTTTGTTGAGATGTTAGGTAGCTATTCAAATCATCATTTGCGAAGATAGTACTTGTTTCTTTTTCTTACAAAATAATATTGGGACAATAATATCAAGAATATTTTCCCAAGAAAAATAGTATTTAATTTATTCATACGCCTACTGAGAATTTTAACCTATTGACGTAGCTGTAGGATGTAATGTCTATTATTATAACGTAAAACGGTATTTTTATAAGTGCCATAAAAACGTAGATTCTGTTTGAGGTAGGTATAAAAATATTTTTTAAATCAAATGATAAATAGCATTTCTAAATTAATGTGGATGCGAAATATTAAGTTAACCCAGCACAGTGGTAGGGTTAATACTGGAACGTGTAAAAGTGCTTTTTAAAAGTCTACTTGCAAAAATAAAATGAGTTTTATGAGTTTTTTTATGAGTACCAAAGTTATTATAATGCAAAACCTTAAACTTCGGACGTATTATTTCAAATAAAAAATAATCTCAACGCTTTTCATCCTCCAGACACCTGTATCATGTACAAAACTTCTAGCTCCAACACTAAACACTACAGCTGTAATAATTGCTGGTATATTACGCTGTAAGTAGTAATTATTACCTTTATGAGTTTTCGGAATGAAGTCAAAAGTCCTGTCCTTAGACCTCAAGTTGATCCCAGTTCCGTCCACCCAGACATAGCTGGCCAGGATCGCATCGCACGGGACCTCCAGGTCCTCATACTTGCGCATAGAGCCCTTGTTCAAGACCACCGGCGTAGTATTCATTGTAGTTATTCCTGTGGAATGATTTTCAATTTATGGTAGTTATGGGGTATACCTACTTTAAATATATTGGCAGCTATGCTCGCATTGTGTGACAATGAGTTGATGATTGTCATCGCTAGGTTGCTGAAGTTCTTTAGCTCGGAGTAAACTTCGCACACATTGATTTGTTTGGGAAGAAAAAAATAAGGAAAGATGGAGAAAACGAATATAGTTTCAATTTATCCGCTTTAAAGGAATTTGCATAGGAATAAGGTAACAAATTTCAATCACGTCCTTAATTCCATCCTTGTCAAGTGATCTAAGCGTTACTTCGAAATCCAGCTTTAGGCCAAAATCCTTTCTATGTAATCGGCTTAGTCGAGTGCCGTTTTCCAAGCTGAGCTGTTCTTAGGTGCAAATACTTACAATTATTATAATATTTTGCTCTGAATAGAAATGAAAGTAACATAAAACATTAGCCTATTAAAAGCACGTGCCAGTGCAACCAAATCCCCGTAAAACATGATAAGTACTTAAGTAAACAAATCTTCCCTTTTATAGAGCGTGTCAGAGAATAATAAATTGCCGATGCGAATCACAGATGATCTCTAGTAATAATGTAACTTTAAACTAGGCCATCGCTGCGTTGTCTCAGGGATTAGGAAGCGATGCTTAGGTATTCATCACATTATTTTACATGCAATGCTAAGACGGTAAAGAAACTCTTGTTTCTAGTATAAAGAGTAGATTCTTTTCTTTATTGGTATTGCTACTTTCAACACCTCATGTCCGTTTTAAACTTTTTACGAGTTCGTAACTAAAAAAACACGAAATGGTCATAAGTTGAGAGCAAAATATAATTTTTATTACCTCCTGGCTGGTATGATGGAAGCTCACTCATAATAATTTATCCAAGATAAATTTAGAGTCTGTGAAATGAAAATAACATTATTCTAATTTCTACAACACTCCCTAATTATACTCGAGGTAGGAGGATGTAGTGTCGTTGAACTAATTGCAAAATTAAAGTCTGCAACGATAAAATAAACAGAGGTTTTTTTAATACGTTTGGCCATGATGTTTGGAGTCTACGTTATTAGCATACGGAAACCCTTATGTACCAGAACCCAATTAAGTAACGTAAAACAATACCTATGGGTACCTACATTATTGCCGGATTTTGAAATTTATGGGAAAATTGCTAAATCCGATCATGATGCATAGGTAAGCCAAAGGTAAGCTTGGACATTAATTATATTAGACATAAAAGACGGCAGAAGGGATTTCCCTCCATTCTGACTTGCTAGGTACTCTACATTATTCAATTCTCAGATTTAATGAGATTAACTTACGTTGATGAGTCTACAAAATAATTTTGACGAAATTACTTTACAATTTGAAAAAACCACAACATACAAAATACTGACTTTGACGTTTTTGGAATTTGGCGTTTAGGGTTTGTAAACGATTAAAAATATAATTTCACCAAAAAGTATTTAGATTCATAACAGGCCAGTAATTTTGTTCTACGAATAACTTGTAATGTATAAAAATAATTATGTAGTGAGTATTAAAATACATAATTGTGAAACATTTAACATAAGTTAAATTATTTAGCTAGGGTCACTCTAAGATGTTTTTATAATTAAAATAAAGGAGGACCTAAATGTTCTTCTTTTCTTTGATGTCAAAATGTCATTAGTTAAACTTCTCGGCAGAATGACAACTGACAACAGAGATAGAGTTGTTTAGAAATACTTTTGGAAGTTTACAATAATTATTTCTAGATTATTTTTGCACACAAAATTAATCATGTGAATCATGGCTTCTTATTCAGTATTTAGTATTTCCAAAATTTTCACGATAATTTTGATTATATCATTCACAGTTCCAACTGATTGTTCAGAAACAAACTTGAAATCAAACAAACATCCTCTAAATATAAACTCCTGGGACCAAAGTATCGTAAACACTAGCTCGGGTTTTACGACTACTGAGAATTCGTTAAAACTAACAGTGAAAAAATGGCAAGTTGGCAGAGTGAGCCGAAAACATTACGAGATTGTCAATATGTTGTGGAGGAAAACAAAAATATTTATTAACCCTGAGACTACAACTCCGTCTGAAAATCGTTTTAGAAGGAACCATCGTACATCGACAACTACAACCAAATATGAAAATATTAAACCACTTACCCACAGCTCGCGGCTACCTTCAGCATCATCTACGCCAAGTTATATTGAATTCTACTACCTGGATGATAACGATGACCGCATTAAGCGTAGAGATTCTTTACTACCTACTTTGACATCAAATACACCACAGCAGAAACCAGTTCGTGATAATTTATTTATAAGGTCACCTATCTTGTCCCTTCGTGTTAATGATCATCTTATGGATTCCCTTCCTAAAACAAATTTGGCGATTGAAAAGGAAAATCCTGAAACAGCACCTCAGGCAAGTAAGCGTCCAATTATTAACCAAAAACCAAGCATATACGGCTTTTTATCCAATAAATTTAAAATAGATCTAGCACCTATGATAAAATCAAATAACCATTTGTTTAATAATAAACATGATAAGAAACATGTTACTACCGAAAAGTATTTTGATAACGAAACTTGTCCTGTTACAACTGAACCTCAGATACCTGCGAATTTAACAACACTTTTAAATATACTGAACACTCATAATAAGACACACGACGATGTGCTAACTTTTACGCCAAAAAATGTTAGTATTGAATCTCAGAAAATAGAAATTACTACTGCTTATGATAAAATAAAGTTTTTTGAAATGTATGATCAAAATACTGTGTTGCCTATGAGTATCATTAATAGAATAAGAAATAAAGATGAGTCTGAAAATATGGTTATGGAAAATGAGATTAATGTTATTCAGAAAGTGAACCTGGAAGATGTTGATCATAATATAGGATACCATGATGGTACGAAAGTAAAGAATGTAAAGAAACATATTGATGAAAATAGTGCACCAATAACGCATAACATGAACTCTAGTAATTCTGAGCCAAAACTTAAATTCAAAACTGTGATGTTTCGTGTTAATAAAACAGTTACCAAGAAAACTACAGAGGTAGAAAATCCACTTAGAGATTTAAAGAAACATCAAAGTGATGCACTACTATGGAAAAATTCTAGCAGGATCGCCATGTGGTCTGAATATCCATTTGCAGCTGTCTACATATTCGAACCTTTACAGGTATGAAATGAGTATGCAGCAATACAATGACTAGAATTAAAGCTAATACATTTCGCGTTTTATACAGATACACTGTGATGCAGCTGCCTTAAGTCCACACTGGTTGGTGACCGCTGGATCCTGTTTATCTCGTTTCCACCGCAAGGATCCTCTGACTGAAGGCCGTTCAGCTTTCGTGGCGTATTGTGGTCAGAACTGGTGGCAACCTGAACGAGTAGCTTATGTGAAGTACAGCATCGTACATCCGAAGTTTCATCCCAAAGATACAAGAAGATTTCTGTACAATATCGGTATGTTATTACAACATTATAACTTTACCATGTTACTGATTTTTAATCAAATTAGTGTTATTATATGCGTTTGGTATTTTATTTTTAAACCCATTTAGGATTAAAATAATTTTAAATAAATGATTATGGTTGGATCAATTTCAGGCCTCGTTCAAGTCGTTGGCTCAATGGCTTCATGCTTCGGTTGGGCGCCAATTTCGCTGATGTCCCATAACTTCGCTGCCGATGCTGATGGGTCCCTGGCTACAGCCGTAGGATGGGGTCTAGACAGGTATTAGATGAAAGTTATTAACCGTGAAATGTTAAAAAAAAACTTCAACAATTTGAAATTATAACATGTTTTTAGATACGATGTGAGATTTACGTCTGTTGAGTTACCTAGAGTGCCACTGTCTGCATACAACGGTTTTGTATACTCCACAACATGCCCTGGCAGTAAAGGTTTCGGGTAATGATACTTTTTGTTTACTTTAAATTACAATAATTTGTTCTAACTTTTAAAAAATTGATTAAACTTTTCAGTAAAGTGAAATTGTACAGCGACGAAAGTGTAGTAGTGAGGAACAACATGTATTGTTTATCGCTGCCCCCTTACTCCGGCGAAGAGAACGATCCCATCCATGGGAGTCTGCTTCTTGTTGGTGGCAAACTGATCGCTTTGTACTTGCAGGTGAGTAAATTATCCGATTTACGTCCCTACGTAAACCGCGGGATCCAACTGTATCTATTTCTGGCGTGAATGAATTACCTAAACATTTTTATTGGTATCGAAAGTCAACAGGATGGTGTAAATATAGTGACGGTTTACATTTCTTGTATCAACTACAAATAAATAGTTTAATGCTTACACTGAATCCTGTTTTTAGAAGATTTATACTGAAAACATATTATGAATTTTGAATGAAATGGATTATTTTTTAATCGTTTTCCTTTTAGCTTCATTCCAATACAGGGTGAAATTTTATCCTTAACCGTTGCAGTTACATTTTACACTAACACTGTTTCAGATGATGGCTAAAATTGTAACCCAAATCAATTGAAGTTAGAAATAAGCAACGAAAATCTTTTAGCATCCATTACCTTTATTGGTCCGTGTCAAAAAATATTTTTTGCGTGAAGTAATCCGTATGTTTTCCAAATTGAAAGGACTTATTTTTTCCCGTAACTACTTTACCGACCTACTTTCATTAGGCAGTAAGAACTTCCGACCCATAACTACTCACAACAGTTACGCTACTTACCTTGTCATTTCATTTCAAAATACCTCTTTCATATGACTCCTCGTGTAAGCGCTTAGTCTATTTACTTGGCAAAGTATTTACGGAAAGCGCCGGCTTTTCTTTCGTTGCTTCGGAAATTAATTGGATTTCCTATTGCTCTGCTTGCTTGTGGTGTCAGCTTCTATCTTTTATTTAATTGGTTTTATCTAAACTTTTGGTTGTTTAGAAAAAACTGCAAATGAAACCTATATACCTGCAAAGTGACTATCTCTGTCTTAAACAATTTTCACGCAGGCAAGAAAGACATTCATGAATACATGTAAAAGTTTCACAGTCACCAAAAAAAAAAAATGTACATACATTTGAAAAAAACCTTAACAGTTTGATTGTAGTGCAAATCACTCAATTGCATACCTTAGTGCATTACGCAATCTACATGGTGAAACGTTAAGTGATCTCACTCGAATATTTCTTAACTATAGGTACAAGATATTAAAAAACTGGTTACTGATCCTGAAAGCGCTTAATGAGCTCTTTCAAACGGTACCAATAATAAGTTACAGAATAAACTGGATCTATCTGAAAATTCAATGTTTCCAGCTTCCATACTAAATGTATGCTAGACACACAATATTAGAAGTGTATTTTTTTAAATTTAATAATAAATACTTAAAATAAACTCGTAAATTGTATTCTTATTTTAAATTATTAATGAAAAACATTGGTTTTAGGCTTTACTTGCTATAATATTGTCAAGAGATGAGTGTCATGACTGTGGGTACTACTAAATGTATGGAAGAAGGAAACATTGAATTTTTGGTTAGATGCAGTTTATTCTGTAACCTATTATTGATACCATTGGATAGAGCTTGTGAAGCACTTTTAGAATCAGTAATCAGTTTTACGATATCATATGTAGTTTTTAAAATAATGTGACTTTACCAAATGTATGGAAGCTGGAAACATTGAAGTTTCGGATAGATCCAGTTTATTCTGTAACCTATTATTAATACCGTTTGATAGAGCTCATGAAGCACTTTCAGGATCAATAACTAGTTTATTGATATCTTGTATAGTTTAGAAATAATCGAGTGAGATCACTTATCGTTTCCACCCTGTATATCGTGTCTGGTTTTGAGTGCTGCTAATTATATTACTCACACATTATTGTTTGGATAGGAGGAGCGCCGCGTCTGGGGCGAGCAGTCGGCGCAATACACCGGCGTGTGGCGGCTCGTCCCGTGGGTACACGAAGTGGCTCGCGAGCCGGACGAAGCCGACGGCTTTGCTATTGACATTTGACCTTAATTGTTCCACTGATAGTGACGATATGGGGCTACTGTTTAAAATTAAAAAAAAATCAAAAATATAGTTGTAGTTTGTGTGAATACACCTTTATATTGTGACTATATTATTAGGCCTGGCTCAGACACGTACGGTGACTGCGCGGTTTCTGGGTGGTTCTCATCTAGGCGATGTACTGAGGCGGTAGCCGTGCGGGACAGTGCGGTAAGGTTTGTTGTACGAGTAAATAGACTTTAAAAAAGGAGGAGGTTTTATGTTCGACTGTATGTGTATTTAGTTCCTGTATTGTCTTTTGAACCAGCCTTTACTCAAGACTCGAAACTGCAATAGACGTTTTGAAAGCCACAAGAACGCTTTAAAGTAGACTCTTATGTAAAATGCCTTTACTAAGCGAGACAGATATAAATCTTGTTGTAATGAATATTGCTCTTCATTAATTGACTGTAGTGTGCTAATAACCATTAAGACTACACCTCTCTCGAACACAACAAATAGTTTGTCGTGTCGACCTGTGGCTTGAACGCTTTTAATCAACCCGCTACATTACGGTCCCCCTCATCGTGTTACTCTGGATTTAGGGATTTATGTTACGTTTCTGTGTGTTTGTTACAAGTTTTTGTGGATATTTTGTAACCACGTTTTTCTATTGTTTTGAAAAGTTGTAATTATTTGTTTCTTTTTTATTATGTTGTATTTTTTTACTGAATAATAAAATATTTTGTTGCAATTTTGTTTGTCATTGTTGCATTTGTTTATATATTAAAAATAAACACTAATATTCATATTTTTTAACACAATAAAGGGAAATTAAGGTCGAATAATTAGCAAATGGCCTCCAATAATTCCATACGCGAATTTGATATGGCGGGTTCCGTTGGAGGTTCCAACTTGGAAGTGGAACTGTGTGGAGTCCCCCTGAATCGTTTTCAATCAAATATTCGTAAAAGGTTTACATAAAAATAAGTTGAAAAATATTCTCGAAAGAATTTTTAATTGGAAAATAATTGAAGTACCTTTTTGAAATGGAATTTTATGGGGATATTTTTTATTTATATATGGGTCACCTATTAAAAAAATTAAAAAACCTTAGTTTAGAGAGACTTTATTTTACAATGTCATCGACTTACGTAGGTAATGTCCATCAATTTGTTTTTGTACATGGCACAATATTATACCCTCATCTTAAAATGAAATCAATATAATATTTTCATTATGTATCCTTGCTCATAATTTTATAGCGAAAATATTGTTTTGTTGACTTATCTTTAAATACATATCTATAAGTACCTAAGTCATCTAAAATTAAAAAATGTTATTATCATAATGTAAATAATACNAGCTTTCAAGCTTTGTCCATTTGTTAATGCAACGATGAATTCGCGGTTCAACGAGCTGCTCAGTAAACACAGACAAAGTGCATCGCGAAATGCTTACAAAAACTGCTGAAGTAATTCAAAATGAAAGATCATTCTAGCTTATTTTAGTCTCGTTCCTAAATCCACAACTTTATTTACAATGCAGAAGCTTTGCATTTGCATGTTACAGTACTCATTTTGTTCAATTATTTCACTGTTCATAAGCTCACAAAATGAAAATATTTTTTGTCCATTACAATACTGGCGAAGCTTTTCTTTCGTCTGCTTGCAAATTACATTTATTTAAATAATAATATGTATTATGATACACAATAAACTCATATCCATTTTAAACCTCGACGGAAAAATAAGGTTGTATATTACGCAAGTCAAATTTTATTTTTCAAGCAAATGAACCGATTTTGATTTAATTTACTTTGGTTTGAAAGCATAATTACATTGAGTGTTGTCTTATGATCACTGTAAAGTACAATATTATTTAAAATCTGTATGACAATTTGAATTAGATTTAAAACCGTAAATAAATAATGTAACCGTTTTGGTAGGTAATTATTAAAACACTGCCGCGCTGCAACGAAATTGCTTTCACGTGGAATGCTTATCTTTCAAAATGAGGGCGAAATGCCGATACATGATACGCAGTGTCAGGCGGCCATTAGGGCTCGGGCAGGGTTTGATTGAAGGGCTATGCTCGTCTATTATGCAGCCTGTACTAAATTAACTTCATACCATAAGGTCGATAATAATCGCCTTTCAAAAATTACGTGCATGTGATAGACGTGTACACTGTACAATGTACATACGTCTTATACTGCTACCACTTTGGTAACATTAAGGCTGGGGTGCACCACGTCAAAAAACGTTTGTTAAATAAAGTAAGATCTTGGAGTAAGATGGACCAACCCAGCCTTAAACTTTCATGTTGTAGTTGTTAATAAACTAAATTTATATAGTGTTTTGTTGCCAAATCCCGTTATATTAATAAGTTTATAACATTAAATCAGATCTCGAGAAGTGACGTGATACCTTCATCAGCCTTTTGCTCTGTTAAATGAAAAGCAATTTAGGAGATACGATAAAGTGCGAACGTGCAGGTAAATCCATGCATTGTTATATGATAATACCCGTAGTTTAATTCGTACGACGTTCCATAAGATAACATAATAATCTGGCAACTTTTCAAGGTGTTAATAGGCTCTTTTGTGAGCTTTGTTTGCCTTTTGCTTTGTTCAAATTCAATCTAAATTACAAGATACATGTCGCCTTTCTTGCTCGTGGTCCGATCGTAAAGTTCTAGTTCTACTGAACAGTTTTGAGTCTTTAGGTAATGTAATTTTTTCTTAATAATTTTGATGGAAAGGCGCCACAATACTCGAAGGGTATCTCCAAAAATGAAATACTTTTAGTTATACTTTCCCCCTTGCACCATGATAATCAATCAGCGCGACGTTTGCATTACGGCCTGAAGGCCGACAGTGGGGGTTATCAATCAAAGTATCTGTTATGCATGATGTCTTGCATCCAACCGACGTAGCCGGCGGTGCGGGTGTAGATGCCATACTTGCCGCGCTTGCCGCAACCGTCCCCGAAACTGGTGATGCCCTGAAAGAAAATGTTAGTGAAGTTATAGTGAACTAGCTTTTACCGCGGCTTCCCGCGTAAGTTTCGGTATTTGGGTAGTTGAAACCACAACAACTTTTCAAAAATAACACACATTATAATTATATCCCTGAACACCGATTTAATTTTAAATGTAGTAAAATTCAAATGAGTAAGCTATGGAATAAAAAAGTTTATCAATTGAGTTCGTGAACTAGTAAGTAACTTCAATAGATTCCTTTTCATACACAAAACCTATGGTGCGTCAAAAATTTTGTCATAGTTTTTGAACTACCACTGTAGATCACAAATCCAACGACTATAGATTATATACTTTGAAATGTTTTACTTACTTAAGTACGTAAGTACCTACCTAGATTAGCGTAGGTAGTACCTACTTAGTAAAACACGACGATAGTAAGTAGGTATTTGACTTATGTCAATCTCTATTACCTGCCTGGCTATCTAAAATCTAGGGCCCTTCTACAAATAACTTGAATAGCTTAGTGACCCTTGACAACTTGTTTATCTTGCGTCAGTTTGTGTCTACTTATTGCCAGCCGACCCTTATCACAAGGCGCTTAAATCCTTGAAGTAAACATAATTACGATTTGCCTCAAACGACTAAGGACGATCCCAATGTACCTACATAATTTACAAACCATTAGGTGAAGACTTGATGATTTATTATCAAAATTTCCCGCACCCCAAACTTTTTAATACAGTTACAGTTCAAAGTGACTTAAATGTTGTGGTTGGATTGAAAGTTTAAAACCGAAACATACCAAACTCCAATTTAAATTCTTTCTTAGTACCTATATTGATGCTCGTTTTCACCATCAGTCCCAAATTTTTAAGTGACCCCTATGAAAACAAAATTCCTGTTATGTATTACCATAAGGGTCACTTAAAAATTAGGGATTGATGGTGAAAACGGGCATTAGACGATGTTCAGGGAACTTATACAATGTGCTAAATATAGCTTTCCCTTCCACTCGTACCCGAACTACCTACTTACTTAGCTTCGAGTACCTAACTTTGTGATAATCTCAGCCTTTGCGTTTATACTTGAAATGTGATATACTTAGCATCCTTTAAATGCCTACACTTACAATGAAACTAACGATACAGGAGCGTGGGTCCAGGTAAGGCCTGTGAATCTTTTGTACCTATAAGTAAGTATAGATTAATCTTAATTGTTACCACTTGGAGTCTTCATAAAATTTAATAAATCAGCATTTTGAAGTAACATTTTCAAGAAATCAAATAAATCTCCATTATGGCAATTTACGTTAAATTACGCTTTTCAGTTGTCGAGGAAATGCTTCCTGATTGTAATCATGGTTGTAATTCTTACAGCCTGTGATGGAAACCTCTTGTTGTTTAACATTAATTAAATAAGAGTCGTTAAGATAAGTACCTTTAAGGAAAACGAGATGGGCATTCTTAACAGACGGTTGTATTTCAGTTTAGCAGGAAATCTAGTAATAAATCGAAATAAAATAGATTTGCATACCATAAACGTTACATTAGGTAAAGTCTAGTAGCGTAGTAAATAAAATCCACGACGCTTATGAGTCTTATGCCCGTTTTCACCATCAATCCCTAATTTTTAAGTGATCCCTATGGTAACACATAACAGGAATTTTGTTTTCATAGGGCTCACATATAAATTTATGGATTGATGGTGAAAACGGGAAATAAATATAGAGGATTTTTTGTCATCTTAAAAAGAGTCCATAAAAGTTAGAAACCTCTGGCTTAATAAACCAAAAGACCACTGCAGCTGCTGGATAAAGGCCTCCCCTAATTATTTTCACAACGATCGGTCGTTGTGGAAATCCGGGACCAGTCCTACGCTGTCCGCATCCAGGTACTTTCCCGTGTTCTTCACTAGATCGTTGGTCCGGTGCGGTCCATGGTCACCACTCTATAGACCTATGTGCCCCTACTGCTATTTAAGTATTGGTAATTGGGTACCTATTCCTGAATTTCGTTCGTTTCGTTTCAGCCAATGTGGTCCCATTCAAATCAAATCAAATATATTTATTCATAAACATAGGTAAAAAGGGTGATAATTATAATAGCAGTGGGCTCTATGCTTAACCTATCGAGAACTTTTCTGCCCTAGAGTTCCTGAATTTCTACAGTACCTACCTGCAGGTAATACCGCATGTCCCGGTCCCGGCAGAGCAGAGGCCCGCCCGAGTCGCCTGCGCATGAGTCCATGCGCCCACGGCCCGCACACACCATGTTGTCGATGATAGTGCATAGTCTTGTAATTAGTAATTTGTGAAATCACAAATTCATCATCATCATCATTTCAGCCAATCACAAATTACTAATAATCTTTAAAAAAAGAAAAACAGCTAGACAAAGGACTCCAAAAGATTTCCATAACGACTGGTCCTTCGCTGCTTGCATCCAAGTACACCATTCGAGAAGTTTTCTACCCCAGTTCCAGTGCAATTGAGGGAGGTCGAACCTTAACTTCGAACTCCTCCTTTTTTCTTCTGATTAATTTTGTTGCGGGTCCAATGACAGTTTTATTGGCGGTCACGCTGTAGATCCTGGGTACACAGGAGTTAACACTGCCACAATAGATCAAACCTGGTCGAGCTGGCGCAAATGAAGGCCCAAAACCAATAATAATAAAATACACAGGAGTTGCAGCGGTAGGAAAAGCGGTGGGAATAGTCCCGTACCCCAGTTCCTGAATTTCTAAATATGTACCTACCTGCAGGTAATACCGCATGTCCCGGTCCCGGCAGAGCAGAGGCCCGCCCGAGTCGCCTGCGCATGAGTCCTTGCGCCCACGGCCCGCACACACCATGTTGTCGGCATAGTCTTGTAATTAGTAATTTGTGAAATCACAAATTTATCATCATCATCATTTCAGCCAATCACAAATTACTAATAATCTTTAAAAAAAGAAAAACAGCTAGACAAAGGACTCCCAAAGATTTCCATAACGACTGGTATTTCGCTGCTCGCATCCAAGTACACCATTCGAGAAGTTTTCTATCCCAGTTCCAGTGGAATTGAGGGAGGTCGAACCTTAACTTCGAACTCCTCCTTTTTTCTTCTGGTGGACAGTTTTATTGGCGATCACGCTGTAGATCCTGGATACACAGGAGTTGCAGCGGTGGGAAAAGCGGTGGGAATAGTCCCGTACCCCAGTTCCTGAATTTCTAAATATGTACCTACCTGCAGGTAATACCGCATGTCCCGGTCCCGGCAGAGCAAAGGCCCGCCCGAGTCGCCTGCGCATGAGTCCTTGCGCCCACGGCCCGCGCACACCATGTTGTCGGTGATAGCGTACTGCCAGTACGAGCGCCGGCAGACGCCTTGCTGGATGGTCGACACCTACGAAGAGTTTTGGGTCTTATTATGAGGAATAAGGGTTATTTATGTTACCAGTAAACATGGCCGGCACTATATTATTTATTGCAAAACTGAAGTACAGCTTTTGTTGGGCAATATTTCAGAAAAAGTTGTCTGATTTACGGTTAATTGGCATATTTGTATTAAACAACCAATTTTATACCTACCTACCCAACAAAGTAGAGAAGATAGTCTATTAATTAATTCAGTGCAAGAACAATTGGAGACAAAAAAATCTAACCCTAGGATATAGTAATAAAATGCTCCTAGAAGGAATGATTCTGAGCACACAGAATGGATGAGCAGAGTCAAGATTACAATATGAGCTTTTAATAAAACTTAAATTTAGTACCTAAAAAATCGATCATAGCTTCTAATATTTTATATGACTGTAGGTACACCACTTAACATAATGAGTAGTAGCGCCTAGTAATACCGCTCTCCGCAAAAAGACACTAACATAAATCCCGAAATTTTAAACCTCACGATGAAATATTTATATCCAAAAGCGTGCCTAAACCTGCCCGCCACCTGTTATATTGAAAAAGTTTCTATGAATGAGGATTATAATTAAAACTGTTGCGAGTTCCACTTTCGTATAAAGATCGTCTCAAACTTTTAGATTTTCAACAACAGAGAGAATAAATTTGTGAGTTGCAAAATTTATATTATGGATGTAATCTTCTCACTTAGGTATGTAGGATTTCAATAATCTAATCTTAAATTTAATAATACAACGTCACTTACATAGTCTCAAAGTCCTTTTATGGCAACATTGTTCTACTTGTTCGTGTCCATCCCTTTTTAATAATCTTAAAATTTGTCTACAATCAACTTCAGGTAAAGCAATAGGATTATCTCCTGAGACGTAACTAAATCCCGTCAAACATTAATATTAAATGTAAAACTAGGGTAATGAGCATCACGAAGTTTCAGATTAATGTACAAGGCAAGGAGAATATTAATTAACTGGCATAGCCCTCGGCTCCGCGCTTGTTTCGAATTGTCACACGCAAGGACGATCACTTTACTGGCACGTGCAAGGTGCGCGAAAGTTGATGAGTCAAATTCAAGCTGGGGACAATTTCTCATGAGAACAACAACGAAATCTCAAACTAATTTAGCAAGGTAAGTAACATACTTTAAGGTAGGTTACGTACTTTGTTGTGACAAGAAATTGTTGCTTGAACTTGATTTTGCGGTAGCAAGACCGCAAATCTAAATAATTTGAATGTTATAATCATCATCATCATCATCATGATCATCATCATCATCATTTCAGCCATAGGACGTCCACTGCTGAACATAGGCCTTCCCCTAATGCTTTCCACGTTGATCGATTGGTAGCGGCCTGCGTCCAGCGCTTCCCTGTTACCTTTACGATGTCGTCGGTATCACCTTGTAGGTGGACGTCTCATGCTGCGTTTTCTGGTACGCGGCGGCCTCCATTCCAGAACCTTGCTACCCCATCGGCCGTCAGTTCTGCGTACTATGTGCCCTGCCCATTGCCACTTCAGCTGGCTAACCGTCGAATGTTATAATAGGCCAGTAGAATTAAACATGAAAATTAATCAAATCGGAAACAATTCTTTCAGAAGGTTTTATTGTTTTACTGGCTTTATTTGTTGCCCATTATGACTGGAATGTTGCCCAGGCCATGATTTTGGTTGTCGTGGAAGTCTAGGCTAGTCTAGGCACTCGGGCGATGACGGAACGCCGCGGAGGTTTTAGTGGGATCCCGTCCTTTTCAGGTACGACCCTGTCCCCCGGCAGTGGTGACGGTGCACAAAACATTTCCTCCGCGACAAAAAAAATAAAGGCCAGGACTTTGGTGTGTGAGGCTAATAATTAAGAGGTAAAGTTAGACATAATATTACACTTACATACTAAGTATAAAATCTGGAACAAAAAAATCCCAATACCAACCTGTGCTTCATGAAGTAACCGAGTTCCGTGGACATCAGTCGCCCGCTTCTTGCCCCAGCCCAGTATGACGCAAGTGGTATGGGGAGGCAAGAGCTGATAGGCCGGCGGTAGGCACGCTATGCCGTGGCCGAGGTCTGGTCGTGCTGGCATGGGCAGACTGAAAAATTACAACATTAAGCCTAGGGCAGACCACCGACTTTTAGTTGGCCGATAGTTGCAATGTGTCGGGCTGTTAATCATTATGGAGATGTATGGAAGTGTTCACATTACACCGATTGATTCTTCATACAAATTAGAATTGGGCCCAACTATCAACCGACTAAATATCGGTGGTCGGCACCTAGACTTATAATAAACCTCATTTAGGTGCGCTTCGAGTAATAGGTACCTCCTATAAACGAGACTAATCATTTTCCTTCTTTTTATTTAGCGGTTTCGTTTATTCTGTAGGACTAAAAAGCTTTGCCGAAGTAAAAGAAAATTATACCATTAATTCAAGCCCACAAAAAAATATTCGCTCGATTGCTGAGAACATCCTTGAAAATAATTTATTCCTTTATTAGGATTAGTATTGTGGTAGGTACTAAAAGTAATGGACTTTAAGTAGTTACGAAATTCTGGAATTGGTTAANCTCTTAATGTTTAATCTAGGAGTAATTACTTAATTGAATAACATTAATCTTTTAAACTGCGATCTCCAATCCGTTGCCAAGCGTGGAGATTATGGCGAAACCCTCCACTAAAGTGGAGAAGGCTCATAGTCCAGCAATGGGCTGCAAAGGGCTGTTGATGATGATGATGATGATGAAGTACATAATTGACTCAGATTTGTATTATCGCTTTATTATTCGTAGTTATTCGATCATTAATACAAACGTGTCAGAAGTCGGAACCTTTACAAGTTCACATCAATCTGGCCCCACATCCGAGGGCTGCGCGTTCACTGTAAAGATATTGGCACTATTACGTTTCCAATTTTCAGGGCTGTTGCTTTCGCTTTTATTTGCGAAATGTCACCACTCCATCACGCTGAAGGATAACGCGAACCCAGGTGTAAAGGGTTGTATTTTTTCATAAAGTGATTTAACTGGGTAATGAATTCAATCTGACTAACGATCTGAATTATGTACGGAGGCCATAAAATTAAAAATAGTATTTGAATACTATCAGATTTATTTGAATTAATCCGTCATAAACATAAAATTACCGATTAGGATTACGACTAGGGTTTCTGCTCGAGCTTTCTCGAACTCGAGAAATTTGGGTTCATTCGAGACGAGAAAAAAAATACCGGAGCTCGAGAATTCTCGAGTTTCGATTTTGAAGCTTTAATTTTTTTGAAAGCCTATTTTCTTAGACAAAAGTAAGTTTTTAATTATTTAATAGGTTAACGTTGCGTTTAGACTGGCCTAGTCTTTCCTTTTTTTAACTAATTTGATTTGCAAGTAATGATCTTAACCGAAACCAATAATGTTCACCTACAAGTATGGTATATTTTATTATGTTTGTATGATTAAAAGACTGAAAAATTTTTGTTAACTGTTAGTTTAGGTACTCGTAAATACGTTTATTCAAGTCGTTATCTTTAAGTTTAAAAATTTATTTAAAAGTTTTTTTTTGTTTGTAAATGTAGGTTTATCATCGTAATTTAACAATTAATTTGGACTTGTGTTCTTTGGAAAACAAGTGATTCAATTGGAGCTCCAGATATTTATGGTTATTAATATAAATGGTTATTCCTTAAAGTACACGCGACTTTATGACTTTTGTTCCTTTAGTTAATTATTAAGTTATAATTATCCTACTAATATTATAAATGCGAAAGTTTGGATGTCTGGATGTTTGTTACTGTTTCACGCAAAAACTACTGAACGGATTTTGTTGAAACTTTACAGTATTATTGATTATAACCCAGACACATTATAACATTAATAAAAACCCGTGTTTTTATTAAATTTCAACCGATTTCAACAGTTTTACAAAATTTTTGCTAGAAACATAAAAAATATGCTTTTAGCGGAACATCCTAAAATTTTCAACTTAAAAATTAAAAAAAAAAAGAAATTCCATAAGTCCAAAATAATTTTAAAAACTGCGCAGTTTTCTGAAATTTCATAATAACACAAAAAAACATGTACTTATTAAGTACATGTTTTTTTTATTATTTTCTGTAATCGCTCTACTAAAGTGGTAAGTCGGAGATTCCGTTACATGTTTTTGACTTTCTTAGGACTAACTAATGTTTGCAATTCTCTAAGTTTACGTTACGTAGAACATTTTTTTATCCACAACGAGGAATCTCTTGCCATTCATCTGACCTGATGGAAACTGATGGATGATCAGCGAGCTTCACTCGGAATCCTAAACCACAGAGGAATTGGCTGTCCTAAATAGGTGGCCTTACCACTAGACCACAGTGGTGGTTGTTACTTTACGATTCAATTCGATATACCTACATATTAGAGTGTGAGAGAAAGGGAAAGAGTTTGTGTGTGTGTGTGTGTGTGTGTGTGTGTGTGTGTGTGTGTGTGTGTGTGTGTGTGTGTGTGTGAGAGAGAGAGCAAAAATGGGTGTAATAATTTAATTTAGAGTAAATGTTCAAAATGTCCGCCGTTGACCTGAATGCACATTCGACAACGCCGCAAAAAAATTCTTTGTAAAACCTTCTTCTTCATTTTAATTTGGTTTTGTGCTTCAGTCAGCTTTGTCCGCAGTTCATCAATATTTTCATATTCCCTATTGTATACCAGATGAAGGGCAAGAGCTTCCTCGTTGTGGATNTGTACCTGTACTATTACTTATTCTGTGACTATGCAAGTATTTAGATAGTCAAAGTATTTTTCGTTGTTCATTGCGCATCGCAATAAGAAGCTGGCCAGGTACTTATTATGATAAAACATTTTTAAAAATATTAAAATAAGTACCTTAACTTTGTTACTTAATTCGCTTCATCAAGACAGTCGTAAACTTTAATTAGGAGATCAGACTGCTATCTATGCGTCTTTAATAAACTTTGAAATAGAAAATATTGACCTTTAACTCATTGCACGGCTAGCTATTAATTAAAAGCACTGGATGCCTTTAATGAAGTCTTTGTTTAAAATAACGAGCTAGAAGTCTCCTAGAATTTTTTAAAATGCCTCTACAGGCATTTTAAAATTTTTAGCAAACTTCTTTCATCTACTGAAAGAAGAAGCTATGTCGTTGTTGATGAATACTTTCTAATTAAGAATATGCTATTCATTTAAGCCTTTGTCAAACAGCAAGCGTGAGCTAAATAAGCGTAAGTAGCTATTCCAAAGCAATGATAAATGAGATTCCAAGTAATTAGAACATGGAAGTTTAAACCCTTGTCTAATTTGAATAATTTATGCCTCACTTTAAAGGCTCAATATAAAGAAACTTCCTTTTAACATTCCTCCCTCAGCCTATAATCTTATTACAAAGGCTTTTAAGAAAGGACCCAGAATCTAGACTTTATCTTCCTTTCATCCCCTGAACCGTCAGATGTTCTGTTATTAAAATATAATTAATTAGATCTTCTCTGTGGTTTTCAATGAGAGAGATGAATACAATTGAACAACCTTATTAGTGCTTGTAAGCATTCAGACTTTAATTTCGGAATCATGATCGTTCGCTCCAAAGTACGAAAAAATAATAGATATAATATGAAACCGAAATTTTCAGAGAACGTTTTTTATTTTATTTTATTTAATCACAAAGTTATGCTTAAAATCTATACATTTCTTATGTCACTAAACATAATAATGATTGTTGTGACATTGCATTGCATGTTTCATTTCCTAAAAGAACTAATTGGTCATCCTAACCTAACGGACGTCTCACAAAAGCGCCATTCTCGATTCCCTAATAGTAATTGACCTTCGCATTACGTTTCTGATATTATGATAATTTCACGTAATTAATAGAGACGTTTTTACTTGAAAGAAATACTTATTTTTGCCTAAATCCTGGTTTCCACAATAGATAAAGTGACTGTGCTAATGTTCCACGTGCGTGTGCTTATATTTAAATTTAATAAACGACCTAACCTAGCGTTTATACTCGTAATCGCCTTAAATTATAACTTTCGAGCAGACATTAAACAATAATTTAGGTTGACGCGCTATTTTAGCAGGCTGCGTGATTTATAAACGGCGGTTTACACAAACGAAGCTCAACTTGAGGCTGTTCTGTAATTAGTATATCACGATTAAGGCCTTCAATAATTCGCCGCTAAGCACTTCGATCTGATAGTACTATAATTTTCAAACATTATTCCATTATAATCACTGTTGATAAATCCGAAGTAAACTTTAAGGTAGTTACTGCCTACGCTATTATTACCCAAACGATATAAATAGTCATTAAACTAGTTAAATCCTTATCAAAATTGGCACTCACTCGAATTTAGAATTGGTATGCCTATTATACCCTGTTTTCAAATAAATTACCAAGTTGAGAATCACATTGTTTACATACGAGAACAATAACAAACTTATTCTTTAGCTACAAGCTTTGCTTAGTTTGGGGCTAGCGGCGCAGTGAAAATTAATGTCCAATCATATTTATTTATTTATTATTTATTTATTTATTCCTATGATTTCTGTTAATTACAAAAAGGTACTAGCCATTGAATATAAAGTTTACGGAACTAATTTTCGCAAACTGGTTATGAGTCAACTCGAACAAATGTTTTCTATTTAGGATAGTTGTAGGTTCACCAAAGGGCAATGAATATTATAACATAAAAAGCACAAATACAATAGTTGTTGTATTTGTGCTTTTTATGTATTTTTATATACATGTTTATGCACAAAGATATGGTGTAGAGGCCAAACCACAACCTCTGGCACATTCGATCAGCATCCATCCATCATCATCAAATCACCACAGTTTAAAATTTTCACAATCTTCTTACCGTAGCAAAGCGACGTCATTGACAACCGTGTCTGGATCATAATGAGGATGCACCACAGCCTCCGTGACCCTCAACTCCATCTCCCCTGGTCCCCTTGTGAGGAGATCATGTTCCCCAAGCCTCACGTATAGTTTCTTCCTCACACAATGTGCTGCTGTCACCACCCACCGTAGAGACACCAAAGTGCCCCCACAGAAGGCTTCCTAAGACAGAAATAAGATTATGTTGTAGGTTCGTTCGTTCGTTCGTTTCAGCCGAAAGACGTCCACTGCTGGACAAAGGCGTCCCCCAAGGATTATGTTGTAGGTATAATGTAGTAAATATTACACCCTCCTGGGGATATTCCAACGTCTTTAACATTGCTTGACTTTCATAAAACGCCTACAGAACTCGTATAATTTAGACTACCTATATAAGTTAACGAGCGGCCGCCCGCGACTTCGTACGCGTGGACCCCGTTTCGTGGGAAATCACGATTAGTTCTAAAAGGAACCCCCATGCAAAATTTGAGACTCCTAGCACTTGTAGTTTCGGAGATTTCGTGATGAGTCAGTGAGTCAGTCAGTCAGTGACATTTCGCTTTTATAGATATAGAAGATAGATTAACTAATCGGTAAATAAATTAAACAAAGTTTGATTAATTAAAATAGCTTTGGTTATCTAGGGTAAATACTCGATACTGAAGATGTAGGTAGCTAATTTGATTTGTTTAATCCGACCTGGGGACGACGGGAATTACTTAACCTTCTAGCGGCTTTCCAAATAATTAACTTCCCATACCCACATCGCATTCCAAGTTGGACCCGAAACTTGAGTTTATCTTATTAATTAGTGAGCTGCCTTCGCATTGCTTGGGTGCAATTTGATGTGTCTAATCTTTTATACTCATCAACTTTCCTCATAATCAGTGTGCAATCAAATAAATAGATCTTACGATACGAGGTATTTGAATGTGCTAAATCATTAATCCATCCTGGATTTTTTTACCATACATCGTAGGCTTATACCGGGCTATTTCCTTCATCCGAGCCCTCTTCCGAGCCGCACCCGAGCTCCAAACGACCACATTCAAGAAGTCGGTGATGTGTCAATTAAACTATGTTTTTTATAACATTGACCAACCTACCTTATAGCGATTGAGAACGACGACCTGCCAAGGCCACTTCTCCGGCGACGCTGGTCTGCCGCCAATGATCCTGATCATGTCCTTCATCCGAGCCCTTATCCAAGCGGTAGCCGAGCCCCGATAGTGACCCAAACGACCACATTCAAGAAGTCCGTGATGTGTCAATTAAACCATGTTCTTTATAACATTGACCAACCTACCTTATAACGATTAAGTACGACGACCTGCCAAGGCCACTTCCCCGGAGGAGCTGGTCTGCCGCCAATAATCCTGATCATGTCCTTCATCCGAGCCCTCATCCGAGCGGCAGCCGAGCCCCGATAGTGACCCAATCGTCCACACTCAAGTGGTCCATGATGTAAGTACCGGGAGTCTTCAGGATGAATGGCGGGCGCGGGCGGCGACATAGACTCAACTATTCGGTACCCAACTCCTGAAATATAAAATGTAATTTGATGAAGTGTGTGAAAAATAATTGGAGATAAGCCGACCGGAAACAATAGAGCGCTGAGAAGATACCAATAAAATTCCTCATGAATTTACTCGTAATATCTCTTCGAATTTCCTGAACTACACAAGTGATCAGTAGCCATTCGATTCAGTATAAAAAGTCAGTCAATATTAGTTCTTGCTTGTTCCTCCAATTTTTGGGAGCAAATGTACCCGATATAAAATGTAGATCACTATGTTACTTAGGTATAGGTAAGTAGTTGAACAGATAACAAATGAAGTAAAAAAATAATCGTAAGAATAAAAATAAAAAAGTTTTTGTTACAACAATATCGTGTACTGCCCGAATTGATGATTTCTATATTATTTCTTCTGAAATTAATTACTGTAAGAAGAATAATAAAATTATTATTACTAAACTTTCGCGTTGGTTCACTAAAGTGACAACAAGAATAAACGCGATCAAATACCTATCTCGACAATAGTGTTTAATTTCACGATCGTCAAGGCAACAGATATATAATTATGTAGGTATTGTGTAGTTATTGAAACACGCAGATTTGCGGAAATCGTGGATAACATAACACTGGTCAACACATGTTTTTTTTCCTTTAATTTTTTTTCTGTTATTGGGTATTTCTATGGCCCTGATTATGAAAAAAATACTGGGAGATCGTCAACAGCTTTAAATTTTAAAATATATAGTTTTATTATTTTGACAAAAAAATACGAAAAATTATACATTGTGTTGATAAAATATCTATTGAACACTAGCAAATGATCTTTTATATGATTTCTTTAAATAGACAAGTTTGAGTAGATCTCGTTGCAAACTCCAGCAATGGTCTGCCATTCATTTAAGATCACCACCACCTCTGATAACCTTCTTCCATTGTCCGAAAATTCTAATGACATCTTTTATCCTGCTCCTCACTAAACTCACCCACATTTTGTGGAAATCGATGTTAATCCGAGTACATGAAGTGTATTTTTATACCCATGTTGCACCCTAGCTCTTGCAAGTTGGATAGCATGCTCTCAACAATTTCTTTTTGCTTAGGAAATTACTTATAACCAAAAAAATGAATTCTAAGCTTAGGACTGGACTTCAGTCATTGATTTCTTAAAATTACGATCATTTACCAGCTGCCTAATGTGAGTCCCATCAAAAATTACCAACATTCAAGTTTTCTGTGCTTAATCCTGAAAACTTTCATGAAAGAAAATTATAACATTCGTAACTTCTGTCAAGCGCCTTTACAGACTGTTTCAAGATGCCGAGGTTAATATAAAGTGGTGGAAGTACGGTGATACGGTCTTGGCTAACTAAAGGCATGTTTATAAAATAGTTTGTATCAACTTTAGCTGAAAAGCAAAAAGTTGTGTGTGCGGGAAGCCGCACTGGTCAAAATTTTTGTAACCAATGCTTTTATTTGTTACGACTATCCCAGATACACATGAAACGGGAATTTTGTGTAGCCCCCTTGTTGGCCTAAAGCACAGAATAAGTAATAGTAAGTAAGTTACCTATTCTCAGAACACAAATAACCCATTTGTGGTCTTGATTAATTAATTTCAAATATTTATTTTAAAGTGTCGATGTTACGCAGTTTTCATGAAATCCGATAGAGGTTTTCGTCATTTTTCAAGTATTATATTTACCACAAACATAGCAGAAGCAATCTGGATTAAGCACACAACATCTTCATAACGAAGCAATATCGAAAACACCAACAAAATATATTTTTTTGTCCAATTAAATCAAAAATCTAAGTAAAAATATTAAATGAAGGTAGATAGCTATAACTTAAAAACAAAAGCTGTTAGAGAAAAACTGTTGCCATATTTAAAAAATATGCGTCAATTTAAGATAGAAACAGAAAAAAAATCACAGGAAAAAAACAATTTTATTTTTTTTGTTGACCAGTGTAATATATGTGAATATAATATGGGAATGGCGGGATCAATCCTTGAAAACAATTATTGTGGCTTCATAATAGCTAAGTATTCATAATGTTCATGTTGCTGATGGAATCGCCGTGATATAGCCATATATTTTGATCCGCCGCCAATTTTAGGTTTCGTTCATTGTTTATGGTGAGCCATACTGAAGGTCATTTATCATTCAGACACATTTGGTAATTTATGACGAGCAAAAAATAAAACCAGCCAAGTGCCTATCCGACACGCAAACGAAAGGTTCCATACCATAGTAGGTAGTGAATTGTACATCGTTAACTTTGATTCTTCAATTAATAGAAATAATTTCGAGATTAAGCTGTGCAAAGCAAGTGTGCCTTTTCATGTCTATTTTATATTTCAGTATAAGTAATATCTTTCGAAAGAACTTCTCAGAACCATCTTAATAGACCCCTATTAAAAGGTAATAAATATTTAACTTCTCTACCCTACTTATTTCGTTTCGTTTATAAACGAAAGTCAAAAGAGATATTACATTAAATTTTTAGGGGGCGATTTTATTGCAAAAGGTATGGATATTAAAATTGCCCTTACTTATTAATTTCAACGATAGTATAGTAAGTGGCTTTTCGATGTGCAATCAAAAGAACCCTAATACAAGACAGACAAATCTCTTTTCTATCTGAGAATCGAATATAAAATCAATTGGAAAACCTAATTCCATACGAATTTGATTTCGCGCCTTTCCGAACATTGGCACTTCGGAAAGTTGAAATTATTGAAACCCCGATTTTAGCAACGTAACGATAAGTTGAAGGTGAAAATCCATCAATCTTGAAATTACTTTGTAGCGTAAAGTTTACCTAGTGTTTCAATCACTCGACAAACAACATTATTCCTTTGGGAAACGGAATTACGTTTGTAACGGGATATCTGCGTGATCAATCGTTTTACCTAATGCCATTGAAGCCTAAGTGAAGCTCATTCTAGTGCCTATTCCAGCCCCAAAACGAGCAGTTAAATCAAGTGGTGCTCCAGTTTACTGGAAGCCAGAGAAATAGGTTTCGTGCAGGTGGGCCATACTTAATGTGCAAGTTCTGGATTAAATTACCTGGCGGTAACGTCTAGGTGTAACTGCAGCTTGCTAGCTTACCGTAGGTATTTAGATCAGATATTGTATAGCGTGTAAACAACGCGATATAATCTAATCGTGGATTTATCGATTATACGATATACCAGTACTTTTAAGAATCTACGTAACAAAAGATGTAGAAAATCAATTCATTTCAGACCTTTAATTAAGGGTATGTGACGATATTTATTCGCAAAGAATTTTGATATTAGATATTATGCATCGATCCGTGTTTTTGAAGAAAATTGGTCCATGCGAACTTTAGAACATGGCAAACATTTTGATCGCGCACGTTACTTAAGTAAGGTTATTGTAAAGTCGTTAGCTAAGTACCTATGTGCATGTTCACCTGGATCCTTGCGCCTCTGCATGCGGGTTCGGATCCAGTGCTGGCAGTAGCTGCCCTCCACGTAACAATATGCGGACTGCCTAATCACTTTTCGCCCACAAAAGATTCGTTTTTGACAATACCTGAAAAGAAAAACAAGAGGGTTGTCCATTCATCATTCCATCATGGAATTTGAAAGTCCTGGCCAATAGATAAAACGTTCAGAATGTTTTTTAGCCTTGTAATTTGTAATTTTTTTATAACCTTTTTTGTCCTATATCCACTATCCATATCACATCCGAATAAATTCGGATGAATGGTTACTCTGGCAGGGTAACAGCTGCTTATTTAACCAACCATCCAAAATCGATTCATCACGTCTATACTGGTACCTACTATGTAGGTACGAGTATGTTAAAGAAAGCTTCAATCGTACATGTAATAAACATTTGGTATTCATTGATGAAATTCTATATTCAGGTTATTATTCCCAGTACCAGCTATAACAAATTACATTTTATTGAAAGTGATTTCAGTAGTATAGGAAGATAGTTATGTACTGTTAACAAAACAATGAAGGCGGGCTTGTTGTTGGTAGGAGGCTCTAACGTCCTCGTTAGAGCACCATGTTCCACCACTAATTGATCCCTCTTCAAGATATAGAGCTTCTGGTTTATATCCTGTTGTGGGGTCGATTAGCAACTGAATGGTAACAAAGAATTCTTCTTCCTGAACTTTCCTTTGTATTTATTTATCTATTATTTATATTATGGCATTAAGGAATTCTTAAGTAATAAAGAGACACGAGTTCTTACGTTCGTTCTACAATATGATCAAAATACTATAATAAATGGTTCGTTACATTGTCGTGAGCAACACTTTATTCCGAATAATTAAATAACTTCCAAGTTTTCGATAACAATCTCATTAAGCTTAATATAAAACTGATTTAATCTGCTAGTGACAGCACACGATAAGTTTTATTAATGTGCGAAACTTTCTCTTGCGCGAAGTGAAAGAAATATGATTGGGTTAGGATATTTTATTTATGATGTTTCCCGGAAACCTGCTTGATATACTGGTATGTATTATTGATGAATAAAATATTGTCTTGAAACTAAAGGGCGTATAACTTTGCCATTTCTGGATAAATGTCAACGACATATTTATCTTTATGATGTCACATCAGGGTAAGTAGTTGATGTGCTCGCGATTATTTATATGTGCTTACTATAAACGTAAAGTTAGTAGTTAATGGTATTGTTTATTATTTACCTTCTGCGTACAGTAGTACATTTCCTCGAGCAGGAACTCCAGGGGCCCCACGGTGAGAATCCACGAAACCGTTTTTGTATTTCATTTGAATCCAGTTGCCGTCTTTGATACTGATAACAACAAATATTTATATTAATTTAATTGTGAATTTATTTATTTTAAAAATAATACCTGAATATCTGTATCAACCCTACATACTACAACTAAGTGTGTCAACCCTATAATACCTTTTGTAAAGACTTGGCATTGCACACAATTCTTAAAAACGTGGTGTAGTCCAGTAGAATTAGCTTTTAAATCGGAGTCACGGAATGAAAAGGTTCGTCAGTTTTCAAATTGATTCCTTCAACGAATCGCGAGCACATATTACCTTTTGAAACTATGTTACAGAATAATCTCGAGTTAGAGAAAATAATCTTTAACTGTTCGTCAGTAAAGTTCAAAATTATTCAGATCAAAGTTGTTTGACGATTTAACTTGTCAAGATTATTATGATTGATAAACTAAAACCTTCTTGTTGGTTCAACCTGCCAGTACCTATTAAATAAAAAAAACTACATTTTGTAACATTGCACTGATGGGATGGAAAAAAAAACAAGCAAAACCTTATTCGTTAGCAAACGTCATATTTATTTAAATGTTAGCAGCACTGTTTCTTGCACGGTTATGTTGGCAGGTTTGACTCTTACAGTACCTACTGCAAGCGAAAACCGACACTAAGGTGACGAACCTTTTCATTCCGCGACTGTACATCTACATACTATCTAGGTGACTCACTTCCCTTGACTTATGAAATGATACTCGCAGAACACCTCACCCTCGCTTTTATGTTCCAATTCAGCCAGAAAATTTTCTTCTCGGAAAACCGTGCGGAAAATGGAAAAAGCGGGAGAATCGCATATTGCCCCAAGAAAATAACACTGGTTTTCGACTAAGAAAGCATCGCCTGAATCTCTCTCTGCTTAAGCTTTTCTAATAATCAGTCCTAGATCGAATCCTATTCGATGTTTTTATCATTATGTAAAGCACAACCTAACGAGTAATGATACCTACTTATTAACAGAAAAAGTTGTGTTACTTAGTTTTCTAGAAAACGGCAATTTCTTAGTTTATTTTGTGGTACAAATAGGCTTAGGTAAGCTAAGAAAATGATTTTTTCTAGAAAACTAAGTACCTATTACAACTTTTTCTCTTAACTTTTAAGTAAGTAGGTATCATTTACTCGTTAGGTTAGGTTATTGTATTCGTTAAAGTCTGGAAAATTCTGAATGGATCCAATTACAATAAACTTTGTAAATCTCATAATAGCATACTAATAAAAAGTACAGAACTCTATAATCCCAAGATAGGATTCACTTTGCAATGAAATAAGTATGTGTATAATATCGGTTTATTCACAGTGAGGACGTTTGTCAATATTAGTCAACCTTATTTTTTATTTGCGGAATACCCAAAATATAAACCTTTACGTAAGTATATAAACTCAGTACATAGGTACTCGTAGGTTATATACTGGTTTACTCAATAGGTACCTACTAAAAAAACCGTGAGAGTTTACCTAGTCCATAGTCTATTTAGTCTCATGTCCCTTAAAATATGGTGGCACTCAAAATCAAAAATATTTATTCAACAAACGTCAATCATAGTGCAAAAAAGGGTAGCCGTTAATATTCAACACTTTAGGCACCCTATTGAACCTTACAATACTTGCCTACGTGTTAGTGGGCAATGTGGGGTTGATGGAGTGTTAGCACTAAAGTTAATGGACCCTACTGAATAATGGTCGATATTGCTTGAAAATAATACCCAATATTTATGATATTTGACCGATCCAATGAAATCTCCATTGAGCCGTGGATAAATTACACAGTGGCTTTAATGACCCTATAGTGCTGGTCAAGTTACTAGAAAACCCTTTAGATAAATCCCGCTAAGGGTTACTTTTTAAGCTTTAACAGAGATTTCGCTACACTTATTTTATTAGATTTAAAGATTGAATCCAATGGTTAAGGTTAGTAATTACCGCAAGGCATACATGTAAAACCGCTTTTTAGAAACCTATATTTGGAAAAAATAAACGACTTTTACACTCTTAAAAAACCTGATTAGATCTGCGTGACTTGAAGCTCTTGAATAAATTAGATGTTTTTATTGCTACCAAGAGGAAATTACGTTAGCCCTTGAAATTGAGGTAAATATATATGTTACGGTTAATGTGATAAATTGAAAATTATTAATAATAACCGGTTATTATGAATAATTACCGACAGTCGCGGTAAAAGTGATAAATTAATCACATTTAACAGTGATTATTTAATAATTCAACCTTAGTTAACAAATTTCATAAAAGAGAACAACATCTTGTGTACGTGCTCGTGTACAGCCAAACTTTTGAATATCATATATTAATATAATTTGGCATAATGAGTTTGGAATGTTTCCTGCATAATATTACTTTTCCATAATGCCTATAACATAATGTTTTGATTTAAAGTGAAAAATAGGTTAAGGTGCGGCGGGGGTGGCCCTTGGGCATAGCTGGGCACCGTTAATCAAATAGTTAACTTCGTTAATCGTTAAACCGTTAATAAAAAAATTAACTTCGTTAAACGTTAAAACGTTACATTTAACAAGATTTAACGCAAGTTAACGTTAATCGTTAATCCGTTAACACATGTTTAAAACGAAAAAAGTAATTGTATGCAAGGTTCAAATAATTTCGAAAGCTTGTATCGCGCACGGAATTTATCCCTCTTTTATGTTTGCGCTACAAGCTTTCGAAATTATTTGAACCTTGCATACAATTATTTTTTTCGTTTTAGTAACAACTGCATTTCAAAATACAAGCTTGTTTTTAAAAAAGTATTTTATTATTATGATTTTATGTTATACTTTTTAGTAGTAGACTAAGAGCTAGTGAACGCCAGACCTACGTCATTTTATAAAAGCTGAAAATTATACCATAAAAGTGATTTTATGTATAATATTTGGGCAATGATTAGAAGTTGTTTCGACATCAGCCACACAGTTTTGACAGTTCCAACTCCTTGCCAGATACTTTTTTTAGGATAGTTACCAAAGCAACGTTGACCTAAACTTCATAATCCACCAACATTCTAACCTATATTGGGAGCATACGCTGCCAGCTCTTAGTCTATAGTATCTCAATCTCAGAGCCTTGGTTCAATTACAATACAATTTAGTACCCTAAGTTAGCACCAAAGTCCTCGAAAAGACAAATCCAACAAACCCAAACTCAATAAGTTTCCACCGTTTCGTTTAGGAATTCCTATGGCCACCTCCTGACTCCATCATCAGGACCCTGGACATCATCTAGTACTAAAGTGCTCGAAAAGACAAATCCAACGAACCCAAATTCGATGCGATGCCGCCGTTTCATTTAGGAGTTCCTATGGCCACCTCCTGACTCCATCATCAGATCAGCTTAATGGTACCATAACATTGCATTTTCATCGTACTTACATAAGTATACTAAATTTCAGTTCAACTGGTTGAGAACTGGTCTTAAATTCAGTTGCAAGATTTGTCCCACACATACTAACAAGTGAAATCAATATAAAGCTTGTAAATAAATAAAAAAATAGCATTTTTTATATCGTTTCGTTCTGGTTACAAAAACTGTTATTTTGGGTTCTGAAAGTTCTGGAAGCCCGAACGTACTTGTCAGAACGCGTTTTTCTAGTGTTTTCAGCGTGCCTGCTGTATCTTTTTGATAAATAGTAGGCACTGGATTAACGATTAACGGACTTAGGATAATTTAACGGAAGTTAACGAGTCCGTTAACATTTTTTAAAGTTAACTTAAAAGTTAATCCGTTAATAGAAATGTTAACTTCGTTAATTAACGATTAACGGATTAACGAGTTAATGCCCAGCTATGCCCTTGGGCCACCCCTAAGCCGCCTATTTAGTTTTATACACACATAAATGACCTCATATTAATCACATTTACCAAATCATGCGGTAATTATTCATAATAACCGGCGATTATTCATAATTTTACATTTTGACCGTAACATATATATATGTTACAGGAAATGTATGAATTCTAGGAATTGTATACTATTCCTAGGAAATGTATACAATTCCGAAGCTATTTAGGAAATGTATAAAATATTACTTCAGAGATTTTTTAATACGCACATATCCTAGGACATGTATACTTTTCCTAGGAATTTTATAGAATTCCAATATTGTATTAGGAAATGTATAAAACTAAGCGACACAAGCGCGGTCGTGTGATCGGGTGCGCCTCAGTACGCCTAAAATTTCATTTAGCCAAACCATATTGGCCGATAGGTACTTTTAACTCACAACTATTATTGTTTAGCCTGAAAGTTGTTTTCACACTATTATACTTTGGCTGAAAAAAATATTTGCCTATTGGCATACCTTTCTTTCGGCATGACGCATATTACGCTGAAGTATTAGAAAACCCTAATTTTAACATCTCTTTTATTAAACTATTATTGGCATGAAGGTTTTTGTACTCCTGTAGCTGGATAACAAAGTCTCGGTTAGGTTAGGTTTGACTTGCGACCTTACACATACACAGTGGCCGCGGCGCGGTAGCGCCATTTAAGTTTCGGAGGAAAAAAAAAGAAATCTTAATTACATTTCCGATTGCTGTTTAGGAAATGTGTAAATTTCCTAGGAAATGTGTCTAATATAATTTATATCACACATTTTCGGGTGATTTTAGGTCTTATATACAAATCCTAGGAATTGTATACAATGACGGATTTCATACATTTCCTGTAACATATATACTAAGTAGTTAGCACGACACATGAATTATTTTAACAGGATCATCGACAATCATCGTTATTTTCTGAAAATGTTCCAAAAGGGTTTTCGTCTCTTTTCGCTACTTATTTTTTAAGATTAATACCTCATACCAAATAACCACCGATATCTTTTCTTTGTGTTCAATACATAATACTTCTTTTGAGTCCGAAGTTAGTCCCATGGAGATAATTGCTTCTCGACTATTCGAATAATCCTTCAAAGGGAATTCAACTACTCTGTATATTATAAACACAGCAATTTCGTTCAATCCATCACTGAAAGATATAATCACCGAGGCGAGGAGCTACAAATCAACCGGGGGTAAAATAATCTTACATAAAATTATCGCTGCTTTGCGTGAAGGGTGCTCCAAGCACAACTTTATTTAAAGATTATGATCTCGATAAAAAAGTATGAGAGTAAGAAAGTATTAGAAAATTATTTTACTAAAACATATCCTACATAGCTAACCTAGAACCTTGAATTAATATGCCCCAGTCTATAAAATGGAAATTACTTACCCTTATCTATTGTGCTAGATTTATTAATTAGAAGGTACCTACGAGGTAATGTTAAATTATATTTGAATCACGCACACAGCTAAACCTAAATTTTATTAGTTAATATTTTGCCTAAGGGCAATTACCTATTTATTGTAGAGTTAAAACCTTATTATCACNCGAGAACGGTTTGTCCAAAACATATGAATTTGGTCTTATTCAATGCAGGATTAAGTGCCCTTTAACCGTTATGAAGACCACTTTTCGATAGGGTAAGTCCTTTACGCGGTATAACCGGAAAACCGAAAAAACGCCGCTTTCGGGGGCCCCCACCACTTAAGCACAACTCCGTCGAAGTCGAAAACTTAGGAGAGTCTTAATGGGCAACCAATGAAGCCATTAAAGCAAAAAAATCTTTTGTAGGAATTAATTTTTGTGTTTAATTCTACTGGCCTAGTGGCGCCCTTATAAACTACGAGAATTTCAGTAGAATAATTATGCTAAACGCTGAGTCCCTCTATTATATTGAGCAGATTGAGAAAACGTAGTGATAAAAGAAGCAATAAACGGGAATTCCTTTTAATTCTTAAAAAAAATACTCGAATCCGTAAAAAGTTTTTATTCTCTAACAATAAATTGGTTCGTCTATTACTTCAATACAAATCAATCCTCTACTGCTAAATTAATCGAGAGATTAACAATTTGTTAGGTATATTTGGAACATTGGAACTAGCTAATTGATTTGCCATTATTGTTCAAAATATAATAACGTCTTTCGATAAGACTAGTTTAGGCAATCGAAGTCGATTGATCCTTCACAATCGCTCCTGGTTTGCGTCACTATTTAATTAAACTTCAAATTCTTGAATGTTGCGAAATTGAGCATAAGCAAACAATGTTCGACGAAGTGAAAACATGTTCTGCCTATGTTTCACCGATCGATCCGTTAGCGGCTCATTGTGTGACGCTGACTCGGGGATTAATAAGTACCATTAGCATGCAGCTTATCTCGCTAAATACTATTTCATTCGATTAATCGATTTTACAAGCAGTGGAAAGTAGGACAGTTCGAAAGTAAGACTGATTGAGATTACTATTTTAGACTGCAAGACCTAAATGTTTATGAGTTATATCTTCTATGATTAGAAAAAGCTATTAATTTAGGACTGCAACATTCATTAATTTTAGGAACTAACTGGTCTGATTTGAATAATATCTTTGTGTTGAATATCCCATATAACGAGGAAGCCTATAAGCTTTACACAATCACACTACAACTAATAGGAGCAGAGCATCAATGAAAAATATTGGGAAAACGGGCAAATAATTATTCAAACGGTTTACACGTGTAGCTTTGTAATTTACGCGCGTACCCGCGACTTTTCGCGGGTACACAATTGTTTCGTGAAATGATGTAGCATTATTATATAATTCTTGTTACACAATATTTAAGGTAGGTACTACAAGACCTTAACTAATGTTCACAATGTTCTAGTGTTAGGTCCTACCTACTTCCATTAGTTGTCCCGTCCTTGAGTTCATTGGAGAAAATTAGCCTCTGTGTAGGCAGAAAATGGTGCGAATTAAGTCAGAATAGCAAATAAGCTTAGTCTAGACGTGGGGCGTTGATTAATGGGACAGGAGCCTCAAGAAAGTAAAGGTAATCTAGTCTATCGTTAATAATTAATTTGGCGGCAATTTTAATAACCTTTAATTAAGAAACATCTCAAATTTAGTAGGTGTGTGATTTATCTAGACTAGAATTATAACAAATTATTTACTTAGAGTATACCTACTTAATTTATTTATACAGTCTGTCTAATTCATAAATGCGAATTCTTGGCAATACAGGCGTTTTAATTAATTTCATACATACCTACATAGTTTTCTCTACATAAATATCGAGTTTCCATAAGAAATAATATTTTTACCTTTTCCATGTGTGGTGCTCGGTTGTAGAAACCATTTGTGATGCCATGCGTTAATATCTTCATTCGCGATTTGCGTTTTCTGCAACTGTAAACATAATTTTGCACAGTTTCTATAATATGTTACGCCTTATGTTTGTAAACAACGTAAATCCCTCATTGTTATTATATGAATCAGCCAACCAACAAAGTAATAACATGATATGCCGGTGATTTGGTTAGTCAATGGCTAAACTAAAAATTTTACTGACGCTAGGTATATTTTTTCAAGTTCCCATTTACAAGGATAGTTTTTTTTGTATATTAAGTCTTTACAAAGCAAACAAAATTGCCCGTTGTAGGCTAAGTCACTATTTTAAGCGTCTTCGTTGTCTTTGTAAAAAGGCTTTGAAAGTTGAGTAAAGCTGGTGCAGACAGCCACATTACTTACTTCTAGAGAAAGTAATCGTTTGTATTTTTCCACTTACACATTTTTTCCCAAGATTTTCTCATATTTTTATGTTAAAAAAATATTGTGTCAGCTTTTCTCTACGATTAATTTAAAAAACAAAATTAAAAAACGTCACCAACCAAATATTTCGCGCCAAAACTTTATTTTTTATTTTTTTTATAGCGTGAAGTCTATTTGCGGCCAGTTAAAATTGCAATCAAAATAAGTTTGAAAAGTGAAAACTTTTTTTATTTTTATTTTATGAGGTTAGGATGAGTTATTGTTTTAATGAGGTTATTATAGGTTTTTTGTTTATATAAATATCTTGTAAGTTTTTACTTTATTAATTACTGCCTTAAATTGTTCCTACAAGGAAAGTATACTGAAAATCCTGATCATGACGTAACAAAATCACAGCAGGATTAAAAACGAGAAATACCAAAGTTTCCAAAACATAATTTCATCAAAGTTACTTCATCAGTGAAACTGTCGCATCTTTTCATCACCATTCAACCGCTAACTGCGTTGCACCCCATACAATTCCGCCTTTCGTTCAAAATGTACGGGACTTCAGCACGTCAAGCTAAACATTGTGGCGTCTTATTTAGTTGTAATAGAGCCGATTTTGCAATAAAAATGTACAGCTTAATGTGCTGTCGACAGTACAAACATTTCCATTTCGCGAATACCTTACCTGGCTACTTCAATCCGTACGGAATCCCCGCATATTTCTCTGCGCACACAGTGCCGCCGCCTGACCCTCCGGCCGAGGCGACACGCGCCCCAGCGCCCCCAAGGCGAATAAGTCGGCACTCTGAAGTGGTTACCTGCAAATGAAACGTGCCTTTTTCAATAAAAATCACATGTAGTTTATTCAACGCAGCGACGGAACGTTTATCCGATTTGACTTTTTAGGGGTCCGTTTAACTTTAGAATTTTTTTTAATGTTTTATTTTTATTGTTTTTTAATATTTAGGTTTGATTTCTGTTAATCAAATTTTCCATCCTGTATGTGTATTATTTTTAGTAGGTACTTTTAGTAAAACTAATTAAGTACGTCCGCCTGATCTTTTGTTACTTACAACTTTCTCAGAAACTACTAGATTAAAAGCTGGTTCAGAAAAAGGAGTAAGTAATATTTCCCTACGCGTTTTCACAGTTTTTACAGAATTGCGGTTTCTACAGAAGTGCAGAACAAACGAACAATTTAACGTATTGAGTGTAAATGTCCGTAACTGACATTCCCCGTTTGATACACGCGCCATTAATGTCAAATTTGAATTTAAAGTGCTAACTTGAATTGGGTCATCAGGTACCAAGTCCATTACGACGAATATTGTGAAAATACCATCAGTTTTGTATTTTTACTTTGAAAAATCTCATTGTTTTCAGATATACTCGTATCTAGGCCTAGGTTTATAGGTGATAAATCTTTCATTAAAATTATAGGTAGGTACGGACGACGGCACGTCAACGTAACCACTGTGGGTTCTTGTGCAGTTGTAATAGGGGCGAGTTTGCAACAAAAATGGGTAACCTGATGTGCTGTCGTGTGTACATCTAGATACTGTCTAGATGACTCACTTCCATTGACTTATGAAATGATACTCGCAGAACACCTCACCCTCGCTTTTATGTTCCAATTCAGCCAGAAAATTTTCTTCTCGGAAAACCGTGCGGAAAATGGAAAAAGCGGAAGAATCGCATATTGCCCCAAGAAAATAGCACTGGTTTTCGACTAAGAAAGCATCGCCTGAATCTCTCTCTGCTTAAGCTTTTCTAATAATCTGTCCTAGATCGAATCCTATTCGATATCTTAACGAGTGTTTTTATCATTATGTAAAGCACAACCTAACGAGTAATAATACTTATTAACAGAAAAAGTTGTGATACTAGAAAAAGGCAATTTCTTAGCTTATTTTGTCGTACAAATACTTAGATAAGCTAAGAAAATGTTTTTTTTTCTAGAAAACTGAGTATTACAACTTTTTCTCTTAACTTTTAAGTAAGTAGGTATCATTTACTCGTTAGGTTAGGTTATTTTGTCCGACAATTCTGAACGGATCCAATTACCTTTATAAACTTTATTAATCTCTTAATAGCATACTGATAAAAAAGTACAGAACTCTATAATCCCAAGATAGGATTCACTTTGCAATGAAATATGTGTATAATATCAGTTTATTCACAGTGAGGACGTTTGTCAATATTACTCAACCTACGCCTTTTACGCGCAATATAACTATAAACTAAGTACATATTCGTAGGTACATAGTGGTTTACTCAATAAAATCGTGAGAGTTCACCTACCTAGTTCATATTCTATTAAGCCCCATGTTGAGTGGCCAGCTTATTTTTTGTTACGTTACGTTAAATAAATCAAAATCAGAAATATTTATTCAATTTTGACCATTATTATGGCACTTATGAATGAACGTCAAACATTGTGAAAAAAGGTAGCCGTTAATATTCAACACTTTAGGCACCTTATTGAACCTTACAATACTTGCCTACGTGTTTGTGGGCAATGTGGGGTTGATGGAGTGTTAGCACTAAAGTTAATGGACCCTACTGGATAATGGTCGATATTGCTTGAAAATAATACCCAATATTTATGATATTTGACCGATCCAATGAAATCTCCATTGAGCCGTGGATAAATTACACAGTGGCTTTAATGACCCTATATTGCTGGTCAAGTTACTAGAAAACCCTTTAGATAAATCCCGCTAAGGGTTACTTTTTAAGCTTTAACAGAGATTTCGCTACACTTATTTTATTAGATTTAAAGATTGAATCCAATGGTTAAGGTTAGTAATTACCGCAAGGCATACATGTAAAACCGCTTTTTAGAAACCTATATTTGGAGAAAATAAACGACTTTTACACTCTTAAAAAACCTGATTAGATCTGCGTGACTTGAAGCTCTTGAATAAATTAGATGTTTTTATTGCTACCAAGAGGAAATTACGTTAGCCCTTGAAATTGAGGTAAATATATACAGGGTGGAAACGTTAAGTGATCTCACTCAATTATTTTTAAACTATACAAGATATTTAAAAACTGGTTACTAATCCTAAAAGTGCTTCATGAGCTCTTTCAAACGGTACCAATAATAGGTTACAGAATAAACTGGATCTATCTGAAAATTGAATGTTTCCAGCTTCCATACTAAATGTATGCCAGACCCACAATATTAGAAGTGTAATTTTTTTTTATTGAATAATAAACTCTTAAAATAAACTCGTAAGTTGTATTCTTATTTAAAATTATTAATGGAAAATTATTAATATTGGTTTTAGGCTTTACTTGCTATAATATTGTCAAGAGATGAGTGTCATGTGACTGTGGTAGTACTAAATGTATGGAAGAAGGAAACATTGAATTTTTGGATAGATCCAGTTTATTCCGTAACCTATGATTGATACCATTGGATAGAGCTAGTGAAGCACTTTTAGAATCAGTAATCTGTTTTACGATATCATGTGTAGTTTTTAAAATAATGTGATTTTACCAAATGTATGGAAGCTGGAAACATTGAATTTTCAGATAGATCCATTTTATTACGTAACCTATTATTAATACCGTCTGATAGAGCTCATGAAGTACTTTCAGGATCAGTAACTAGTTTTTTGTTATCTTGTATAGTTTAGAAATAATCGAGTGAGATCACTTATCGTTTCCACCCTGTATACTAAGTAGTTAGCACGACACATGAATTATTTTAACAGGATCATCGTTGTTTTCTGAAAATGTTCCAAAAGGGTTTTCGTCTCTTTTCGCTACTTATTTTTTAAGATTAATACCTCATACCAAATAACCACCGATAGCTTTTCTTTGTGTTCAATACATAATATTTCTTTTGAGTCCGAAGTTAGTCCCATGGAGATAATTGCTTCTCGAGCATTCGAATAATCCTTCAAAGGGAATTCAACTCACCAAATAGGGCCCAATAGGGCTCTGTATATTATAAACACAGCAATTTCGTTCAATCTATCACTTAAAGATATAATCACCGAGGCGAGGAGCTACAAATCAACCGAGGGTAAAATAATCTCACATAAAATTATCGCTGCTTTGCGTGAAGGGTGCTCCAAGCACAACTTTATTTAAAGATTATGATCTCGATAAAAAAGTATGAGAGTAAGAAAGTATTAGAAAATTATTTTACTAAAACATATCCTACAAAACTAACCTAGAACCTTGAATTAATATGCCCCAGTCTATAAAATGGAAATTACTTACCCTTATCTATTGTGCTAGATTTATTAATTAGAAGGTACCTACGAGGTAATGTTAAATTATATTTGAATCACGCACACGGCTAAGCCTAAATTTTATTAGTTAATATTTTGCCTAAGGGCAATTACCTATTTATTGTAGAGTTAAAACCTTATTATCACTTTGGTATTACACATAGCTGGGCATTAACTCGTTAATCCGTTAATCGTTAATTAACGAAGTTAACATTTCTATTAACGGATTAACTTTTAAGTTAACTTTAAAAAATGTTAACGGACTCGTTAACTTCCGTTAAATTATCCTAAGTCCGTTAATCGTTAATCCAGTACCTACTATTTATCAAAAAGATACAGCAGGCACGCTGAAAAACACTAGAAAAACGCGTTCTCACAGGTACGTTCAGGCTTCCAGAACTTTCAGAACCCAAAATAACAGTTTTTGTAACCAGAACGAAACGATATAAAAAATGCTATTTTTTTATTTATTTACAAGCTTTATATTGACTTCACTTGTTAGTTAGTATGAGTGGGACAAATCTTGCAACTGAATTTAAGACTAGTTCTCAACCGATTGAGCTGAAATTTGGTATACTTATGTAAGTACGATGAAAATGCAATGTTATGGTACCATTAAGCTGATCTGATGATGGGGTCAGGAGGTGGCCATAGGAACTCCTAAATGAAACGGCGGCATCGCATCGAATTTGGGTTCGTTGGATTAGTCTTTTCGAGCACTTGTTGTTACTAAAACGAAAAAAATAATTGTATGCAAGGTTCAAATAATTTCGAAAGCTTGTAGCGCAAACATAAAAGAGGGATAAATTCCGTGTGCGATACAAGCTTTCGAAATTATTTGAACCTTAACAACAATTACTTTTTTCGTTTTAAACATGTGTTAACGGATTAACGATTAACGTTAACTTGCGTTAAATCTTGTTAAATGTAACGTTTTAACGTTTAACGAAGTTAATTTTTTAATTAACGGTTTAACGATTAACGAAGTTAACTATTTGATTAACGGTGCCCAGCTATGGTATTACATTATAATAAGAGTTGGGTTTCGAGATGTTTATTTATGAATATTTACATTACTTTGTCAGATAGAAACGTACTTATGCTATATGAGAAAATAAATTAAATTTAAAAAAGTTATATCGAAAAACAAATAAACAATCGCAAAAACAAACCCGGAAAAACTCTTCTCATTTATAACGTGACTCTCAGTTATGTTCCGTGCTGTGTGTACGAACTTTCAGCATGCAAATTATTGTTATTGTGTTGTTATTTCTCGTAACTTATTTGATCTTCAGATACATAAATGTCTTAAACCTTATGTAGTCAATTCTAATTTATGTTTACCTTTTTTGTAATTCCTGTTGAAATAGTCTTGAGATTCAGCGATGTCTATCATGTCGATGAAGCTATCATCACTTGATAGTGATTTATTCTGAACCTAAAATACACAAATGAACATCAATATAATTATAATAAAAACATACTTAATCTACACATATCAATTAAATATTTTAAGGAAAATTATAGTATCTAGTTCTAATTAAAGTAGTTTCAATCATTCTATAATCTACAAGGATAGCATAGCACTTTCACCTACTTAGGTACCTATAGGTACTGGTACTTAGAATAGTTGACTGAAATCTGAGGTTCATCTGAAATCAGTAGGTAGCACTTCAGAAGATACATTGCTATTGCAAAATAGCATCTATTACAGATGCCACAGAGTTTAGTTTGATTTACCCAGCAAGTAATTTGAAACTAAATTAAAATGATTACCCTAATCCAAATGCTTACATTCGCTTAAACTTGCGATATTAACAAGGATAAACATTATCACACGTTCATAGATACTTATTGAGCTTCTGTAGCTGTAGAAGATACCTAGTAACCTTTACTTATGTAAGTAGGACAACATTTTATTCCGTTCAATTAAAAATTAAAAATATACTTACCTACAGGTAGGTTTTGTCACGCAAGTTCAGGAAAAAATAGTTATTTTGGAAAAAGCTACAAATCTGACTCACAAGGACATACCTAATATGCGTCTAAAAGTTTTGAAAATATTTTATTTGAATTTGAACGTATTTCGCACCCATTAGCTTAGATTGCTAGTATAGATACGAGTAAGACTGACAAACTTATTTATATCCACATACGGAAAGCCGCGAGGAGAAGCTAGTCTAAACAAGCAAGTAGGTATAAATTATTGCCAAATTTTGATTGATCTAAAGTACCTATCCATAACAATGAATCATTCTCACAATGATTCATTGTCAAAATCAATTACAGCGACTCCATTCTTATTCTGTAAACCCAAAATATCCAGCCTTGACTTTGTCTATAACCGTTTAGTAATAGGTTAATTCTAAATTTTGCATGAATGCACAATACCTCAATAGAATCCATTACAATATGGTTCCCATTTGATGAATGGGAACTAGGTCACTTCTACAAAACCTATAGTTTCCGCGCTGCTGTAGCAAGCAATTGGTAAAGCAAGACATATTTCAATTTGGCTAGTGGCCAGACTTTTTTGTTGCCGGTGCATTGTGACTGTATGCAATCACTCCAAATTACACAATGCATTTTTATCGTCAGTATCCGGTTCATCAATATGAAAATAGGCCTATTCGATTAACTCCCCAAACCCCATTCCAATCTAAATTGGATTGCACAGCGCTTAATAAGACCGAAAACGATACGGAAAAACGTATCAACGTGACTATTTGAATATTAATAGTAGATAATATGTTTTCAGTTTCAGCTCACACAGACAAATTGGGATCAAACTAAATTGCAATAAACTAAGAAACACAATAGGTATCTAGTAGATCTCGAACAATCCGTACAAAAACTTCAACAGCAATCATGTGAGTAAGGTATGGGGATAAATTCTCAAAACAGAAACCATTTTCAGCAATCCCATAGATTTTTCAGTTTGCAAAAGATTTAATACACATCACTAGTATAGACTAGGGGCATAGATTAGTTTGGTGTCAATAATTGGCTTCGTGCATGAAAGCCATACTTTGCCTGTAACATGTAATAATAAACTATTGACACAAGTGTAACAATTGCATTTCAATATTTCATTGCATTGCTGCAGGTTCTAACGAAATTAAAACGAATAAATAATTTAACATTAATTTATACTTACTTGAATAGCGTGAATTGCTTCTATAATCATAAAATTTAAAATGATTAAAGGACATAACCGCTTCATATTCCTCAGTCCTGAATACTAGGGCTCCATGAGAACAGCACATCTGCAACAAAAGTATATATTTCTACATAATCTTTATCAGAAAACTCTTACAAAACACTAATTTGCAAAATCCTCCTCCATAAATCAAATTAGAAATTTCCAATGTCAGACGTTGTCTTTTTAGTGCATATCTCATTATCGCTTGCAGAATAACCAACTCTAATAAAACTAAGAAAGTTTTTAACGCTCGCCAAAAGTTGACAGCTTTGTTGGTTGTTGGCAAGGCTCGAGTATCGAGTACCACTTTAACACAATTTCTGCGGATTTAAGTTAAGATTTAAAGGTCCACAATTTATTTGAAACGGAAAATACGTTTTACTTTAAATGTAACTGGATTTAAAAGGTTCAGGCGATATTAAATTTTCATGGAAAGCGCTCAAAAATGTATTTACGAAAAATCTAACTATTCTTGAGCACTTTAAATATAATCCAACGCAAAGAATCCTTTACTGAACGAAATAAATTCGTTTATTTTTTTCCTTTTGCAAAAAAGAAAATTTATTCAGTATCGGCCTTACGAGTAACTGCCTCACTCTAGCGTCTACTCTCAGAACTATTCTTCAAATAGAAACAGTTTTATACCTTTAATTAATCTTTCACACGTTGCAATTTATATAAAGCAGCACAATATCTTATACCTCCAATAAATAAGCAAGTCGTTATACAATCTCCCATTTATCACGGAGACACTGTTATTAGATGCCCCATAAGGAATGCCTGCGCTGGCGACGTTAGAAATATGCAATTAACTAACATGAAAACCGCTTCACTAGACAAATCCTTCTACGTACACGTACGTTCTAAAGTGAGGTGTCATTGTTCTACGGTTGCTTGAACTCGTATGGTCAAACAGGTCAAGACAGCTCGTCTTCTATGGCAGACCTATTGTATGACCAAAGTCATATTTAGTTAATTACAACACTTTCAGTTTTACGACCCGTCAGATGAATAATTTCATTCAAAAGGCTAAATGATAGGCGTGAAATCATAGAGATGATATCATTCCAGGCCATCAAGACAGTAAAAAAATCTGCGACTTTTAATTCCTTTTTAACTAATTTAATTCCAGCTCGTTCATGTAGTTTAAGTTTTTCCTAAAATCGTTTCAAAACGTTGGTTGATTAATAAATATGTTAATTCTGCAAAATAGAGCTACAGTTATCTTTCTTGGTATATTTTATATAACTGTTTTTCTTTTCTTTTCTGCATACAGTTTATTTACTTAACAACAATAGGCACAGGATTTCTTGAACCACCTACTAACAAACCATAACATCAATAAACTAAGAAAGTAATGTGATGCTACGCACCTTTCAATCTACTCTTAAACAATAAAACACGCTTTGTTTGATCGAAACCATATGAAAATTCTCGTTAATGTTTATACAGCCGAATGTTCAGACAAAAGTTCGCGTGCTCAATAACAATACATCAGACGTGTGTATGTTTCATGTAAATAAATCTGATTTCGTCGATAAATTTTAAATCGTTTTATAGTTCATGTGTGAGAAGTAGGTACGAGTAGGTTACTGCTGAATAAATCTACATGGAAATGTGTCATCGATACATAATGGCTGAATATAGAAAGTTCATGACTGATGTTGGCTTAATACTCCTACGTACTAAAAATTTAAATTTCAAGCAAATATTGAGGGTTTTGTCCAGGAGGAAAATCTATAACTGAAATTAAATCCAGTGTAGCGCTATTAATAAAGTAAGTATTAATTTAAAATATTCTTCCACGAAAACTTTAACTGGTTGTTTTTGAAAATGAATAAAGATTTTATATTTTATTAGTTTGTAGGTCGGATTATGGTACAGAAGCTCTTTCTTAAGATGCTCTAGGTATGTATGTACAAATTACCATTCTTAGATAAATTATTCATATTGTGTATTAGCTTTCAGTGAGGCTATGTCCCGCAGGATTTACGTAATGTAAAATACATTATTACACGTTAAATAAGCGTTATCAAAGCTGGTAAATGAGGCGTCACCTGCATGACACGTTTATCCGCTGCGAGGAACATCCGACAATTTAATGGCGTGAAAACCGAATATCTGATTCCTGGCAGAATTATTGGTATATTATTTTGAATATTGGGAGTCTTTTTCTGTAGGTCTTTTTAGCCAAAAAGTTCGCAACACTTTTTGGCCACTTGGGTGTCACGAACTATTTGACGCTGACTATACACTTATACAGCCATAATAATATGCATTTAATCAACCTTTTACAAGCTACAGTCTCTAAAATAGCATTCAACTACTTATCTTACTTAATTTATTGTAATTTTCTTTTTTTATTCTTGTTGCTTAGAAATCAACAAGTCAATGGAGTGAAAAAGTGACGTCATTTTCCATTACTGTACAAAATATGGGGGCATTGTGTATTGACAGGTCATATTTTATGTCGTGCCTGTCTGTAGATTTTGTTGAATTTGTCAACAGCCTAATTTTATGTTCACATACCATCTATGAAGCGACTATCCAAAAACTAAAATACAGTAATATCTTTGATAATCCTTAACATTCACAAGTTATTTAATATTCAACAAATGGTGTATAGTCATGATGAAATTATAAGTGTTTTTCTCCATTATCAATGAAAATAACTGACAAAATTTGATTTCTAACGGCCATTTTAACGGTGGGTAATCACTGCACGTAAATCTGTATATTTTTAGTTATTGCCCACCATCATTTCAGTTATTGCCATATGTTAATGTATAGTTATTGCCCAGGGCAATTATTATTAGAGTGTTGCCACCATGCAGTAGCAGTGTTTAAGTTGCCCATTGCTAGACTTGTTTTGCAATTTACAGTCATAAATATTGAAATGGCTTTTAATGTTTCATTTTCAGTATGCCATAGACTCCAAAAGTTCAATATAGCATAGAAAATTTGCAAAAAGCGATCCAAGCTGTACAAGATGTATCCAACAATTTATCTACAAGATAAATTGCTGAAAAATATGGTTTGGCTTGAAAAAATTGATAAAAATTCCAAATGCAAATACAAAAAATGAAAATCCTACGTTAAATCTACTAGTGAAAATGTTAATTGTAAGGAAATAGATACAACTTTAGGGAAGAATAACCAACAGCTAATTGAACATTCTGAGCAACCACTTGAACTGATATCAAAGAAGATAAAAAAATAAATACATATAAAATTTACAAATAAAATTCAAATTTTTTCGTCATCTATGTATTGAAGTAGATGATTCTGTCTCTACCGATTCTGACTCATCAACATCAGCTCAAGAAATATTTGATAATATGTTAATAAGGCCAAACGCAATTTATTTTGAAATTTTGAAGACTGTACTACTAGAATTTAAGTTTAATGTTTTGTTTTGTTGATTTAAAGCCTATTTTGTGATTTTAAAATTGATTATTTTGTTTTAAGATACTGGGCAATTACTGTGCTTTGATGTGGGCAATTAGTGCAAGTAATGGGCAATGACTGTACTTTTTGGAGGATTTTAAATTTATTTCAATATTTTCTAAGTTACGTAAGTTTTAACTAAAAACTGTTAATATTCTGTTTAACAGTTTATTGAGTTATAAGAAAAAAGTCATAAATAGTCGATAATTAAAATACTTTCTTTAATTTTTCATCTCAATGTGTTTGAAATCTTTAAGTGGGCAATAGCTATACGGTTTACCCTATGTATGATGTACATTACTATAAAAACTACCAACGAAAGTTGTTTTGAACGAGATCTAGTAGTTTTTTTTTAATACCTCGTAAATCGTAAACCGCTTATTACCGTGTAATCTTTCATACAAATAACTTAAATTAAAAAAAATAATAATTTCATAAATCAATGGTACGGAACCCTTTGTGCGTGAGTCCGACACGCACTTGGCCGATTTTTTTAGTTTGTAGGTCGGATTATGGTACAGAAGCTCTTTTTTAAGATGCTCTAGGTATGTATGTACAAATTACCATTCTTAGATAAATTATTCATATTGTGTATTAGCTTTCAGTGAGGCTATGTCCCGCAGGATTTGCGTAATGTAAAATACATTATTACACGTTAAATAAGCGTTATCAAAGCTGGTAAATGAGGCGTCACCTGCATGACACGTTTATCCGCGGCGAGGAACATCCGACAATTTAATGGCGTGAAAACCGAATATCTGATTCCTGGCAGAATTATTGGTATATTATTTTGAATATTGGGAGTCTTTTTCTGTAGGTCTTTTTAGCCAAAAAGTTCGTAACACTTTTTGGCTACTTGGGTGTCACGAACTATTTGACGCTGACTGTACAACCATAATAATATGGATTTAATCAACCTTTTACAAGCGGTAGTCTCTAAAATAGCGTTCAACTACTTACTCGTATCTTATCTNTCTTACTTAATTTATTGTAATTTTCTTTTTTTATTCTTGTTGCTTAGAAATCAACAAGTCAATGGAGTGAAAAAGTGACGTCATTTTCCATTACTGTACAAAATATGGGGGAATTGTGTATTGACAGGTCATATTTTATGTCGTGCCTGTCTGTAGATTTTGTTGAATTTGTCAACAGCCTAATTTTATGTTCACATACCATCTATGAAGCGACTATCCAAAAACTAAAATACAGTAATATCTTTGATAATCCTTAACATTCAATTTAAAAATGCAACTAACTCCCTAATCAGCTCCCTCATATCTACCTGAAATATAAATAAACCTCGTGCAATTTCATGAATCTGGGAAACGATATAAAGTAATTGAGACTCTACCGGGAAAACTCATCAATATTTTTTAACTGTTTCCGTCTCCCTCAACAACAAGATGTGTAAAAGAGATGAACGAAGCCAATCGTTTAGAAGTAGTAACTGAAGTAGGACCCCGAGACGGTAACGAATACTTATGACGGTCAACTACGTATTCAATCACGATCTATGGGTGGGATGTCGGGTGCGGTGCGGAACGATGGTCTATTTTATATAGATAGTCGTAAATCACGGACTCTTCAGTCGTGTCGGTGGCAGAGAACTAGTGCCCTACAGGCATAGTGGCCCGAGTTCGTCCAAAATGATATGACCGTTCAACCGTATCGGACTTACGCATCGCTACCCGAGGCCCTATCGTGGATTCTAATGTTTGTACGCTGCGATATTTGTTGATGCAAGAGACGTACTAAGGACGCTGGCAATAAGACCTTTTCAGCTATTGGATTGGGTTTACCAACGAAAGATTTTCTAGTAGTAGAATTATTTTATCTTACCCCAGATCCTTCTAATATGTACCTATATGCAAATTTGAAAAAAGGCTGGCAATATAAAAACTTTCAATCACATCTACCAAACATCGTGACGTAGCTATTTCTATCCAAAAAATAATATTCAAATGTATTCTTTCTCCATCAATTTTATTATTAAGCGTGTCAAGAAGTCTCAAAGAAACCGCTGGTACCGTAGTAGTAATGAAAGCACGCTTGATTACGCATTGAACCTAATAATAACCCTGAGGACATTTCTAATTAACGATAAATGTATCTTCGTATAGGCCTTAATTTGGCCTGTCATTGACTCTTGCATATATTACCCATAAATTAATTGGATGACTACGATAGGACCTACTATAACTGGCCAAAATTAATTTATGCCCCATAAAATTTGTAGCCATCATTTAGACCACTTTTACCAAATTATAATTAAAGTTTCTTATGAGTGTAATAGGCAGGCGACAATAGGTTACATTGGCATGGATTAAAGGTATAAAAGGACTGAAACAAACAAAGGCCAGATCGTCTGGGTTCTTTTTAATCTAAGCCTTTACGATTTGACTTCTTACACAAATTAACACGGGAGACCTAACTCAGCCGTTCTTGTCTAACTAATATTTTAGTTGGATAAGCACTGAAAAGAAATCAATTGACATTGTATCGTGACCTACAAATATACAAAAAAATAAATAAATTGCCGATAATATCTTTTCACTCACAATTTCAGTCGTCATGGCTCACTCAGTATTGTAGCTGAATCGATTTATATTTTCATATTGATATAACCAAGATATTATTGTGTTTATCCGTTATTCATAGTTTCCAATATTCATTCATTCAAATGTCTCCTCGTATTACACGGATAGCCTGGTACCTGCGTGTACCTACGTTACCCCGTCATTCGTAACATTGGTAGAATCGAATTGAATATTAATAAACCAAGGAAGCTGAAAGCCGAATTCGACCACTTCACCCGTAGAATGTTTACTTTACTCAATCGATTCCATCGATATATCGATCAAACATGTTATCCATTATGATTCAAACAACGCGCAAAAAGGGTCAGTGCGACTTTCGTTGCCAGATAATTAATTTTGCGACTGACCCCAAGCGAACCCGCTGCGATAGCGAAATTAATCAAGGCCCTGACATTTTGCTATGCTGTTACAGCTTTCCTCACTTATGAACATCCATTCCAAAATTCTTACTGAGATAATATTGGAACTGAATCTAGTTAAATATTAAAATTCATTAAAATTACAAGTCTTAGGTAACTTTATAATTATGCTGAATAGACACCAAAGGTCCATCAAAAGTGCTTATTAATGCCATAAACTTTAAAAGATGACTTAGATGAGTTTACTATCAATTAATAGTTTTAAAAGCTTTCAGTCTTTTAAGTTTCCAGTATTAACACAGATATTTTGACTCTCTAAAGTACATTTTCACAGTTCGTCCTAGCTCTTTGATGCTACAACTCCTGTATCAGCAAGGGTCCCTTTATAGTAGTGATTAATACTTTATTACGACGGGTCCCGTACGTAATGGTGTCCACACGAGGCTGTGCATTAGCCTGGACAGGCTATAGTATGTAAATATGTGGCGAAGCCTCGTTTACGGGAGATTTGCGAGTTTGCGACATTGCGACAAACTCGTAGTAGAGGCATTACTTTAATGAAGGCTTATTTAGCATCGGTAATAAGTGATTTCGCGACTGTTAACTATTGCATCGAATTCTCTGCATTTGGCGACATTCGAACCAAAAATAATAGTTATCATCTCAAATTATTTTTATTTTTAGGTTAAAGACATTCATATTTCTCACAAAGAATTTAAAATTCACGTAATGAGAAATGTATATTAAATTAATTAAGTAACAACACAAAAGTTTGAGCAACTACAAACAAAAAGAACGTTTACTTTATACAAAGAATCTCTTACATCATAAAAACGAGACCACACGAGATTAGCCCGGAGCCGTAGTATGTAAATATGTGGCATTTTCTCATTTCTTTGCAGAATTGAATCAGATCCGCCGGCGTTAGGTACAGCTCTTATGCGCAGCTGAAACCTAAAGACCTTATTACACGGTTCAGGTCATATGGTTGATGGAGAAATCCAACTTATTCAAATCAAGCAGAAAGTTTTTGTCGTTAAATTTACCTATCATATTTTACAATTATTGGTAGCACTTTTAAAAACTTTCACTAAAAATTATACTAAGACTAGGTAGCTTTCCGCCCGCGGCTTCGCCCGCGTGGAATTTTGTCTGTCACAGAAAAACATTATCGCGCGTATCAGTGTTTCAAAAACCGGGATAAAAACTATCGTAGGTATGTCCTTTCCCGGGACTCAAACTATCTCTATGCCAAAATTCATCAAAATCGGTTCAGTGGTTTAGGCGTGAAAGTGAGACAGACAGACAGAGTTACTTTCTCATTTATAACATTAGTATAGATTGTTTATTAAATCAAATGAAACTAATTTAATAAAAAATGATTTTGCAATAATACTTAATTTAAAACAAACCATAATTTCCGTCTCTATTAAGTATATTTTGGTAGAGAAGCAGTGACAATATAATTTATCCACAAACACAATATTCCACACGCTTCTCTGTAATGTTTATGTTGCGGGTGTTGCCGAGATCTCATTTATTTTAATTAACGAGATAAGGGGTCGGCTCAAAAAGCGTATCTTTTTGTTAGTTTTAACCTAAATAACTTGAGATATGCCTAATTTAGAGCTGGCGTCCATCTGGGGCAAATCAGAAGTATTATGTTGGAAATAACAGAATATTTCTTACACTACTTGTGAAAATAAAGTCAGACAATTTTGAGAGCACTTTTTAAATTTCATTACAATTGTAAAATTATTCATGGCTTAAAATAAACACCTGAATTGACATAAACTGAAACGGTTTACTTACAAAAAAGGGAAAGTGGGTAGTGAGTACACTCCTTTTAAGGTAAATTTTAATGATAGCACGTCAAATTTTNCACTTCAAATACCGCCTCTCATCATAAACCTTCAGTCAAGAGATTAAAATTTAAAAAAGTAATGTTATTGAAAACGAAGATTAAATTAATTGCGAACTATTTTGGACCCCCTGAGTAAGTCAAGTGTAAATAAAAGTGCACCTTCCAGTGTTAGCTTTAGAAAAGAAAATGTCTTACCTCAAAAAAACAATTGAACCAAAACACCGTCCATTCACGATTAGTCCGTAACTCCAACGTAGAGGCACACGTCTGCCGCAGCCGCGTCGAGTAGTCTGCGTGCGCGCAGCCCAAGCCTACGAGAACATACACCGTTCCGCTCGTACGGTGAGATCATTGACATGACGAACATCGATACCATAATATAGTTAATCGTAATTAATTATGTTTAGATCGCTACTTATCAGATCGCGGCATTCGCGGCCAATGGCAATGCTAAATTGTACTAGTATTTACCGTTCCAAAATCATTTATATTTTTTTATCTTAATGAAGTCTAATTAAGTAATTTATTACAAAAACTGTCTGTTGAAAGGAAACCGTTCGGTTGCTTTTAATTAAGATGTTTTTGCATGTTTGATAATTTAGTTAGCGTACGGTCGTGAATGTAAATAAACCATTAATTGTTTTACCAATAAGTAAGCATGTAAATAATTCTGTAGCGTAACTAAATTAAAGATTTTGTGAACACAACTGTCTGAACATCACAAATATTGATGTGTGTTACATAAGTACAAATATTTGTCCATTTCTAAGGTTTAGAATAGGATTGTGAAATTATATTAAATCCAAGTAGGTTATGTTTACAATTTATTCAAATCAAGAACATTCTATTAGATACCTTTGTACAGGACAAGCGAGAAAGTCTCTTTGTAGTCAAAGGCAAAGAAAACGGTTCTAAATCAGATTCAAAAACCATTATCCAACCTCTATTGTGACCTTAACAAAGCCCACAAGAACAATGCCATGAAAATATTGTTATTTTTGATGACCTTTTAAACTTCAGAGATAATAAGTAATCTCTAAACACAAGGACCCACTTACTCATATTCGTTCAAACGGTTATAATGTGCTACAATTTTCCAAACAGTTGACGGTTGACTCTATAAATAAAAAGGAAAACCCTACTGCTCGTATAATATAAATCGTTTTCTCTTCAACATTAAAAATTTCTGTCTTAAAAATTAGTAGTGCCTTATTTATTTGCAACTTTCACTAAAATAAATCTTTTGTTAAAAGATTACTGACAGAGTTTTTTACTTCCTTAGTCGTTACAAATCTCATTATATAGGAACTGTTCTTAAATTAAGTCAAATATCTAAACAAGTGATATGAACTATGCCATGGCGATTATAAATTAGAAAGAAAAAGAGTCAATTCGGGAAGTGATAACACAGGCCAACGACCGCGAGTACTCCAATGTTTGAACAGCTCAAGATGTGGGCGACGTTACACTTCCTACGTTATCGTGTAATAAAGGTTAGTAGGTGTGAAAATTATACTAAGAGTGTGATAAGACTGCTAAATGAATGAAATATTCATTAAGGCACAGGCAAATAAGCTTGCTCAGGTGGAAGTTATAGCCTATTGGATTAGCAAGCTTAATGGTAAGCAATAAAAGGGACACTTGAAGTAGAATAGTTTTGGCATTTTGGTACTTAGAAATAGTTTTAAGCATATAATAAAGCCTAGATAGATAAAAGAGAAGAGCAAGAAAAGTGAGGCAACTCAAGTCAAACGTCACATCAAGTAAAAAAAATCGCGCTTGAATGAAGACAATCCATCTAGGCTTTATTAATGTAAGGTTGTAACTATTTTAAGCTAGCAATCTGTATTTTGTATTATAACAAAAACATTTCATTCAAATCATTTTCCCATTGCTCCCAGTAGGGCAGATATTGCAGGCTTAAATCAACCTTTTTGTCCCATAAGAAATATGTCGTGCTTCNCGTGCTTGAAGGGCTGGCTCTCCGACCGAGTCACGTTCAACAAAACGCCAACTTCCAAAAGGAATGGTAATAGCTGAGCACGTAAACGAGAAGGCCCTTGGGAAAAAGGTCATTAGAATGCAGGCCGCCATGGGCTTTTCTCACTGGAAATCAATGGCTTGTTCAGAAGTGGACCCCTAAGACAAAGAGCTGAATAAACTGGACCTGTATTGTCATAGAAAAAACCTATGGAGTTATAACAGAACTCCACTAGTAGCGGTCTGTTATCCAATAACTCCACGCAAAAATTCCTTGCCCTGAAATCATTCTGAACTTGCTGCAAAACCAGATTTTTAGCAGCTTTGAGAGCAATAAAAAGTTAGTCAATAGAGTTGGCGAAAAAATTACGTTGATAGCTCTTGTTTTTAGTAGAAAAAGTAGATCATTTTGACAGCTTAAGTAAGACCTTATTTTGAGTACAATCTGCGTTACATTTTCGTCCCGTAGCGCTGTTTTTATGGCACAGACATTGTAAGGAAAGTCGTCGAGGATTAACATAGGTACTCTGTTAGCAGACTCTTAGTATGAACCTAAACAATATCTTTATTACGATGTAAGGACAATCTGAAGGTGAGACCTTATTTGCCTAAACCTTTTAATACCTGCAGAAGAGGGTCGAGTAATATAGTTTGACGGACTAATAGATAAAGGATAGAAACCCTTAAACTCGACTTGCCCTTCAGCAAGTCAAACTGTATTTGAAGGTCACAATATTGCGACATTAGGTATCATCTATTATAATACAAAACCAGGGACAGATTTTTATGGATTCAGCTTTGAATACAAAATGGGATTCTTCATGAAATCATGGCCCAACAATACTCTGTCTTTATAACTGTGTGTGTAGGTTATATTTTGTTACATATTCAAAAATCACAGATAGCATCTACCTAAGTATATTGTAACAGGGCAAACTTAAAGAAACTTACACATATTAGGGTATCAAAACTTACCAAAGAGTTAAAAGAGTTTACACTCAGTTTAGTAAAAGAAAAGATTTTTCGCAAACATTACGTAATTACATCGTAAGTAAGTACACTACCTCATTAAATAAGGCTCACTCGGACCTAGAATTCCTCTGCCGGGTCAGATATATTATGTCAGAAATCAAGGGAACTGCGAAATGAGAATGAGATAATTACGACAGAAGCCCTAATAGAATCGCTAGTTCTCCACAAATCACTTAGCTACGGCCGAGCGTGGCCCGGCCTTTTCTCATCTAGCGCCAAATTGTAATACTTACCTACTTACCTAAGTTGTTTTTGGGAAATCCAATTAGTAAGTCTATGAGTGGTCTAACTACACGACATGTAGGCCTGGGATATGCGCTGCGATAAGCTTTTATCGCGCAATTTTATCGATTTTACTCGACAAGCCCATACGTTTTTCGTCTAAAATCATCAATAAAATTTTATCACGGTGCGCATCCTAGCCCGGCTGGTCAACATTTTATCTTTTGATTAAAAACTTTTAATTGGTCCCCACATTTTAGATAATCAATATTTAGATAATGAAAGACACATTTTAGATAATGAAAGACAATTTTTACAAAGACTGTGGTACCTGTAATGGTATATTTAGCCAAAAGTAAATTTAAATTATGTTCTGGGTACCATAAAACGACTACATAAAAAATGTATTCTGAATTTTATTTTGACAAATTTTATGGTGTAGGTGAGGTAGGTAAGCCATTATATTTTCAGATTTAGCTTGCTTTTTACGAAAATTGAGAGTAAGGTACCTAGATGTAGTCACGTTCACGATTTGATTCATTGTAACTTTACGTGACATTTCAGATTTCAAGAAATCAAGATAAAATTGAGTAGGTATCTTCGCGATAAATAAAGTTCAGTAGCAAAGTAAAAAGTTTTTTCTTTCGCAGCAATCGTTAGGTACCTGCTAACAAAACTGAATACAAAGAAAAATGTTCGAGGGTTAGATGATGTGTTCATAAAACTTGTCAACTGCCATAACCGTAGTTCAATTGGGCAGGGAATAGAAGTTATACTGAAAATAAATAACTACAGACTTCAGCAGCTCAAACTCAATTCAACTACCTATAACTTATAATCCACGGATGCTTATTAAAGCCTAACTTTTGAAATTTAATTACACTGAAGCCTGTTATTATATTATTCGTACAAAGGTAACTCGTATACATAATAATATATCCTCAAATATTTTGAGTCTAATTATAACTTTTTTCCAACATCGCTATCTTTATTCTTTATTACACCATAAAATGAAACTTCACAGGTAATTCACATAACTTAGACATAACAAGCGGCTCGAGCACAGGCAATTCTTTTTGTTATCGCCATGAGCCAGACACATACATTATCATCTTACCATCATTAGTCTGCTACATCGACATCCCCTTCATGAATTGCCCAACTTCTTGAAATGATTAGTGGGGCAAAAATATTATCGGCTTGGAAACAAAAGAAGACAAATACTTTCTATAATAGTGAAAGTAAGTAATAAAAGTTTGATAAGAGATAAATACTTTTTGTTCAGCTATAATATCCAGTCCCAAATAACAATACTTACAACGATAATGTAATCGATCTTTATAACCAAACTAACTCGCAACGTTTCCGGTTGGGCGGTGTTTTTAATATTGTCCATAGTTTGTTTGACGTGTTCCACTCCAGTCGCTATTAGGGAAGCCAAATGTACAGCGAATCGGAGAACCTTTGATATTGAATACGAATAGGCAATGAAACCTGTAAAGAAATTCTATCATGAAGGTAATAATATTTTAGATAGCGATAAAAATAGGACTCTCATTTACATGACAAAATATTTGTAAAAACATGTAAAAGTAATGTATGATTAATGAGTTTTGCGTGTAACGGAACGGATGAAAGATTGTTTTTTATTTGAACGGCTGAATGATGAGGAATTATTGGTCTATGGAGGAAACGAAAGAGATGAATGAGGAATGAAGATTGAGAGTGAGGATAGCACTTTATTTGAAAGAAGAGTGTGTTGCTTGTGACTTTTAGTGGTGGAAGACGTAAGACGAAAGACGGTCGAGTTGTTATAACATTGTAGTAAAAGGTCTAAAAGACGTATAAGCTGTAAGACTTATAACGAGAAATACATCAAATTCATCAATTCCTCCGAGTTTCAATAAAACCAAGAACTCCCACTCCCACACAAATATCTCGAAGCTTCGCAGCATCACAGTATTTCAAAAAGTTTATTGTGATTAATGGTGGTCAAAGTGGTGACTTGTTTTTTTTTTGCA